ATGTATCACCAATGGCACGTTGTGCTCCGCGGATATATGGTACAATTCAAACTAATCTCATCTAGGCGAAACAAATATACAATAGTCTGATCAGGTGATTATGATGGCGAACTTTGAATCCGAAAATTATGGTTTCAAGGCTTATAACAGGCGTTCTCTCTCACCTATTGATGCACCAAGTCCATGTATCAAAGCTCCATACTCAACGCGAGTCCTTCCTTTAGTTGTTACGTATTGTGATTTGTGAGTCAGGTGTGATACCCACTTAACTGGATAAAGAAAAAGATAAGAAGGTGTAAGAAGCTAGTTATTGGTACCAATAACTCGAGTTATTAGTTGGAAGAAAGTTATATTGAATCGTATACTGTACTCTAACACGTTCCCCTCAAACGAAAGTCAACTCACGAGTTTGAAGTTTGCACAGTCCGCGACTCAGCCAGATCGGTAACCCTATTTTCTGTTCGGTTTCTAACAACTTTAAGACGTTTGTTACTGTCAAATCGACCGAACAGATTATCGCATCTGGCTTGGCAAATCTCGCCCTAGCAGGCTCGCCGTTGAGCTCGTGATCCCTTTTGCAAATCTCGGTCTGGGAGCTTGTAATCGACAATTCCGTCTCGGACAAATTAATTGCACCTTTACCATTGATTGTTCCTGTTACATTGTTTTTTGGTTTGAGATTCCTTGAAACAGGAATTAACGGAAACACTGAAAGGAAGCCATTGGAATTTTGAATACGTGGAGGGACAAGGTTTAATTACCTGGACAAGGTTAATTAGGAAGCTGGCTCCCTTTTATTTAGTTCCATTCCGGGCCAACTCTTGGAGCAGGCAACTGGCAATGGTAATCATGGTTTTACTACGTGGACCGTGAAGGAGGCATGATTAATCAATGCGATTTTGGAAGGGAATTTTCAATTTTGTTCTCTGGAAAGACTTCGCCAGGCCAAACGTCAGCGGTTTCTTTCCATGGTTGGTCTTTTTATGTGTAAAACCACAATATAAATTGACTTTTTTTTTCTATTTTCGAAGAGAATGAGGCCGAGGGCAAGGATGAAAGAGATCCGCCCTGTGATAGATAGTTAGCAGAACAGGAACTTGACTAGGGGTATGCGGTGATATTTAATTATCCTAGAAGAACCCAACGATGGCACATTGCGACCTCGTGGCTTAATCACTCAGGAACAAAAGCATGACGCAGAACAAGGAAGCTATGCTTGTTGATAGCTATCGGTCGCAAAATCAGCTTGCAATGACTCCTTGAAAATAGGTATGAACCGAAATGATCCTCGTGATTCATTAATGAATGATAAATTAGATTCTATTTCATTAAGCTCTATGCATGGTATTGAGAACCATATGAATGTGAGAAAGTAAAAATAGAATTGATGCATGTATATGTCGACATTGAGGTGTATTACCTCGATGATTAGAGTATAAATTGAATACATGTGATGGAGTAGAATGATTTTGTTTAAATGCATGCATATATGTGAAGAATATATGATAATAGAATGGGTTTATTGCCCTTAATAACGATATTATAAGAAGTATTATTATCAGTACTACACGAACCATTTAGATTGCTGTGAAACATTAAAGTTTCAAGAATGAGAGTAGCAAGCTGAACCAGATCCACATCAATTAGAATGGTACCTATCGTGGTAACCATAAGATTGTCACCCAATCCTCTAAAGAATGACGTTATGTTTCTCTGTTAAATTCGTGAGAAACTCGGTCATAAGACACGAAAGTGTAAGAACAAGTTTAACCTAGTGTTAACTTGACTAAAAAAGAGGATTTGGTAATAATATTCACTGAGGTTATGACAGAGGTTAGCCTTAATGGTAACTCTGAAGAATGGTTGTTGGATAGGACCGCTTCAAGATATGTGTGTGATAAACGAGCTAAGCTCAATCATACATTGACGCATATTGAAGGAGAAAGTGTTGTTGGGCAAGACCCTCACCACTATTGTTGATGGTTCTGGAAAAGTGGAAGAGGACTCTGCCTCTAGAAAGTCATTGACTATCCTAGATGTAAGGAATGGTTAAGTAGATAAGATAAATTCTTCCAAGTGTGTCTGTGTGAAGAATTAGAATATCTTATATCGCATTCCCATATTATTATTGGATGCTTGACAAAAATATGAATTTTCTATATCCAAGCTAAATGACCCATAAATATTTTAATTAGAGAATCAGAATAAATAGATCTGATTTATGTGGGTAAACTTGATGGAAAAGACAATAAACAATTTATTGCTCTTTAGAGTGCTCTGATTGTCAGACTAGTTATTTGAAATGGTTTGAAATGCCTAATTGCATTATGATTGCACTGATTATTCGATATGTGGCATGCATGTGGTAGCGTTAGAAAATCAGTGTAACATGATAACTAGAAGAGCATATGAGTGTGTTTTATGTTGTTAACAATAAAAACACATAGTTCCTATGAAACGAAATACTCATGTTGTTGTGAAATCCATTAATGCCAAGAAACTTCCATTTTAAATCAAGAAATAGTGGGGGTAGTGTCCTGCCTACTATTAGAAATAATGGAACTAGTGGGGGTAATAAATCTGAGTTTAAACTCAGAAGAAGCAAATGAACCAGAAATCTCTTAAGGTTTTTGGTTATGAATTTGTTATTTACACCCTAAGAAAGAAAGATCCTACAAGTCTGCTAGAAGTTCGAACTTACATAAAGATGCAGAATTGTGGGGGAATCCATTATTAACGAAATGGAATTATTAGTCTAGTAAGACTTAAAATCTTGTAGAGTTACCTCTTGGTTGAAAAGCCTTGGGTAATATATCGATAGAATCGAACAATATTTGGCATTTTTGAGAATTACCTCTTGGCAATGAAGTCATGGGTAATAAATGGATTCTTAAAAGAAAAGTGAAACCTATTGGTTTAGTTTATGAGTATAAGGATCGCCTAATAGCTAAGGCTTTAAGCGAAAAGGAAAAATTGTTAATTTTCTTGTTATCTATTCACCATATGTAGAATAACATCCATGTATGTTCTGATTGCTAGTGTTGTGCGTCAGATGGATTGTTAAACATGTTTCTGTGAATGGTGATTTAGATAGGAAAATCTACATGGGACAACCTATAGGGTTGTTATTCTTGAACATGCTTAGGGAGTCTATAGTTAGACAAATCATTGTAAGATTTGAAATGGACTCTAAGACAATGGCATGAATAAACTGGTTCTCTCTCATGGTTTTAAAAGTGAAAGTGACAAGTGCATTTAGTACAACTTTGAGAATGACACTTGCATTATGAATGACACTTCGGTCTTTGGTACAAAGACTCGTGATGTCAATATTATGAAAAACCATGTTGTTTGAGAATTATGAAGGTAAAAAGATCTGGATGAAGCAAGTGTTATGCTCGGAGATCCAGATTACTAGGACAATGAAAGAGATTTCATCTAGGTCAGTTTAACTACACAGTTAGATCTAGAGGAAATACGAGTTCTACACCTTCATAAATGTTTGATGGTGCTAGTGTAATTTTTAAGAGCACCAAAGACGGTGTAAGAAAGTAAGAACATACTAGCATCGACAGTATGCGAGAGGCAGCTGATAAACATGAGACCCGACATAGTGGGGGTACTTGGCAGGCTTACTGATTGTCCTAGTATGAAGCATTGAAATGCTATTGAAAGGGGTCATGAGACACCTTAAAAGAACAGAAAAACCTTGGTATTTGTTATCAATGGTTTTGCTGTATTGGTAGGGTATAGTGATGCGGATTAGAATACCCTATAGAGGACTTCAAGACAACAAGAGGCTGTGTTTTAAACATCGATAGAGAAGCTATGTCTTGGAAGTCTAAGAAGTAAACGATCCTGGCTCAATCAACTAAGAAATCAGAAATGATAGAACTAGCAATGGCTAGTAAAGAGGAAAGTTGATTGAGAGGGTCACTACTAGAGATTCCCTTATGGGAAAGACCGATCCCTCAGGTAGCTGATTCATTGTGATAGCACCGCAGCTATTACTAAAGAAGGGAACCGGTTCTAGAATGAAAAGAGATGACAAATTCGTCGTATGCACGGTACTATAAGAGAACTCCTAACGATAGGAGTAGTGAGGGTGGATCATATAAGACCGAACAGAATCTAGCTGATCCTTTGACGAAAGGATTACCTAGAGAGAAAGTCCAAAATACCACAAAGGGTATGAGACTTATGCCTACCGAACCATGGATTACAAGTGATGGTAACCCGACCCGATAGACTGGAGATCCCAAGAAACGGGTTCAATGGGTAATAACAAGTCATGAGTAATATTGAGAAAAGTTCATGCATAGTGAAGCATGAATCCCAAAGCCTTGGAGGTTGAGTACAACTCTTAATGAGATCTATACTCTATGTGGAGTGAAGTACTTTACTTTGGGGGTACTTCTGATAGACTCACCTATGTGAATGTGGGAGTGGGGCCGCTCCCTATGGAACTTTGGAGGCACAAAGTTGCTAGAGCGTTCACTAAACCGGGATAACGTGCATGGCCATTAACGCACGGCCTATGAGAGAATATCACTCAATGAAAAGATCTGGTGTGCTACATTGTCTAAGATAGGGTTCAAGACTACGAGTCACCCTTATGAAATCGGAAGTGTAACCACTACGCTAAGGTTCAAATCTTCGCGATACCTTAGCTTATGCCCAATCTTATGGAACTGTTGATGCTCAGAGATAGTTTCAAACTATTCAAGTGGGGGATTGTTGGGATGAATAGTTTTGAAAAACTATAAATGAAATTCCTAATTAATTATCCAGTATTTTCCCGTAATACATAAATAAGATGGATAATTAATAAAAGGAATATTATGGAGATAATTAGGAATAATTATCTTAATAGATTATATTTTAATTATGGGAGTAATTATCTCCCTAATTAAAATATGACTTATTCCCAAAGAAAGAGGGAATATTCTGGGTTTTCTGCTCCTATAAATAGGAGACGCCCCAGACCCTCTAAACACACCTCAGAAGAGCAGAAACACGATAGAGAGTGAATTCATAGAGCTCCGGTTTTCCGCACAAAACCGATGAGCAATAAATAAGAGTGGCTGTTTTATCCTGGAGGCGACCGGCTGATAGTCTGCTGTGCGAATAACGAGGCAGTGCCGCGAATGTCTTAAAGAGAGCGACCTAGTCCGCGACTCAACCAGATCGGTAACCCTATTTTCTGTTCGGTTTCTAACATGCCTTGTGTTTTAATCAGTCGTTAATATTGGGGTCGTGAATATACTTGGTCAAATCAGTTTTGATATAATGTCATAAACCAATTGGTATCAATAACTCGAACAATTGGAAGAAAGTTATGTGAGATATTATACTACAATCTAACAGGTCGCAGAGTTATGCACTTATGCTTTGATGGACATGCGCGTTTAGACAGATCTCGGCATTAATGGAACTTAGCCAGAATGCAGGGTGGTGGTGGTCTCATGTCTGAACTGCAATAAAATGCCCATTTCTTTATATAACAAATCACGTAGGTAGCTAGCTGTCGACGCTTTTCTTTACTCTTCCCTGTGCTGTTAACAGCCCATTGAAAAGGTTTGTCGGTGTCGTGAGTTTTGCGTTCGCACAAGATTTGCATCAGCTGGGACTGGCAGAGGAAAAGTCCAAATAAGTGACTTCTTGCTCTCTCCTTTTTCCTTTTTTTCCTGAACTCGTGCTCTTTGAATATTTCAGAGTCTCTCATTTTTTTTTACTTGGCATGCAAGAGAGATGATTTCGGTGTCCAAGTTTGATTTTGAAAACCCAAAACAATCTTGTTGCTGTAAGTAAAACTAGCCATTGGTTGTAAAAGTATCGTTGTAAAAGTAAAACTAGCCAATAAGATCTTGGATGATTTGAGTTTTGACAATGTGGGTGAAAAAGAAATAGTAAAAGCAAAGGACAAACTCTCTTGTTACACAATTGATATCTTATCGTTCACTTACAAAAATTTATATCTTCATGCAATGTTATCAAATTTTCACACACATTATTAATTTTTTCATGCACTCTCTGCTCGTACAATTGTACCGTATATTATATAAGTGAAGATTAACGAGAGTGCATGAAAAAGTAACTCGTGTGTAAATATAAGTGAGCCTATATATGTGAATAATTAATAGGATTGTGTGAAAATATAATTTATGTATGTGAATGGTGAGATTTCTCATTGTGGCACATCTAGATTTGTTTAAAACATGGTTATAAGTAGGGGTGTGCAGCTCTTCGGATCAGGCAAAACTAATGAAAACCACGGTCCAATAGTGAAAGACAAGTTATCATCAATGATCACACCAGTGCATTCGATCCGATTTGGTCTGGTCCAAATGTCAATTCGATTCATTTTTCCTTCAGTATCTATAAAATTGATGGGAACAAGGACCAGATTACATTATATTGGGTTCAATTTGGTTCGCTCCAAGTGTCGGTTTGGTTTGATGTTGTCCAATACGAACCAAACCGTTGCACACCCTAATTATACTAAGATTGGAGGGGAAAGTGTCGGGGAGTATATACTGATTCTCTAATGCAATTTTTTGCTTTATTTTTTTGTTATGAAACAATGAGAAATGTGGAAATGCCAACATAACATTAAAGCTGTAATTGACTTGAATCCAGTTAATGAGATTATCAATATTGTTATTTTTATGTGTACAACCATCTGGATCCAAATTAAATAGACCCATTTAAGTCCGACTCAAATGAGTTGACCCAAATTAGAGCCAATTCAAAATCAACTCAAACCCAAAATTATTAAAGTGCATTTGAGTTTATTTGGGTCTGATCCAATACCCATATAAGTCATGACAATTGGATAAAATTATCAAGGAGTTGTTGTGTAACGAGTTAATATAAAAGTGGAATTCCTGACAAAATGAGAATGTGGTATTTGTGAGTTATTTCACAATAACTACCCCTATGAGGTATTGACAATAACTCATTAATGAGTTATTTCAAATTAACTCAAGTACAAATAACTTATATCACCAATTTTTATAGACAAATGGGTTATTTGACTCAAAATGAGTTATTTGGTTGCAAATAACTCATCCAAACAACCTATTCCTACGTGAGTTTTACCACTTGAATAAGCATAAATGTAATTTAAGGATAAAGATAATGTTTAGGAAGGTGTGAGGTTAGCACAAGAAGCAGATGATGATGTCAGGGATACTTGTTGAATTAGGTTTTATGGTAGCCGTCAAACTTAGGGTTTAACTATCTATTGAAGGTGTTTGTAAGTTGTAATCATAGCATACGAATTCAGAAGAAAACAAGATTGATTTCTCCTCTTTGTAGATGCAAAATCACAATATATGAACCCACGTCAAATCACCATGTTCTTTTTATTTTTATCAGAAAAGAAAGGTCTAAAATTATGGAATATGCCACGTCATTAAAAAGAAGCTGTAGGCTGTAGCAGAGCTGCATAGGTGAAGAAATTGGAAGTTGGAACTTTTGTAGAGCTAAAGTGTGAGAGCATTTGTTTTTTTTAGAAAATTATGTACTTAGATTGTTTAATATTTTGCCAAAAAGATAGTTTTTTTGTTTGTTATGTACTGAGAAAACGTCAATATTATATTTTTTTATTAAAAATTTATTTATCATATTTTAAAAAAAAATATTATCACGCATCCAAGTTAAAATAAAATTTATTTATCATTGTACATTACTTTGGATATTAAAAATATTTCTGATAATTTATCAGCTAGGCAATTAATTATTTTCTTTTGAAAACTACGAGAAATTTTTGGTAGAAGCTAGTTTTGTAAAGGATAACGCATAGCCAAAGCAGCCTAGGTTATTCTTCTTTCCCACATTTTCCATCTCTTCATCTATCTTCTTCTTTCTTTTTTCCTTTTTGTTAATTAGTTCTGAAAATTCCTTTGGCAAACAAAAAAAAAAAAAATAATAATAATAATAATAAAAAAGCTTCAGAAGAAAATTCCACAATTCTAATTCATACTTTCTCCGTCCACTCCACGCCCCGCTCTCTCGAGTCTCACGACCCGAACCACACGCCCAAATACATTTACCAAAAACTCCCATCGCGCCAATCACAGCCAGCCACGAAACTCATCGTAGTGGGCCCCACATCAAGCCCACGCCATCCCAGCCGTACACCTCTCAGTCAGCCCAGCTAAAGTCCAATTGTCAAATTTCTACCCAAATGAATCATTCTTTTCCTCCTTTTTTTGCTTTAAAAAAAGAACCCTGCAGAAATTTCCCTGAACCTCACTCTCCCCCACCTTTCCCTTTTTTTTTTCCTTTTCTTAATAATTTACAGTATTCAACCTTCCTATTATTATTATTATATATATATATGCATCTAACCAAATCCTGCCCGCCCCTTAAACACAAAAAATGGCGAACCTCGTCTGGACCAAATCAAAGGAACAGCAGCAACGCATCCCCAAGAATATCGCCGGCGCCGGCGCCGTCAGGTGCAGGAAGCACCCGAAGCACCGCCAGTCACCGGGCGTGTGCTCCGCGTGTCTCCGCGAAAAGCTCTGCCAGCTCCCCGCCACGTCATCGCTCCGCAAATCAGAGGAGTTCGATTCGGCGTCCACCGAGTCCTCCTCGTCGCTGTCTTCCTACAGCAGTTCGTCCTCGTCTTGCTCCTCATCACGCGCCTCCCCGGCGCGTCGGCGGCGCGGAGGTAACGGGTTGTCTCTTTCTCAGGTGTTGAGGCTGGGAATAAGCAGCGCCGGTCAGAAGAAGAATGACGTGCGTGTTATGAGGAAGAGCAGATCTGTGGCTGTGGGTCCCGCTAACGGCCAGCGGGACGGCGGCGAGGGGGAGGGGAAGGAGAAGAAGAAGAAGGGGTTTTGGTCGGTGCTGAGGCGGCGGAAGGAGGAGAGGCCGCCGGCGAGGTTGGGGCATTCCCTCACTATGCGCGACGTATTCCTGATTACTACTAGCTAATTAAGCTAGTTTGGTGGATTTTGCTTCCACTTCGTTCTTTCATTCAAATTGTTTTTTTTTTCTTTTCTTTCCAGAGTGAATCTCAATTTTTATATTATTTTTCAGAAAATAATGTATTATAATTTTGTTTCTCAATTTTGTAAATAACATTTTTTGTACTACCTTCCAAATAGATTTAATTAATTATATATTTGTGAATAAACTTGTTTGGGCTTAGAGAAGAAAAAACAAGATTTGAAGTATAGGAAGGAAACACAAATTTGAAACACAGGTACTTAAAGAAAGTCCCAACCAATAAATAAGAGAACTAATAGAAGAACAAACTATATCTATTAACTAAATTATAGTTTTCAAACAAGTCAACAATAGTTTATTCTAATAGGACTACCATTAGTCTTTAATTTAGAGGTTGTAATTTCGAATTTCTTAAGTAACACCTATCAATAAAGAAGAATGATCGAATGTTGATCAATTATTTGGCATTGATAGGTCTGTATTTGTATAATAAACTTCCTATGTAACTCCTAGTTCACAATAAGTCTTGAGCTCGATACACTTTCAGCCAGCTATGAGAGGTAACAAAAACTCATGAATGTTTGGGTTAATGACACATATGGTCACTTAGATTATTAAATCAGGTCATGTAAATGTCACAAAAACATATGAATGTTTGAATAAATAAAAAAATTTATACAAATCTTTTTTAGATTTTTTTATATTATCCAAACTTATCGAAATACTAAAAATTAGCCAAATATTAACTTTCAGTTTGCAATTTTGTTAGTAATAGTGACTTGACAACATGATATTGACTTGGGAGAGACTCATGAAGGTCAACATTCCAACATTTTAGTATTTTAACTAAGAAAAGAGTTACAAAATTGTTAACGATAACGTAAAAATGACTAATATTATGATACATTATGAGAGATTTGGATAATTAATAGGATTTTAATAGGTTTGAGTAATATAAAAAAATGTGAAAAAGTTTTGGATAAAAAATAGACATTACCCAAAAAATTAATATTAATTTTGGTCACTCGAATAGTCGAATTACTGAAATATGTAACATTTAGTCACTCTCGCGTTAGTTTCACGGAGAGTAACTAAATGTCACTCTAACATTTAGTAACATTTGGTCACAATAGATCACCGGATATTTTGTGCAGCTGACTAGATTTTGGAGCTGGCGAGGATGTTTTTTGTTAAGTATGAGATGACGCAGAATTTTGTACGAATTCTTCTGGCGTGTTGTTAAAACACTTTTTAATTTCCTTATGAAACTTCAATGGATCATATCTCATTCGTTTACATCAGATTTAAAAAAATTTGCTTAGAAAAAACATATTTTTGTGGTCTACAAGATGATATATCTTTTAATATTTGTGGAACAAAAATTTTTACGTCATCTTACCACTGTCATATCTTGATATTGTCAAGAGCAGTTGATCCACTCGCTCGAGCTATTGGGAGAAGGTTAATTATGGATCTTATACCAATTTCTAACATGCCTCATCGAACGAAAGCTAGCCAACTCATATGTGATAGAAGTTTATAGAGGTCTGAATACCATGTGCTTAATAAATGAGGATTACCGGTGGTTGAACATAAATCCTCTCAATTACAGAAGGCTCTGATACCATGTCAACAACCAGTTGATCCCAATAACTCGAGTTGTAGGCAGAAGATTAATTATGAATTTTATAACACTCTCTAATAGATAATATCATAGTGTGATAATAGCATAATATGATATTGGTATGAGGGTGATGCCAGTCTTACTAAAGTGGTAAGATGATGTTATGACACCGTCGTCATGCTCAAATATAGGATTTGTAGTATTAAATTTTGTAATTAATCTGCTATCATATAATATATTAGTCAAGATACATTATATGTCAGCATATTACCAGTATGACCGTATATTCAAAACTCATGTTTGGAAATTATTATTGTATTTTCTCGTTCATTTAATGTTTCGCGTACTAAACACGGATAAATCATTTAGTCATTAGTGCACGAATTTGACGGATGTAGTTGATTATATAATAACATTCACTATTTTAATTTACTTCTAAATTCAAATTTCTTAAACATTTCAACATTAGATAGAAATAGATCATTGGATACTCGCAAACCAAAGTTTACATCAATGCTTGCACTAAGAACAAAAAGGAGGGGGAAAATATAAATTAGAAATTGTGGAATTTTCAGACCAACATTACTATGTCACTATCGCATAAAAGTTTCAAACTTCTTCTCATTTGCTGCAGGGATCTTCAAGTTCAACCCTAACCGGCCGGCGGGCCAGCTGGTCTAATTTGATTTTCCTTTCTTTTCCTTTCCCTTGGAATTCTCCCCGTTTTCAGACTAATCAGAAACTCCCAGCTTGTGCTTTGACGGCTCGGTCGGGCGGTTACTTTAATTTCCCCCTCGTCAAACCTACTGATCCATAATATAGCTTCTAGGCAACTTCGTTCGTCTCTGCAGGTTTTTGAATTAAGTTCAATTCCTGCCGCCGAGCTGGCGGCAAATCAATGCTCTACACATTTACACAACTAGCCAACTCCTCACGATATCGCCCTTCGTCACGTACAGCACGGCTCAGGTACGGTCCAAGATAGGGTCAGTAACCACACGGGAGCCGTAGATCTGGGGATGGAGCAATCGTGTGGCTGGGTCGGATGCGGGGTGGGGAGGGGCATTTTTGTCCGTTTTTGTATTTTTAATTTTTTTGTATTTATTCCGCATTTCAATGGCTGACTTTTCAATGAAAGAGAGAGAATTGCATTTTCTCTGCAACTCAATTTTCTTCCTTCTCTCCTCCTTTTTTCAATCTCTTTCCAGATCTTTTCTCTTTCTCTATTCCTTCTCTCTTACTTTTTCTCTCACAATCTCCTTTTCAAATCTAGATATGCTCTCTTCCTTATTCATTTTTTTCTCTAGCAATGGACTATTAAAAATTGTAGCCACTTTCTTTCATTGCATTTCTTCTCTTCATCAACTCGTTGGCCTCAATTCCGATCTTTCTCATTTTTTTGGCATTTTGGTGTTCTTGATTGAGGAAGAGGAAATGAGAGGCATCAGAAGACGATTTTTTCTCTCCCTCCTTCTGTTTTTTTTCCTTTTAGATAATATATATTGATATTATGACTCTATACCATATGGTATTGGGTGGTAACGAAATATATATTGATATTACCACACTATACCCTATGGTACCCTATGGTATTGCGTGGTAACGAAATATATATTGATATTACCATTCTATACCATATGGTATTGTGTGATATTACCACACTATACCATATGGTATTGTGTGATAACGAATATATATTGATATTACCACACTATACTATATGGTATTGGGTGGTAACGAAATATATATTGATATTACCACACTATACCATATGGTATTGGGTGGGAACGAAATATATATTGATATTACCACACTATACCGTATGGTAATGTATGGTATTGCGTGGTAATGAAATATATATTGATATTACCACTCTATACCATATGGTATTGGGTGGTAACGAAATATATATTGATATTACCACACTATACCATATGGTATTGGGTGGTAACGAAATATATATTGATATTACCATACCATGTGGTATGGTATTTAATACCAGTAAATACCATATGGTATAGACTGGTAATAACTGGAAAAAATTTTTATGTCCAAAAAATATCTAAGTGGATATCATTTTGAAGAGCACAATTAATCTGATCTAACTGTGCAAAAAAAAATTAAATTCCGACTTAAAATGAGTGAGAAATCGTCCGTTAAAAATTAAGAGAAGAAAAATTAAAGATTTTTCGAGCAGAGAGAAGGAGGCGCTGATGTGGTCCGGTCAAAAGTCAGCGTCAGCAATAAATAGGAGTAAGTGCAATTCTACTTTTCTGCCCTTCCGCATTTAATTTAAATAAAAAAGGGGTCTGACACGTGGAGATCAGAGAATGAGTTACTGATGGGTTACTGACCCATCAGTTACTGACATGATCTACTCCCCTCAGGTACAGGAGATAGTGCATAATTAATTGCATATATCAATCATTATCTTATTTAAAATAGTTGAGAGTTATTTATATCTATATTCACACATGAATCGGATAGAATATCAAAATCATATCCATATTTGATCGAATTTCGAATATTTACGGTTTTTCATAAATAATGATTTCTTTTTATAATTAACTTCGCCTAACATGTTCACAATTATATATATATATGTACTGAGAAAACATATGCGAAAAATTACAATTACAAATTACTAAAATGAGTTAAAAACAATACGATGTCATGATAAATATCAAATAATAAGTTGAGAAAAATAATGATCATTTTGAAACTAAATACATAACATGTGTATAATTTGGCGGGTTCGAGTTGGATAGTAGGATAAAATCATGTCCATGCATAATCTGCAATATTCAATTTCGAGTTGGACAGTTGATGTGATTCCATTGTTATCACACAAATTTTGAGTATATCTAACTAACATGATAACATTTTTATAAATAATATTAAGGATTGGAGATTCTACGGAAAGAGTCAACGATAAAATATTTTATGCTGAAATCATATTTTAATTATGGTTCAATCAGGGGCTGACCCATGCATTAGCAAGGTGTGTCAACCGACACACCTTGGCTCGGAAATTTGTGAGAGATCCATGTTTCGTTGATACAAAAAACTTGAATTCGGGATTTCTGACACACCTCACATAATTGCAATCGACACACCTTTAAAACACTACATTAATTTTGATGTCATATAGCAATAGGTACCAAAATACACAAATATATATTATTTATTTTAATTTTTAGTGAAAATGTCGAGAGGAAGAAATCCACAACCCATGGCTCACAGTTCTCTGTCCTCTGCTCCACTCTCTAATTGCTAGCATCTTCCGGTGGAACCTCATCCTCTTTCAAACTTTTACGTTAATGCCTGTCGCCAGCGTTTTTTCTCTCCATTTTATGTTGTGGAGTTAATCAAGAGCGAACTTCAAAATAAGTTTTTTGAATGAATTTTTACTTTTGTACGTCGAAAAAAGTTTGATCACACCATAAGCGACAAATATATTTTACAAACATTTCTGAATATGAAAAGTTGCCGTGTGTCACTGTGAAAAATAATAAATTACGACCTTAATGAATTAATATTTTATTTTACTTTTTATTTAATACATTTAATTTATTAATCATTTTTTGTCTTCTGACACACCTATCAAAGAATCCTGGGTCTGCCACTGGGTTCAATCCATTCTTACCGCCAAATACAACCTACCAATTTAGCCTCCAATAAAAAAAAATCTTATCATATAGTCGGTACGATTTTTCAATCATTGTAAATAATATCAATACGTAAATCCAATAATTTCCCATATCAGCATGACGCTAGCCGGATTGTTTAATGGAGTTTTTGGCAAAATCAAGAACCATAACATGATCAGCCAACGACGAAGACAATTAGCAAAACAGTGCTGGCATGAACACGTACTTTCCCCCCTCCCTTTTCTGATCAATATTCCTGAATCCTGACACATAACTTACCTAAAAGATATATATATTTCCGACACATATATTCAGTTCTGTTCATTCAGCATGCAAATCCAAAGGGCCGTTCCAAAACACTTGATCTTCGTATCAGTGTGTGCATGCCATGCAGTGCGAAAAGTTGATTACTGTACACATAATTAATTTGAACAATTTATTATTTTCATCATTACCATTAAATAATCCATCAAGATTATGGGGTTATTGTTTGGATCTGAGATTCTTTTTTTTTATATACAAAAAGTAGTAGTGCTGAGAAGAATCATACATGCATAAGCCTGTGCACATTTGAAAAGAAAAAAAAAAGGATTAAGGAAAAGGAAACATAAGAGAATCTACATGAGATGTAGATGCATTTTAAGAACCATACAAAGGGAACTAACCCTACACGGTTGGTTGGCGACGTAACAAATTGAATTTATGGTTGTGTATTAAATGATCCCTTTTTTATAAGGTCATGGAATTGTATATAGAGGCTTGAATTGATGAGATTGCACTCGTATCGATCTCATAGTTATTGTTCAGGATGACCGAATGTCTAATCGGTGATTGGATTTCTTGGACATTATTCTGGGTGTAATATCTCATGAGTTTCTCCTAAGGTGGCCCTTGAACACAATTGCCTTCTTAACCACCTTTAATATTGTTCAATTGGTATTGTTCGGCCATGACAAGAAAAACACTCAAAAACACCGGTGAAATGCAAAGGTGTGATGGAAGGAGAAAAAAAAAGAAGTAAAACCAGCAAGAAAGTAAATGACAAAAATAGTAACTTGATTTCTTATCACACAATAACCTGAAGTCCCCGACAATAGCATCAAAAGGTTAATTGTTGTCGACTTAAGCTCACTACACTAACCGAGAAAAAGTGCACCCTAGATTAATGAAGCAGTATAGTGGATACTATGGTCATATTCCACAGTTCTTTGGTATGTACTACTACTTTGATGCCTATTATTTTGCCAGTAAATTGATGATTCAATTACTCTAAGGAAGCAAAAGTAAACTAAATTAGCAAGTAGGTGTAACTCAAGATTGAGAAGGTACTTGGTATTGGAATCCCCCCTCACCCTAGGATAGAATCAATTTGTAAAGCATTCTCATGTAATCACCATAAGCCTTATATGACGCAAGGAATCACAAAGTTAAGTAATTGAGTCAAAAGTTATGCACTCATTACTTCTTAAATAGACCAATTTGCTCAAAATTGATGCAACCAAAAGCTATATATAGAACTAGGTCCATATTTTCCTATTTTGATTTTACCCCTTAGCAGATGAAACCATCATTCTAAAGTCAAGTCTCAACTTATCTTAAAGTCAAGTCTCAACCTATTTATGAACTTATTGTTAAAATGGTATGAGTTTCTCAACTTTAGACATGAATTACAAGTATTTATTAACTTATCTAAACTATGTCCACTCATATTTTATCGTACTTAACACATTTTTCGTTATATTAAAGTATGCGTAAAAAACTTACGTTTTTACGCTTTGATTCTACGCTTTACGATTTTACCCATTTTCCGCTTCTAGGTAGAATCGCGTTTTTGACTGCATTGTGCAAAATACCCACAATCCTTTACATAAGCGACGGGAAAGACAAGATCACGATAAGAGATTATGTATCTGAGCTCATAAGGGTGTTCATGATCTAAAAGATGGTATCACATTGATAAATTCATGACTCGAAATTTGAGCATCACAAGCCAAGAAATCAAGACCAATATGGATGCCCATGATCTAGCCCCTTCTGGTCGTGATCCTTTTTTTTTTTCTTTCTTTTTTGTCTTCAATCAACCTACATGAACTTTAGGACACGGTTAATCCGTTCAAGGCCAGAGATCATGACTGTTATCTTCTGAAAGTCTTTCTTTTGTCTTCTAGACTTACACCTCAAAGCTTGAATCATGCCCAAATACATTTATTTTTAGACATAAAAATATGGCAAGCAAAACATCCTAGGCTAAAATGGAGCAATTATGGAAACTATTATAGTGACTTGATCATGATAACACCTAAGAATGAGGGGATATGAAAATGCCTCATTTGTGCATCATCAACCATTGTTTTCTTCAAAAGCCCAATAATCATTGTGAACCCAACCCTGTGCACACCCAGGCCCTGCCCGTAACGGCGTAACCCCCTTCAGCTCGCAAACATCCTATTCTTATCCTCTACAAATTTTAATTAATCTCAACCCAATTGACCATTTTACCTCGACCTATTTGAATATCACGCCATCTCCTTAGATTCCCATGTTTCCATTTTCATAAAATAATTTCGGTTGTGTCGAAGAAGAAAGAGAAGAACGGTAACAATTTCTTATGATTATCAAGTCGCGGTATGCACTCTTCTGACTCTCCCTCTCCGGGGTTCCCTTTTCTAGTCTCCCTCTCCCAATTGGTGTATCTATACGCCGGGGGGGGGGGGGGGGGGGGGGGGGGGGACGAATCTAACTTTGCCCCAGTCTTGAGTCTTCGTCCTCTTTCTACCTCCATCAAAGATTCGTAGCTCTTTGATCGTTGTGCATAAAAAAAGTTCAAAGTTTAGTTACCAATCCATCATCTATCAACCGAAAACATACAAGTAGACAACTCATAGCCATGTAAGGGTGAGTTTGGGTAGAAGGATTTGGGATTTCAAATTATTGCAGAAGATAGAGCCACATGTCATGGACTCATGGCCAGGAAAGAGTCACGGCCAGAAAGGTACGCCTTTGAGAGAACATATGGAACAACTTAATTGCATCTTGTTAGATTTGCGTAATATAGATGTTAAAGTTGATGACGAAGTTGTTGCCCTAATACTGCTTGTTTCTTTGCATAGTTCATATGAGAAATTTGTAGATTTTTTTATTTTTGATAAAGATAGCTTGTCATTGGAAGATGTCATATATGATTTTCATACTAGAGAGATCACGCATAAGACATCCAGATCTGGTATAGGTAGGTGGAAAGGGAAAGAAGAAATCTGGTAAAGGAACTTCGAACATGAACTGAAATTATAGGAGTCTCAGTCCATTGTCAAGTGATGCCTGTCACATCTATAAAGAAGTGGTTACATTGGAAGTACAACTGTCCCAGAAAGAAGACAACAGAAAAATCAAGGTTCGATTGTCGTGGCAGAAGTGGACAATAGTTCCGAAGATAATCTCGACTTGGTTGTAGATGAGAAGGCACATCGTGGTGCTGTGTGGTTTCCGAATACCGCAACCTCATATCACATGTCTCTGAATAAGGATTGTTTCTCAATCTACGAGTAGATAGATGGTGGTAACGTGGTTATGGCCAATGCAATTATTTGCAAGGTGGTTGGAATCGGGTCTATCAAGATTCGGACACATGATGGTCTGTTTTGTACCATGAATGAATTCAGGCATATTCCACAAATGACGAAGAATCTTATCTCCTTGAGTCTTCTCGATAACAAGGGTCTTAGTTTCAAAGGAAGAGTGGAGTTTTGTATGTCTGCAAAAGTTCGAGGAAGATACTGGAGGCAGTAGGTATTTTTTTTGTCTGTTAGTGATGATTACTCAAGATTTACATGGATTTTCATGATGAAGCAACAAAGTGAAGCATTCACGAAGTTCAAGCAGTATATTTTCTTTATATTATATGGATAAGCAAGATTGAAAGATAATATTTTTTTTCTTTATCTACAAATACCTATAAGGCAATGTCAATAAATGACTTTCGCCACCTCAGCCCTTGCAGCGCATACCACATAATTCGGAGGGTTATATTTGTATATTTTCTCTCTGGCTCTTCTCAGAAACTACCGCTCTTTTTTTCTTTCCTTTTTCGTATATAATTGTAAAATTACAATCCCATTAACCTATGTAGTCACCAACTCAATAACTATTTTCCGCCTTTTTACAAGCCCACAACCCCTAGGCCAGTCATTTAACACAAAACATTATTTTATTTGGGCATATGATCAACAGATTTGGAACAATTTTGATTTTTTTCATACAAGCTATTGATCTATTAAATTATATCATATTAGTTATTTCATAACTTGATTTAGTTCAAGATAAGTATAGATTGCAATTGTGACATAATCCGTTTTACGCGACTTGTTTGATATGTGTTGAGTTGGAACGGGCATGATTATTCTACTCGATCTAACCCACCTCATTCTTGACCAATTTTATCTAAATTGTATGTAATTTTTCTCAAATTACTTAGAATTTTACTTTTATTAATTTATATTTTAGCTATAACAAATCTATGGATATGTAAGAATCTTAATTTATCAAATAATTTAACTACATTTATCATGTTATATTTTGTTTCTTTATTTTTCAATGTAAAAATTGACATTTTTAATATTTTCTTTTTAAATTTTAAATTATACTGATATGGGTCAACTTGTCTGGATTCCCATATCTAATAAATTACCCAATCTCTTACGTGATGAGTATGGCTATCGAAATATCCGTCCCGACATGCTCATTATCATTCCATAACACCTGAGATCTTCCTTTGTTTAAAATGGAATCTGAATTGTAGATTTCATAGAATAAAATATTTAAATAAAATATTAGTATATTTATATTATCATAGTCACATAAGATAAACGTTATTTCACAGAAAAGAGAATTACCGGCCAATCTGCCAGAGCCACAAACTTATGGAAATAGCTGAAGATCATGGAATTAATTTTTTTAGTCAATTGGATTTGGCAACTGAGTTTTGATATCTTTAGGATTTTTTTTATCTTTCTAAATTGGAAAAATCAAATAATTCATATTTTTTCGTCGGTTAGAATTGAATTAGTTGGAAGGAATTATCAAGCGAAAGATATCTGATTTAAAAATACAATTATTTGAGATGCAAGAATATCAATAGCATATAATTCATTGCTCATGATAATGAATAATATTTCTTTTACTCCAACTCATACATTAATACATTATAAATATGAGAGTTGTAGTTGTGAAATCATCACAAAACAAACACTTTTGATTACGTGGTGATCGGGCAAACCCGGCCATTGGGCCGGGCCATATACTAGTAATTGATAAGGGGATGTTACCCACACAATAATAAATAATAAATATTGAAAGTTTCTTAATATTTTTGATAAGGGTGATATATGTTTCATTTTGTTGTAATTAAGATACTACTTAAGAGATTCAAACTTGGAACCTCCAGGTTCTAGACTAGTGATATTACCACTAGGCCAAGCCCTTATTCGTGAAAGTTTCTTAATATTTACCATTTGGACTCCTTAATCTAATGGTTATGTGTAAGTTATGCATGTATATTTTTGTTTATATATGTATGCATCTTACCTAGAACCTACAACTATGTTTGGAGGATGCGTCTGTTTTAAATTGATGCATTTATTCGATTTATGTATTCATATTATATGTATTGTTTCAAAATAAAATTGAAAAACATAGACTATTTGTAAGTTGAGGTATTATTTTTTGTAAAGAACAAATTAAACCAACACATTTTAAGTTCAAAGAGACAACCTCACTTTTTTTTTTTTACATTGATAACACTTCATTTTGAAATATTAGATGTGTTCTTCACAAAGTCAATATATGAATGGTGGCTCAAAATAAAACAAAAATGACTTCTTCTCAATAATACATGTATTGGCTAAATATCCTCTCAAATTCCACCTCCAAACAAACCTTGCATGATTGATTGTGCAGTACATAACTAATTTGAGTGCTCTTTTTCTTTATTTCAATACTCCATTATTTCAAAATTTGAAGTGAAATAAACTTTAAGAGTGTCATAAAATCAACAAAAAATTTATCCCGTGCACTTTAATTCCTAACTTCGTGTCAATTTCCAAATCATTAACCATCCTTACCAAAAGTAACACATAATCCCTAAAATTCAAAAAGTCTACAATTGGTATAATAGTTAAAATAATACAATAAATTATAATTGGATATATAGTAATTTCTATGAACCCATTGGGAACAAAAGAAGGCACATAAATTAAAAAAAAATTGAGAATAGAAGGTAAACCCTAAAAATAAAAAAATTTCGAAAAAAAAACTAATTTTTTTGTGAGAAAAATTGTTCTAGTTTATAGCCTAGAATCTATTAAATTAGAAGATGAAAATGAAAGAACACTAAGAAAAAAAGAACAGTTGCTACAGCACAACAAAATTCACCACTACCAATCGTCCACAGACCACAAATGAACAAAAGGTGAAAAAAAAAGAAAAAAATTACCTAGCTCAAAAGGGAAATTTAGGAATGGAGGAACTCCGTCAATCAGAAGCCAGTTTTTTTTTTATCCAAGATAAGCCCCTAGGGCATGGCCGGATAACAACAATATAAAACTCAAAATAATAAAGAACGGTAGTACGTATGCAACTGGACTCCCGATGAAAGAGCCTGTTATGCCACGAGGTGGGCAGCTCTATGAAAACTCCGGGGAGCAAAATGACACGAAACTGACACAGGGAGTGAGAAGAGGGAGAGAAACACTTCCCTCATATGGAGTCAGCGCTCGAATGGGAAGACTTCCTCTCTGAAGCATCTGTGATGGCCAATTGAGAATTTTCTCAAAATAAAATGCCAAAGCATTATGAGTAAGTCACCATCTAATAGACATCATTAATACCATGAATAATTTACCAAGAACAAATAACCTTAACTGATAGACTGATGAGGTCGATTGCACTTCCTTAATGTGTCTTAACTATAATAAGATTCTCCTGCAATGCAGACAACCCAAAAGGGATCCAAAAATGCTAGAAATATCTAATCAAAGATAATAAAGTTTACCATTAAGACTTAATCAGAATAACTGGAGAAACCACACCCATGACTCCATTAGATGAGTCATCCAATAAATCTAATAAGAAAGAAATTAATTAAATTGAATAGGTTAAACTTAACGCAAATAAAGTTCAAAAAGAATACATTGTAATAGAAAACTCAATAAACTGAGAATTAGTCAAAGTAATGCAAACTGATTGGTAAATGGTCAATCTAATGCACATAAGCCACAATTACACCGAATGGATGGGCAACAATTAATTATAATTATAACAATTAAGCGAACCAAAGAAAATAATTTAGATAGGGTCCTCCATTACTGTCCTAATTGGTATAAACTTATTCAAAACTAAAAAGAGAAAGATGCATTAAGCATAATTGTCATGGAATTAAAGGAATTCTATAATAATTGGAATCAATGAGAAATAGACAATAAAATCACACTCATAAGTTAAATCAAACGGAATTGAAAAAGACAGATGATGAATAATTAGCCCACAAAAGAGGGAAACAAAAGACAATAAAAAGAGATTACTTAGAAAAAACCGACACAATTAGCATCTTAAAGAGGGCAACAAAACAACGGAAACTGAGCCAAGAAAAAGGGTCTCTGAGTCTATTGAATAGAGAGAGAAATTGAGGAATAATACCTCCAAATTGATTCATAGCAAAGGAACGGAAATTGCATTTAGTTCCATGCCAATAATTAGGTAAAAGGTTAAATTATTCAAAAATTACCGTAATCGTAGAGCCCATCATAAATGCCGGTCGGAGAGAGGTATCCATCGGAACCTTGTCGGTGTTGGAGAGTAGAGCACCGATGATCGGAAACTGGGAACCAAAGCCAATTTAATTTGAAATACAGAGGCTCTGGGAGAGGCTCAAAGCAACGACAAGAGTTGAATCCAGAAGAATTAACAAATAACAGGGCTAATTGCTATGACTAAATAAAAAAAAAAGTGTTGTGAGGGGCTAAGGCATCTCTGCGTCGCCACCACTCTCGGCGCATTCTTCATCGTCACGCGCTATTTCTATTTCTCCGGCTACACCACCGGCGTCCCACCAGAATCGGAAAGGGCAGACAGAGCGAGATTTAACAAGCAAAGCGATTCCAGAAATTGTAAAAAGAATACGCAAACCTTCCAATTGTTTGACCTTTGGCCTTTTGGCGACGTTGTAGAGGCCGGTACTGCCTGCCAATTGCTTCCCGTTGTGACGCCAAGAAAGAGGATGATTTTAGAGAGAGTAGCAGCAGCTCCAGGTTATGGGCAATTCAAGCGGAAGATTGACGGCCTTTGGAGAGAAGGATGGTGGAGTACAGGTTGATCACATCTTGGTACTGGAGAACAGGCCTTGCTTCCGGAGTCCTTTAAGTTACAGGAAATGTTCAACTTGGGAGCAGAAATTGAGATCTCGTCTCCTGGGTTTCGTCAATTCAGGAGCGGTAATCAATCCACAAGAACATCCACGCTCGTGATTCCGCATTCGGCAGTTGGGGAGCGGCGGAGATCAGCAGACTGCCGCCCTCATCGCCGGAATCTATTGTCATGACTGAGAGCGTGGTCGGTCTTAGGGTTTGCAGGTGCCGGAGAGGCCGGGGGGGAGGGCCAGGCAGGAATGAGATGAATCATGAATGGCTTGTCGTTGAAGACGAAGTGAGAAGAGAACGGGGTTCCATCGCCGGGAGACGGCGGCGGTTTCTGTGTCGTTGGCGAGAGAAAGGATGTGGTTGAGAACTTCATCGAGTAGCCTACTGAATGCGCGTCTGCAAAAACAAGGGAGTAAATGAACATATTAACCCTAGCAAAAAATAAGGTAGGAAAACTCTACCATTAATTATTCTCTTGATTCTTGATTCGAGTTTTTCTTAACAAGGGTTTTAAATGACTTCAATTTATTTTAATAGTACCTAACTTAATATTATATTCAATTCAGTTAAAAGTTTGTTTTAAAACTTATGCTTTTACGTTTTGCACTTCCGAATATTGTAGGGTCGGTTGGTTTTGGTGATAGTTAAATTGATGCATTGTCATCAATGCATGCATAATAATACATGTATATAAGAAAATTGGTGTATTGTAGTTTACATCGTTTGGTTTTTGTGATAGTTGTTGTAACATTCAAATAAGTTATATTACTACGATAAAAAAAGGTATATTACTTTTTGAGTGAAACGTCACTTTATTCTTTGTTTTTAATTTAAAAAGCAACACATATAAAAAGGTAGGGACCTAGTTGGAAGAAAGAAAAAAACCCAACAATCTAAAAAAAACTGGAGATTTAACTATCACTCACACCAAGCAAACAATACATGAATTGTTTGTGCAGAAAATTCAGAAAAACAATGCATTATGGAAAATACATGCATTGTAACTATCCCATGATCGTTTGGTTTTGGTGATAGTTAAATTGATGTATTGTCATCATTGCATGCATAATAATATGGTTATGTCTATGGTGACTTGCAAGTCACCGTAACTTGGAGAAAACGGTCGACCTCTTCCACCAAGTGGTCTACCACTGGAGTCAATCAATCTACCACTTCTGGAAATTGGTCGACTTGATGACACACTTACATTCAAGTGGTCAACCTCTTCGACCAAGTGATCGATCACTTTCTAAAAAAATGGTCGACTTCTTCCACCAAGTGGTTTACCACTTGAGTCAACCGATCTACCGCTTCTGTTAATGGGTTGACCTGATAACACAATTACCTTTAGGTGGTCGAACTCCTCCACCACGAGGTCAACCACTTTCCAAGAAAATGGTGTATCACTTCCACCAAGCGGTCTACCACTTTTGGCAATGGGTCGACTTGTGTCACACTTACCTTCAACTTACACTTGCTTGCTGGAGGAGGTAGACCGCTTCCACCAAAACAGTCTACCGATTCCGCAAAATGTTTTACGTACCTCTTTCAGCGAACGATCTCTGCTTTCGGCGAACGGTCGACCAGATGACACAGTTACCTTATACTTATATTAGTAAAATAATGGACAATAGGAGACCAACAATATAAATATTTTGTAGTAACGCAACATCCTATCACCAATGGGCAACCAAATCCCAACGCAGATTATAAGCCAAGAGGCCCAAGTCAAAAAGAAACACTATCTTTTAACTCTTCTAGAATAAAAATCCACAAAAACCGATGATATGATATTTATGGACGTTGAAGATTACACAATTGTATAACAAATATACTTTACTTTTTGAGTATCTTCATAACAACAATAGCAACAAAGTTTAGCCATCACAAGAAAACTATAGGATAGAAACAAGAAAACTTAGAGTTTGAAGTAAAGATGGAAGTCTCTATAGACTAAGTCAAATATAAGAAATAAATATGCGGAACATTTTTCAAATCTACTAGAGAACAATCACGAGAAACTTGTCATCTATGCTTGCAGCCTTTGTACTGATTTTAAATCTCTTACTAGCAAGAATATTCATTATTATTGGACTCTAATTATATATATGATGATATCACTAACAATGGTTAGCATATCCATTATTATTAGGTAGACCAATTATTGAAAGCGGCGGACCGTTTGGGGAAAGAGGTAGACCACTTGATAAAAGTGGTAGACCATTTTTTTCCTATAATGAACGACATTTTAGTGGAAGAGGTCGATCGTTTGTTGAACATAGAAAAATGGAAAATAATACATCTGGTTGACCATTCCAACAATGAGGTCAACCATTTTGTCCAAATAAGTCGACCATATCAGTGAAGAAGTCGACCGTTTTGTCCAAATCACGGTGACTTGCAAGTCACCATAGCAAAGTCCTATTAATATACATGTATATACAAAAATTGTTGTATTGTAGTTTACATCGTTTGGTTTATGTGATAGTTATAGTATTAAATAAGTTAGATTACTTTTTGAGTGAAATGTCACTTTTACCCTTTGTTTTCAACATAAAAAAACAACACACATAATAAAGTAGGGTAATAGTTGGAACAAAAACAAAACCCAACAATCTCACCCAAAACTTGAGATTTAACTATCATTCATTTTGAGTGATAATTTGTGTCAAATCAAGCAAACAATGTTTGTATTGTTTGCACAGAAAATTCAAAAATAAAACGATGCATTGTAACTATTTCAATCAAACTATCACCGAAACCAAACGACCCCTTAGTCTCGTTCAAAAAGCTTTTACGCCAAAAGTTCTAGTAAAGCCCTCAAACCTAGCAGAATCATAGAAGCTAGCTTTTAAACCACTTTTTTAGGCTTTGATACACTTGTATTAGGAAAATTTTGCAGGGATGTAAAATTAGGGTTGCAAATGAGTTGAGTCAAGGTTATGGATGGCAACAAAACCGGAACCCACGGGTAAAATCCGTGTTGATGGGTTTTGGGCCAGGTTTAAGTTTAAACCCGTTCACTATTCATTGGGTTGGGTTGGGTTTGTGTTTACGTAAATCCGACCCATGGGTACCCACCCACACCCATATAATTAATTTTCTCGGTATATTTAATATTCTAGGCAACTAATCTATTTATATTTGGGAAAAATCTCAAAGTACACTAGTACTTAAAAACAATTCCCAATAATACAGAAGTTATAAAAAAAATTCACAAAGTACACATGTTTCACATTCACCATTTTTTACTAACGCAGTGAATACAATCACCGCATTAGACAAACACGGTAAACATTTCACCGTTTTAAATTAAAACGATGACGTATTCACCGTCTTTAACAAAAACGGTTAACAATTCACTACGTGTAACCAAAACAGTGAAGACATCACCGTGTTATTTAAAATCGTTGAATACGTTACCGTTTTAGGGCAAGGCGGGGAACATCTTCACTGCCCTAGGTTACGGCGGTGATTGTTTCCCACGTTTCCCACACCTGGTAGGTGAAAATCATGTCACAACCACCTAATGTTCGTCGTTTGAGACAAATGCGGTGATATTGTTCACCGTTTGAGACAAAGGCGGTAAATGCTGGCCGATTTTCCTATAAATACCACTCCCACCAGCGTTGTAAAAACGTAACCCCTCTCCCTCTTCAAATTTCAGCAACCAAAACTGAGCAACATACACATAACATGAATTTTCGGTATGATTTAATTTCCGTATTGTATCCTAATGATATTTTAGTAGTTATATTGTTATGTTATGAATTACTTATCATAGCAAATATGTTTTGTTAGTTGAGGAATTTATGTTGTTGTTAGTTAGTTGAGTTTATGTTATGTTAGTTATGAGATGGAGTAATATTAGTCGTACAATATGGTTTTGGTTAATTTTATTGGAATTAAGCTAATAGTTACTTATTATAAATTGTAGATATGGGTAAATTCAAGAAGTTTCAACTTATTATTCGGTGGAATGGAAGGATGACAAACTCTGACATAGGGATTGATTATAAGGACGGTGATTCCACTATGTTGAAAATTGAGTCGCGATTCAATTTTCAAGAACTTTGTGATATTTGTGCAGATAGGGTTTGTACGAGCGGACAGACGAGACTTGGTAGTAAGTATGAAATAAATGTAAATTTGGGCTAAGTATGGAATAAATGTAATTTAAATCTAGCTAAGAAGCATGGAATGAATTAGCAATTAGGCTAAGTACGTAATAGGTAGTAATTTAAATCTAGTTAAGCATGGAATAAATTTGCAATTAGGCTAAGTACGGAATAAATTTGCAATTAGGCTAAGTACGGAATAAATGTAATTTAAATCTACCTAAGCATTGAATAAATTTTAATATAGTTAAGTACGGAATAAATTTGCAATTAGGCTAAGTACGGAATAAATGTAATTTAAATCTACCTAAGCATTGAATAAATTTTAATATAGTTAAGTACGGAATAAACTTACTTGGCACCATAGGGGAGATTTTGCACAAACCATAGCTCATCATCTGCTCTCCAGTATGGATGTGGGTCTTGAGGTGCGAACATTGGAAGATGCTCCCATACCCAGAGCTGGAGGATGAACATCGCCGCACCAGCTTGTCTCGCTCCCACCTTCGAGCAAGTACAGAGCTCCCTGTATATGCCAGCTAACACGGCCGATCCCCAACTCTTTTCCCCGTTTGCGTCCCAGTCACCAGTGAGCAATGGCAACCATATGCCTTGAATCCACCTGTTTGACTTGTCGGGGAATAGAAATCCACCCACCAAACCAATGAGGTAGATGCGTGCATAGCGTTCCACTTGATCTTCCAGAGTCTCGTCATTGATTTCCACCTCATTTTGGATGTGAGTTACGAGCCACGGGATCGACACTTGTCTCGCATTCAATGGTGGATGCCCCCGTCCTTGAATTGGTGTGGTGGTCGGCATGTCAAATCCCAATTCAGCAAGAATGAGCGGCCCCCAACCTCCTTCGGGTTTGGTAGTGGTACCAATGATGGCCTCTCCAGAAATCGGCAGCCCGGTGAGGATCGCGACATCTTTGAGGGTGATCGTCATTTCCCCCTCCGGAAGGTGGAACGTATGGGTTTCGGGGCGCCATCGATTCGACATTGCTGTAAGCATATCGTTGTCGAATTCAATCCGCATGAAATGTCTCAACATACCCAACCCGGTCCTCTCTATATACGGCGCCAACAGATCATGCTAAGCGGGAAGGTTTGTGATCCCTTTATGAATGACGGGAATAAGTGATACCTACAAAAAAAATAGGAAAAACATCAATTTGTTAGTTAAAAGAAAGCAAAATAAAACCTTATAAAATGACGCAAAATAAATCATCAATTTACCGGATTGTTGTCCCAAATTGCACGGGAGCGATGTGCTTCTTGATCGGTTAAATACTTCGTATCTCTTGGCCCATAATGGATATACAATCGAGGATCGTATATCTCGGCACCCATCTATAAAAAAAGTAATGAAATCAGATTGTTTTATTAAAAAAAACACAAAATCAAATTGTTTCGATTAAAAAAAATCACAAAAGAAAAACCAAGAACCTACCCGAAAAGCCTCTTCGTCCATTTTTTGGCGGAAGCCGGACTGAGGTTCGACGGGTTTCTAAGGGATGGAGGCTTTAGGGTATAACTCTAGTAATTATTTATGATCTGGAAGATCGGACTTAGTCACAACCACAGAGCATACTTAGAACGAGACTAGAGTGGATGGATGGATGGAGAAAGAATTGTAAATGTGGTGGTGTGATTTGGAAGAGGGGGAGGGGGAATGGTCTTATTTATAGGGGAGGGAAGGTTGTGCGTCAAAACACAAACTGCGCCATCACCGCCTATGACAAAGGCGGTGAATAAACCGCCTTTATCGAAGACGGTGAAGGGCGCGGATCGAGCTGACGTGGGACGCTGTGGGATGTCGGATCTGGGAAGAAAACCAAAAATGTGCCTCACCGCATCCAACGGCAATGGTGAGCAGCTACACGACGTGGATCGTTGACGTGGACAAATGCGGGGTATTCACCGCGTTTGTCTAACGCGGTGAATACCCCACGTTTGTCCACGTCAACGAACCGCATCGCTTTCATCGTGACTGATCGATACTGTGAATATTTCACCGCGTTTTATTAAAACGGTATTTCTTCACCGTTTTCGTTTAAGGCGGTGAATGGTAAGCTCGTTATTCAACGTTTTGCTTACCACGGTGAATACGTCATCGTTTTAAATTAAAACGGTGAATTGTTCACTGTGTTTGTCTGACGCGGTGATTATGTTCAATGGGTTAGACAAAAACGGTGAATGTGAACATGTGTAATTTGGGAAATTTTTTTATAACTTATGTACTTTGAAATTTTTTTAGTTACTAGTGTACTTTGGGATTTATTTCCTTTATATTTGTGGAGACATGTCTAATTTTTTCATTCTAATTGTGTAGAATGAAGTTGATGTTATCGAGTGGAGAGTGAAGAAATTATTGAAAGGAAAAAGTTTTCAATAATCATGTTATTTATGGATAATTTGTGATTTGCTTCATTTTTTTTGAGTTTTCTAGATTGATGTTGAACAATTTGTATAGTTAATTTGTGATTTGCTTGAATTTTCTAGAATGATGTTTTACATATGGATAATTTGTATTGAGAGATTGATATTTGACTTTAATTTTGATAGGAACTTGTTATTGTAAATTTTTTACGACAAAAACCCGTGGGTACCCATGAACCCAGGAATACCCAGCGGGTTGGGTTGGGTTTGAGTTTTTCAAACCCAGTGGATTTAACCCTTGTTTTTTTCACGAATAAACCCATGAGTTTGGGTTTGGGTTTGGCAAAACCCGACCCATTGCCATCCCTAGTCAAGGTTGAGCTCGGGTCATTTATTAACGAGCCGAGTCGAGTTCGAGCTAGCTTGTTTACAAAAATCTTGACTCTTATTTGATATATTCATTTTGTATGTCATGTATGATACATGTGGTTAATGTCAAGATGAAAAAAAATAATGATAATAGTTAAGTGTTCAGTATTAACCAATTTCATGTTATACTTTGTGGTATCATATTATTTAGTTAATAAATTTTAACTAGTCAAAATTATGTTATTTTATAGTAGCGAAGCAATAATATACATAATTTCTTTTTAAAATTAGATAAGACATATTTGCTAAATTAGGTTTGCTAGCCAAAAGAGAAGAAACTACTAAAATGTATTTGTTTTTACTAGGGCTGTCCTTTTAGTTTTTCCTACTATGAATTCAATCGTCCATATTTCATTACTGATTACCCCTTCTCCTTCATTCTCGTCTTCCTTCTACATCTAAAATCAGCACACCCCGCATCCATATTCTAGCCGCCTACATCTTTTCTCATCCCTGCAACTCTCACCCCACCCTTGTGACTATGCTGTCATTGAAACTCGTCTCATTCGGCCTCCCATTTGCAGTCACTTTCACATATCAGCAAAAATTTCCTATAACTCTTATACCTTCATCATTTGTGGATGGTTTCCATTACTTTTCTTTCCCGAAAGCAGGAAGAAGGCGGTGAATGTCTGTTTAAAATTCTATTAATTTAGTTTATGTATGTGAGAGTGATCTTTAATATATGAACTACTTCACTTATTTGTTTACATGTGTCAAAATAAAGTTATGGTAGGAAAAATTCTATTAAATTTGTAGAATGTTTAATAACTTACGGTATTATACTTTACTTTTGCACTTCAACTTTTTACCCATCATTTCGCTTTTACATAAAAGATAGACTTTGACTACATTGATTTTATCCAAATTACTTAAGGAAGTATCATATTAAGTATTACATTTAGTGCATATTTTAACTGAAAATCTAGAACAATACACCATAGCGACATATCCTCAACAATATTTGTTATATACAACATATTTTGTTGTTGTATTCAGTAATTCCAAGTGTACCTTAAGGGTCTCTTCTATTTGTTGCGATAAAGTTTTGTATTTCCATGTATTGCATTTTTGTTTGACTTATTTTGCAGGGGTTCTTTCCGTCGATTTCGCGTTTGGATGTAATCACGATGGTTTATCACTCTCGTGTAGAGGTAATCATGAAGGAAGTACTCTACTTTTTTATTTGAGTAAGTTTCGTGTCTTTTTTGCTCATTAGAACTTTGATAAAGCTGTCCATCTAGTAGCAAAACAAACTCTTTTATCAGGAATCCGATTGCATGGACTATCATTTTTTATTATTGTTAGTTTTGTAAATTTGTTGTTCCCTATATTGAAGACTTATTTTGGAGGATAAAAAAACCCAGAGATAAGTCAAATACAGAACTGACCCAACCCACACCGGTTTTGGGCCGGTTTCCTCAACCCAGACGGCTGTGTATTTATGGAGATTATAGTAGGACCAGCAAATGCAGCATGGGAAGTGGCAAGTGGGATGGGTGTCTTCAACAATTAGTCCACAGGCCCAAGGAATTGAAAGACGCGAGCACAAAAGAAGATTGGGCCGGGCAATATCCCGATCCCATTTGGAGGTCAGCAAAGAAACCAAAGTTAGGATGGGGGAAATTTTTTTTTGTAAACGTGAATGAAAGTGCTCTTTTGGCGTTAGAATCAAAATTTAAAAGGATGGCAAACACGTATATATGGCAACCTAGGTGTTCAAATGGATTGATTACCATGGTAACAATATTAACCGGTAGTATTCTGTTAATTTGGTTTGATTAATTTGAATAATTGGTTTGGTTTGATTTGGTTAAATAGTTTAGCTTATTTGGTTTTGGTGGTTTGGTTTGGTTTCAACACTGCTAACCAATAAAACCAATTAATGATACACCTAATATACAAAATTATTTATACTTTCATGCAACCAATCAAACCAAACTTTCGTGATTCGTTATTTTATTACCATGTGCACAACAAACCAAAACATTATGGGCCAAAAATTAAATGGGCCTGCCTATTTACTAAACCAAAACATTTTGGACAACTATAGACTTTAGGATTACGTACAATACCATGACAGTCACCTTAAACTATGTATAGTTTAAGTGTTTTGTAGGAGAGCTTTAACTTCCGGATGAGTGGTATTGATATGTATTTATGTTAAGGGGTTTGTTGTAAGCTAACTATATTAGGTGCAGAGATGACGAATGATGTATTAACTCGAATGATGATGACAATCATGGATGGTTAGTCTTATTATAATTGCTTATATATAATGATAATTTATGATAGTAACAATATATGGTTATGTTTTATTCATTAACAAGATAATTGTTTTCATGTAATATTATGTTATTTGGTTAATCCGATTATCCGATTAACCAAATCAATTAAACTTTGGTTTGGTTAATTTGGTTTTCCTGTTAATTTGGATGGTTTGGTTAAGATATTTTATTCCATGGTTAATGAAATTTAGCTTTAATTGGTTTGGTTATTACCATGGTAACCATTTGAACACCCCTAAGCTTATGTATTAAGTGCCCTATACTATACATTTGTGTTCACACTATATTTTTATATATTCAATGAATAAAAACCTTGAATTTTTTAAATTAAATAAATTTTAGGGTTTGAGTTAGAGAATTTTGGATCGAGGTTCCTTCATTAGAGGTTAGGGTATAGTATCATGTCCCGAACTCTAGTTAATTTGTGGTCTAAATAGCAAAACTCAACAGGAGTACAGTAGTGTGAAGACTACGCCTAGTGTATGCTAACCTGAACCATATATATATGGTTTTGTCTTCGGTGCACTCACTTTTTTTGTGCATTCAATGCACTCGCCTCATAATCGTCATTTTGAGCGAGCGATTCATGTCAAAACAATGTCAACTGTCACTGTGATATGATGGACAAGAAAACACATGATTTGCACAAAAAACAATCAAGATTTACTTTGGTTTGAAGGTTTTAGAGATTAGGAATTTAGAGTTAGAGTTATGATTTTTAATTTGGGGTTTAGGATTAGTTTTCAAAATTAAATGCTTAGGGGTTAGGTTAATGACTTGATTAGTTGTGATTTTATGTTATACATCATATCTTATTAATTTTATCAATTAAAATCCGAAGTTTGATGTCTTAAATATACTTTTAGAGTTGAGTGCATTAAATGCACTAAAAAAATGAGTGCACCGAAGAACACCAGATATATACATATATGGCAAATTCACGTGTACGCCTGCGTTCACACTTGTTATTTGCACTTTGATATATATCGACAAATCACAACCATCGTTTCTTATTTTCTTAGATTAAATGAATTTTATAGTTCGGGTTAGAGAATTAGGGACTGGAGTTCAACAATTAGAGTTTAGGGAATAGTATCATGCCACAAACTCCAGTAAATTTGTGGTCTAAATAGTAAAACTCGACAAATGTACGATAGTGTAAACATAGGCGTATAGAGTACGCCTGAGGCTGGAGATGTGGCCTAGCGTACGATAGCCTGAACCATATACATAGGTGTTGTGTAACAAACCTAACTACAATACCGATGGCTATTATGGATGGGAAATTGGGTTCGATTTTTGGTTTAAACCAAAATGAACCAACAAGAATCTTATTCGTTTCAGTTCTTTTATCCCAAAATTGATTTGTAGTTTAACGATTTTGGTTTAAACCGAAAAATGATATGAAACCAAACCCGAACCTTATCTAACCGAAACTATTACAAATTGATCCGTCAAAAGACTTATCATTCCTACCTCGTTAATAGACTTATCAGTTTTCGGTTAATCGATCAACTACTTAATAGATTATGTTTTTGTTTTAGGAAAACAGTTTATATCTATTTTCCGTTTTTAATGATTTCGATTCGATAAACCGAACCAACAACCCCGGTGGCTATTTAAGTATTAACAAAACTGTACTCGTAATTAACACAAATAACTCAATTAACATGAAAATGATGGATGCTTTTATTTTTTTTGGGTTGAGGTTGTGCGTGCTTACTGACTGACTAGTCGACGAATTCTGGATGGTCGTGAGTGGTTTCCAATTGTTTTCCAAGTCAAAGTCCGTATTTATGTGCTGACGATCGAGAGACGAGCCCGTTTACTCAGCACTGAATGAACAAATGGTGGATGTTAACGCGCACTTGTGGAAATCGCCATCGCCAACCACAATCCCACTGGAAATGAACTCCATTTATTCCAACTAACTTAGTTGCTACGGTGTCACTTGTTGATTATAAAACCAAAACAAACAAGAACATTGTGCGCCATGATTGCCGCCTCACTACTTTACATTTATTAATTTGGTTCGTCACATGTTAAATGGCATTTTGTTGCTTAGTCCTCATTCAAATCTCGTTCTGTGCTACATTGGAAGTTTAAGATGATGATTTTTCAACATTCGAAATTCTAATAGTGATTTTAGAAGAGGTGTAATGGGGACATTGGGGAGTCCATCAAATTTTTTTTTTTTTTTTAATGAATCAGATCATTTCCATTCCATCAAAAGCGTTGTTGGTAACAACCTTGCCAACTAGGTTAGTTTCAATTACAAGCAGATACTCAATAGTTCTAAATCAGAACAATCCAAAGAAACTAATAATTATAAAGCCCTCCAGCCCAGTGGAAGCCTCTTCCTTAAGAAGTCCAGAAACGGTCATGCTCCTCCCGTTGCACCAAAACAAAAATTTCACTTTTGATAACCTTAACAAGATCAGAAGAGACGTCCTTTAAACCACTTCCATACATTCTTGTGCAACGTTCTCGCCACGGAATGGGTTAGAGTGATTACTTATTTTTTAGTAATCACAGTGGCAACCTCTTTATATACCATTTGATTAATTATTTTCCCTTCTTTTTAATTTTACGGTCAAGATTCTTTTAGAGTAATTTTGAAAATTAAAAAGTGATCACACTTGATTATTCTATATAATCTACCCAAACTCTAGTTCTATCCTCCCTCCCGGCAAACCCGTCGCAGCCGCCTCCACGTACCACTCCCGTTGCACCGCCGGCAGCAGCCCCGGCCACCCTCAGCCACCGCAGCGGCCTCCCTCCCCTCTGTGCCGGTACTCTCTCTCTCTCTCTCTCTCTCTCTATATATATATATATATATATATACACCATCACAACATACATACCAAAGATATGATTTTGGCGGATAGTAGCAGCCATATACAACCATAATAGACATAAAAACCTAGATCTAGTAATTTTTTGTTTATTGATTCAATGTGCAGTGGTATTGGTTACTATATGTAATGGTATAGATTGTTTATATTGGTAGTTTTCGTGTAACGATATAGATTTATTTCTGCAATGGTATTGATTGTTTATGGTATAGATTGTTTATATCGATAGTTTTCGTGTAACGGTATAGATTTATTTCTGAAATGGTAGTTTTCGTGTAATGGTATAGATTTATTTCTGCAATGGTATTGATGTTTTTCAAAGTGGTAGTGTTTGTCTAATGGATTGGTACTGATTTCGTGTTTTTTTTTTTTGCAGAAAGATTAAGAAAAATATAGAAAGAAAATCTGGCTGGAGATTACGGAAGTGAGAGAAAGAGATAATTTTAATTAATAGATTTTTGTAACTACCTAAAATGTAATTTATTAAAAATTAATTAATATAATTTATTTTTCCATACCCAATTTACCCTTAGTAACCACGGTGATTACTACTGTTATAGTAATCACCGTAACCTGTCCCTGCTGAATAGCCCACAACAACCATGCATCCCAATAATACTGGCGCCAAGATGTAAACTGGCCAAACAACCCTCTAAACACCGCCTGGAAATAATCACATTCTCCATATAGATGGTCCCTGGACTCAAGGCCCAGGTTACATAACACACACAAGAGAACTCAGATAACCCCACTTGATCATCTTGTGCTTAGTCTGAATTCTATTATTAATGATGAGCCAAACAATGAATCTATTTTGTGGTAAAGTCAACCCCTTCCAATGTAAATCAACCCAACTCACCTTCTCCTTTTTTGTTCTTACAACATTCCAAAATTTTCTAATTGATTACTTTGCCATAAGTGAGTGATTCCAGTATACCTCTGCACTGTGAAAAGGTGAGGTATTTTACCTCAAATCATCATTAGCTTCCTCTAGTTCCAAGAGCATGTAGGAGCATGTAAAGACCAGAAGTCTCTTCCCTTTATCTTATAAGCCAACATCCAAGCTACCCATAAAGAACCATGTTGTAGTAGTATAGCCCAAAATCTGCCTTGTAATGCATGCATAATTACAAGAAGTAATGTCTATCAACCCTAAACCTCCCTCAGACTTAGGAAATGTCAGGTGTTTACAAGCCACTTTTGCTCTAAGTCTGAATCCTTAACCCACATCCCAAAGAAAATTACTGTAAATGTTTTTAATCTCCATTATAACACACTTGGGTAACACGAAGATGTTAAGCCAATATTGAGTTAGGTTGTATATCACAGTTCCTACTAGCTCAACCTTGCCTGCATAATTTAATGTTCTTAACTTACATCCCTGAATTTTTGTTGTAATGCAATCAATGAGTGGTTTACATGCAGCAACAGTTAGTTTACCTGCAATTAAAGGCACTCCCAAATATATAAATGAGAATTTCCCTTACTAATAACCATACCTAGCAACCATAGCTTCTTTCTCCCCTTATCCAAACCTCCCATGTATGATTCACACTTCTGAGGATTAGTTCTAAGCCCTGACAAATTCTTAAACTGTTCCAAGACCCTCTAAACACTCTGGATCCCATACATTCTTGTGCAACGTTCTCTCCAAAAACGACTCACCATCGACTGCCAAATCAACCTGCTTGCAACACAACCAATGTCATCTCTGCCAAAATGCTGAATTGCCCACAACAACCCTGCATCCTAATCAGATTGGCGCCAAGATGTAAATTGGCCAAACAACCCTCTAAACACCGAATGGGAATAATCACATTCTCCATATAGATGGTCTCTGGCCTCAAGACCCTAGTTACAACACACACACAAGAGAACCTTGATACCCCCACTTGATCATCTTGTCTTTAGTCTGAATTCTATTATTAATGATGAGCCAGACAAGGAATCTATTTCGTGGTATAGCCAACTCCTTCCAAAGTAAATCAGCCCAACTCACCTTCTCCTTTTTTGTTCTCACAGTATTCGGAATTTTCCTAATCAAATACTTTGCCATAAGTGAGTGATTCCAATATACCTCTGCATTGCGCACTGTGAAAAGGTGAGGGATTTTGCCTCTAATCTTCATTAGCTTCCTACAGTTCCAAGAGCCCGTAGGAGCATGTAAAGACCAGAAGTCTCTTCCCTTTATCTTATAAGCCAACACACAAGCTACCCATAAAGACTCATGTTGTAGCAGTATAGCCTAAATATGCCTTGTAATGCATGCATAATTCCAAGAAGTAATGTCTCTCAACCCTAAACCTCCCTCAGACTTAGGAAATGTTAGGTGTTTCCAATCCACTTTTGCTCTAAGTCTGACTCCTTCACCCACATCCCAAAGAAAATTACTGCAAATCTTTTCAATCTCCCTTATAACACACTTGGGTCACGGAGATGTTAAGCCAATATTGAGTTAAGTTGTATATCACAGTTCCCACTAGCTCAACCTTGCCTGCATAATTCATTGTTCTTGCCTTCCAACCCGAATTTTTGCTGTAAATGCGATCAATGAGTGGTTTACATGAAACAACAGTTAGTTTCCCTGCAGTTGAAGGCACTCCCATATATCTAACTGGGAATTTCCCTAATTGATAACAATATCTAGCAGCCATTGCTTCTTTCTCCCCTTATCCAAACCTCCCAGGTATAATTCACACTTCTTAGGATTAGTTCTAAGCCCTGACAACTTCCTTAACTGTTCCAAGGCCCTCTGAACACTTTTGATCCCATAATTTGATCCACCAGAAAAAACAAGTAAATCATCAGCAAAAGCTAGATGAGTGATACTAATTTCTTACATATTGGGTGATAAGAAAATCTCGCATTCTTAGTTGTATGATCCAATACGCACGAAAACACTTCTATTGCAATAAAAAACAGTTAGGGAGATAATGGGTCATCTTACCTCAGACCCTGACATGCAGGGAAGTACTAGCTAGCCCCCCATCAAACCCCACACTCAACATGGGTGAACCAATACACATTCGAATCCAACCAATTAACCCCTTTGGGAAACTCATAGCCATAAGGACAGTGAAGAAAAATTGTCAGTTTACAGAATCAAAAGCTTTCATCAAATCAATCTGTATGACAGACCTACTAGAAATCATTTTTTGGGAATACTTATGGACTAGTTCATGTGCTAGCAAGATATTTTCACCAATAACTCTTCCCTTTTATTAACGTTGTCCATTTTTTACTAATAAGTGAAGAAAGTAGAGGACTTAACGAGATGCATTTGTAGATAATGTTGCAGCAGGAAATAGGCCGGAAATTCTTCATATCGTTAGACCAATCAATTTTAGGTATGAGTGCCACGATTGTAGCATTGGCTTCTCTGATGATTCTTTTATTTAGTGTTAAAGCAATGTTTTATAGTTGTTTTAAGGTTAAATACACTTGTATATCCAAAACTTTCACGATTGTGCCAATAATATCCAAATTTCCCGAAATACCACTTATACCCAATTCCTTCACATTCTTTAACGGTGTTTTTGGATATACAAGTGTATTTAACCAAAAATATATTGAGAAATGGATAGATTTGGCAAAGAACAACTTTAAAACATGGATATAAGTGGTATTTCGAGAAATTTGGATATTATTGGTACAACCGTGGAATTTTTGGATATACAAGTGTATTAAACCTTGTTTTAATCTCTTTCCCTACCACATGCCAAGTTGCTTGAAAGAAATAAGAATTAAAGCCATAAGGACTGGGGCTTTTATCACCATTCATAGCAAAAATAACATTGTTTATCTCCTCTGATGTGATGGGATTGCATAAAGGACCAATATGCTCTGAGCTTAACCTTATTGAGTAAACCCTCAATAAAAGACACAGAAGCCTCATCAACTCCACTGTTAGTACTTCCCATCAACTTCTAGTAGAATTCTAGTGCCATTTCACACATCCCTTCAATATCAGATACCCTCTTCCCATAAGGATCCAACAAAGAAGTGATTGCGTTTCTCTTCTGCCTCGTTCATATAGAGCGATGAAAATAACCAAAATTCAAATCCCTAGCTTTTAGCCAAAGATCTCTTGGCCTCTGTCTGACAAAACTTTCTTATCCTTAAGTAAGGAAAACAACTCCTATTGTATTCACGATTCCTCTTTAAAAAAATTACCATAAAGACACAAGAGGGCCTCTTGTTGTACATGCTTCAGTTATGCCTCCTTCTCAATAATTCTACCCCTTATGTGCGAGAACATTTCTCTATTCAACTGTCTAAGCAAACCCTTTAATATTCTGAGTTTCTTACAAATTTCGATGAGAGGGGGATCAGTAACCTCAGTGCTCCAGACTTCCTTTAAAAGGGGCTCAAATCTAAGGTGTTTCACCCAGAAATTGAAGAACTTAAAAGTTTTTGGAAGTTATTTTAACGACACCTCTGTCTGAACAAACACAGGACAATGATCCAAAACTCCAGGAGTTTGCATATGAACAGCACTCTCTTTGAAAGAATCTAGCCAAGCTAAGTTCACAAAAGCCCTATCCCATCTACGAGCAATGAGGTTACCTGACTGCTTGTTAAGCCATGTAAACCAAGGCCATGTAGATTTATGCTCCTCCACTTCCAACCCTATTAACCAATCATTCATAGCACGCATACTTGATGATGCCTGAGGAGAGTTTGAGCCTTCATTCTTGTGACTAAAACTTAAAATTTAAAATAGATCAAATCAATAAATTAATTTTATAGCCAATGAGAGCTCCCCTTCATTATTCCCTCTATCAATCTTTAGATCAATGCAACTTGCATTGGATTATGCAGGGTGTTAGACATACACACCATCATTCTTGTCAAACAAGCAACAAAGAAGATATTTGCCACTATTGTTGCAAAATCCACAAACAAGTTTAGGAGGGCTGCTTCTTTTCCAGTAAAATTGGCAAGGGCATGAAGATCACTATGCTACATTACAATTGCATATGAATGAGAATACGAACTGAGCACAAAAACACATATTGAAGCAATATTTTATTGTTATTGGTGTGGAGATGAAACTATGAAGGAAGAAACTACATTGATTTTGACAACATCCAAACTTCTTATGTTGTGGGGTAGGGGTACCAACAAAATTGACAATAAGGGCTTTCGACGATAATTTTAGAGGTTATGGTAATAACAATTATTGTAAAAATAGTCCTCAACTTCCTTCTAGACGTGGCCCTTCTAAAGGACAAAAGCATGCAGGTTGTCCTGGCACAACTCTGACAATGAACCTTACATTCATAATCCAAGTTGGAATGGGAATCGTGTCAATTTAGCAAACGAAATCTAAAGAAAACGAGGACCTAACGTGGTTTTGCTTAGAATCAGGTCTAGTCCACGGGATAACTAGAACTATCCAAGGATAAACTCTTATTCGCATTCGGGTTTTCTAGGTTACAATCTACACTTTTATAGTTTCATAGGCGGTTGGCTAATTACAATCGAGTACACATAATTACATATTTCAACACCCTCCCTCTTATTGATGTTGTATGTGTAACATCACTTTGGATGAGAGGAACCAATGTCTACTGGAAGCTAACGCCTTAGTGAGGATGTCTGCAGTCTGATCCTCTGTAGAAAGATACTTAATGTAACGTACCCTCTGCAATCAGCTGCCAAATGTAGTGAACATGTACCTCAATATGTATTATCCTATCATGAAACACCTAATCAATAACAATTTGTATCACACTCGTATCGTCTTCATAGATCCTCATATGACGATGACATACCATGTCCAATTCACCAAGTAACCGATGTAACCACTCCATCTCAGAGCTAACCTCAGACATAGATCAATATTCCTCCTCTATCAATAACTTTGACACTCGATCCTGTTTCTGAAACCTCCAAGAAACAAACGATCTACCTACCCTTATACACCATCCATAAGTATATCGTCGAGTATCCTTGCATCGTGTATGGTCTGCATCCGCAAAAGCTTCTATCACCGGTTCACCAGACACAGGGAAGAACATTCCAACCTCCTAAGTTTGTTTCAAGTATCTTAGTAACCTGTGTATCGCATCCAGATGCATAGTTCTTACCATCCACATACACTTACTCACCACCTGCACTGCATAGGAAATGTCTAGACGAGTACGTGTAAGGTAGATTAAACTACCTACCAGGATGTGGTAGGTTGATTGATCCTCTAAGAGATCTTCGCTCTCTCAGGTAAGTCGTAAGTTATATTCCATGGGCGTCGAGCACGGGATACACTTACTGTATTGCATCGTGTCTAACAAATCCTTGATGTACTTCTTATGAGAAACGAACAAACCATGAATCGAATGATGTACTAATAGCCCAAGGAAATACTCGACATTCCCCTGGTCTATAAGATTAAAGGACCAATGACACTTTTAACTCTTTGATTCCCTCTACATCACTCCTAGTACTCATTATATCGTCCACATAGATCAATAAAATGATAATCCCATCTACCATTCGGCGGATAAACAAAGAGGAATGTTTGGACTCTAAAAAACCCTTGATGAACAATGGTTCCATGAAGATTCACAAACTAGGCATGAAGTGCCTGCTTGAGCCCATATAATGATCGTACCAGCTTACAAACCATACTTGAATCACCCTTGGAACATCCTGGAGGTCGTTCCTTATAAATAGTCTCCTTCAGATCCCCATGAAGAAAAACATTCTTCATGTCTAACTAAATCAATGACCACCCCTTCATTGTCGCCACTGCAAAAACACAGCGAATTGTTTGTATTTTTACAACCGGGGAAAATGTTTCTTCATAGTCAATACCATTTTCTGCTGAAAACCTTGAGTTACCACCCTTTCCTTAAATTGTTCTAGAGTACCATCTGAAAGCATCTTCACAGAATATATCCAACAACGGCCAATCTCCGACATATCCTCCGTCCGTGGAACAAGATCGTAAGTTTGATTCGCTTCTAGTGCATCCACCTTTTTTGTCATTTATCCCTCTCATCGTGGGTCACCCTTAGCTTTGGAATAACTAGACGGGATGCCAGTGGATGTAGTGGAGAAGCCCACATAATCTTGCATGCGAGTTGGAGGCTGTCCAAGGGTTGCTCGCGTTGAATGTCAAAGAGGAACCATGGATGGGAAAAGAGACGTACTCAGTTTCTTCGAGGACATAGGAGACCGAGAACCACTATTGGCCGACATGAAACCACCCTACCTGTTGGAGGTAGAAGAAGAACCTGAACTGATAAAGGAAGCAGACCCATAACCTAGTGAAGAGGGAGAACTAGAGTCGGACGAAGATGATGCTAATGAAGAGGATATTGAAAGAAGAAGATGCGGATGTGGAGGAAGCTTTGCCCGATGTAGTTGCATGAGGCCCATGGGGTACGTTGGATCCAAAAGATGGCAGCGGAGCAAGGAAATCCAAAGACTCCTTAGCAAGTAGGTCATCCTGATTCACTGAGGAGTACATAACCTGCTCAAGAAAGACTACATGATAAGCAATGTGCGTACGACGATCCAATATATCATAACATAGATAGTCTTTATGCTTAGCAATGCAACCAACAAACACATAGTGAGTCATCTTCGAAGCCTGTTTATGTCATTCTTTGCGAGGTAGCAACACAAAGCAAATACATCCAAACACCCACAAAGAAGAATAGTCAGGCATCTTAACATACAAAATCTAATATGCGGAACACAAACCCAACAAAGGAGTGATCTTCATCAGGTACAAAACAGTCTGAATAGCTCCAACCCATAATTGATTGGGAACACGATAGTGAAGCAAAACCTCTCGAGTGAGCTCAAGAACCTGTCGATGCTTGCGTTCGACAACACCATTTTGCTAAGAAACTTGTGGACTAGTGATTACTAGGGAAGAATTCCTTCACTTTTTATAATACACAAGTAACTTATTGAACGTAAATTTCCACCTGGATCATACTGCAGAACTTTGATTGTCTTTGCAAACTGTGTTTTGATCATTTGAACAAACTCTTTAGCAAAAGTCACCAATTCACACTTCTGGCGTAGAAAATGAACCCAAGAAAAACGTGTAGCATGATCAATAAGCAGTGCAAAGTAACAAAATCCCAAGCACGAAGTTACTAATGAAGGCGCCCACAAATCTCCATCAATGAGATCAAATGGATGCTCATAAACAGTGGTACTGAGAAAAAATGTGAGATATTTCGCCTCAAGATAGCTAACACAGGGTGAATGTGTAACAAATGTAGGATCATATTTATCTAGTAACAAGTTCTGACGAAACACATACATTAAACGAGCCGAGTGAGAATGTTCTAACTGGCAATGCCATAAATCCCAAATTGATCCTTCAACCGAAAAACTTGACGGACAAACTGAAAAAAAGACATGTGACAAAACATCCGGATGATCCACTTCCTCTTCAAACAAATCCATAGTCTCAAAATCCTTAAACTTATCATCTATCAAACTAACTGCAGAAGAAGATCTATCTTCTACACCTAAAGCTGAACCCCCTTTGCTCCTTGTGGCCCGGACAACATTAGCTACCGGTAGAATTCTTCCCCCTATATGTTTCATAGTCCTTTGATGCACCATTAGCTGTTCCAAACAATGAAGTACCACAACCCGCCACTGGTAGTCATGCACCATTATCTACTTAAAGTTGAATATTGGGAGACGGACGCAAGTGGATAAACGATGTAATAGCAGGTTTCATATGATTAAAAGTAGCCGAATCAAGGGAAGATGGCAAAGCTTCTTGGAGCGCTTCCTGAACCAGCTTAAGAATCAGATCCGACGAGAAAGGAGGTGATGAAGAGGATCCCGCCATTCTCGTCGAAGGGGAAGAAATATTGCCATTAGTAGACTCCCCACTACCAGTCACAACATAGGTCGAATTAGGTTGATGGCCACTCGACGAAGGACACAGCTTGCCATGACAACTTAAGGTGGGACACTCCAAAACAATGTGACCAGTAATTGAAAAAATAATGTTTCTTACAGTGGATCCGAAGATGCTCGCCCTCATGAAAAAAGTTACATATGGTATAGGTGGACGAGTGAACTATGGTAGAGAGGAAGAACCAGATCAACCCACAGTAAATGCTACTTCTGTCGAGTTGATATTGTCGATTTTGAGTTGGCTTTTGAGGCGAGTCTCTTAACGAAGCAACTCCCCTAACACCTCTTCCATGGTAGTAACTTCACGATGAATTATAGAAGCGCGGATTGATTCGAACTCCTGGCGCAAATTAAAAAGGAATTGAATTACATGAGTTTGGTTGCGTTCCTTCAAAATTGCGACAGATACAAGACAAGCAGTTAATAAATTATATTCTGTCGACAAGTGCAAACTCGCCTAATAGAAGCCAGGAATATCACGATCTCCTTGAACTAAACGACCAATCTCAAGCTCAAACTACCTCGAGACACTATTTTGAGGGTGAGTACGAAAGATATGCGCCCATATCTTAGTTGCAGTAGCAAAACGACTCAAACCCAACGCCGTTGGAACATTAACACTCACAATAAGCCATGTAATCAAATGGGCGTTAGACGCCGCCCAATCGGCATGTTTTTTCTCTGCCACATCATCAGTTGGAGCCACTGTAGTCAAAGTCGTGTTTTAAAGATTAAAAACTTACGATTTTACGCTTCTAGGTCACTAAAACGCTTCTATGCAAAATCTTTGTTTTTATAACTTATGTCGTTAAAAACTTGCTTTAAAACTTAAAGACTTACGATTTTACGCTTCTAGATCACCAAACCGTTTTTACGTAAAAACTCGCTTTTAACTACATTGGTTGGAGCCTTAATCTCTCCAGTCAAAACACCCAAAAACGTTTCCCTGCAACAAAGTTTCGGATTTGAAACTCTCACAATGGAAAATTCTTACCGTCAAACTTGATTGAGACCGAGTCGAGATTTGAGAAATTCATAGAGCAGGCGCCGAGAAGAACGAATACACGCACCTGAAAAACAAACAACAACACCCGCATGACTTAGTCAAATAAACTTCCTCAAACGAGCACCCACCACAGCGCCAAACCTCCTAACAAGAATTCAAACACAGCAAGCAAGAACCTGCCGCCACCATCGCAGAAGCTGATTGCCAAACATTGTGACAAACATGTTGCAAAGAAACACCAAACGGATGAGTAGAGAGGCTATAATACCATGTCAAATTAGCATACGAAATCTAAAGAACACGGGGATGTAATGCAGTTTCCCTGAGAATCATGACTAGTCCACGGGAGCTAGAATTCTCCAAGGATAACTCTTATTTGCGTTAGGGTTTTCTGGGTTACAGGCTTACAACTACATATTTATGGTCACCTAGGCGATTGGTTAATTACAATCAACTACCCATAATTACATATTTCAACAAATCAAAATCCTTGTCCACCAGGATTTCAAGACCGACCATAGCCTGCGCAACTGATCAGTTCTTGGATGGAGAAGCAAGTAAGGGAGCAGATCCGGTGAGTAACCTTGTGGTGAGTAACCATGAGTAACCCGTCCACATCAGCATGACATCAACATCCTTTCTCTCCTGGAAAGCCTTTAATTTTCCACTCTTTAATCTTTGACAGATGATTTCTCACTCATTTTAAGTCGAAATTTAATTTTTTTTGCACAGTTAGATCAGATTAATTGTGCTCTTCAAAATGATATCCACTTTAATATATTTTTGAACAAAAAAAATTGAGCCATTTTTTACCAGTCTATACCATATGGTATTAACTGGTATTGAAATAAAAGCATACCTATGGTTTGAAAAAAGTACCATGGTGGTATGAACAAATCAAGACTATAGGATGGTTGAATACATGATAGTAGAAATATATTAATTGTCATTTACGACTTTTAACATTGTATACCACAAGATACCACCCGTACCAGGGTGGTATTGTGTGGTATTTTTTGGTCCTGTAATTTGTTCACCTATAAATTTGCAGATCCAATAGATCATGATGATCTCATCCCTTCTGTGCAAATGTTTTCAAAAACGAATTAAAAACGAAGAAGATACCATACAATACCACCCCGTACCAGGGTGGTATTGTATGGTATTGTGTGGTATTTTTTGGTCCTGTAATTTGTTCACCCAGAAATTTGTAGATCCAATAGATCATGATGAACTCGTCCCTTCTGTGCAAACGTTTTCAAAAACGAATTAAAAATGAAGAAAATACCATATGGTATGCAGTTGGTACCGAGAGGCCAGAATATTTTGTTCTAAAAAAATATTGAAAATTGATCTCATTTTGTAGAGCACGATGAACTCGTTCCACCTGTGCAAAAAAAAAAAAAATTAAAATCCGAGTTAAAACGAAAAAGATATGAGCCGATTAAGAAAGCTAGAAAAAATAAAAATGATCGTTAATTCTCCATCTTTAGATCTGGATTTTCTAAATGAAGGGTCCAAATTTGGTTATTGATGGATGCATAACCCATGGTTATGCACCCTATCTTGAGCCAGCAAGTAACCTTAGTTGCAGCGCATATGCTAGCAGGTTTACGTTTGTCTCTCTGTGTTGGCACTTTTTTGTGAAAAGGCCCAAAATTAGTTGCATGAGGAAATCATGAATCCCACCCTACATAGATCTTACTTGGTCCTTTCCCCAGGGTGGAAGAAAGAAAACGGACAAATAGAGAGAGTTGAGTGTCTCACGAGAGAAAGCATTGTTCCTGCAATAATGTGCAAGAATTTATACTGGAATTCATCTTCTAGTAGTAGCACGTAGCTGGCTACGTACGACCAAGACCCAATTATTTCTTTGTCTTTTCTCTTTTGCACATTTTGTCATATGAGTAGGATTCACTCATCCCATTGATTGTACAAGAAGAAGACAAATGCAGTTTTGCGAGTCTGTTTGGGAAGGGCGGAGAAGGAGACGGCAGAGCCCGCTAGCGCTGCTGGCTAGACTGCTGCTGTCCCACTGGCATGAAATTCCAAAGCGCACCTATCAATTGCCGTCGTCACATTCTTGATTTTGTTCACATTTGTTATGGAAACAATGCAAGCCGCAAGGTTGCACACATTTAAACAAATACGATAGGAAATTCACCTTTGTGGTATAAGGATTCAATCAAGTAAGTGTCATTTTTGTGAAAGTCTCATAGTTTTGTATACACTGACACTATTTCGATTAGTGGTGTCTTTGAATATCTAACAAATTAATCGATGAAAGCGAGTAATTAGGGTTTATGATTGAGTCACCAAAAAATTTACGTACATCACGATAGTAAGTTGTGAGAATCGAACTTGAGAAGATACCGGGCCAGCAAACATCTCAATCTCATCATGACATCATGTATTACCGATAGTTCTAATTATTATGATTATGCCTGGGATTAACATTGAAAATTGATTTTATAAAAAAAAAACTTTAGAATTTTATCTAACGATAATGAATATTAGGATGATAAATCCGATATACTTAGTAGCCTGAAATCCAGGGGTTTTGCAATTAATTAATTGAAATACCATTGGATCACCATCAACTAGGGCTGGGAGAATAGACCAGACCGTTAAAAAAACCGTGGTCCAAACCGTACCGCACAGTTTGGTCTGGACCGTAGACTGTTAAGTATGGTCTGGTCTGGTTTATTTTATGTTTTGATCTCTTAGCCTGGTCTGGTCTAGACCGTGGTTTACCGGGCCAAACCGTGGACCCAACCGACTTGTCAATACGTGTTAATAGCCCATTCGATCACCCTCCCAACTCATACAACGACATCCATAGACCGTATATATGGTCTGGTCTGGACCAGACCGCACCGTTTCCCAGCCCTACCATCAACCCACACTCACACCCTCTTACACTGCACATGACAGCCATGCAGTCACCATACCCGCATTAAACCCATTCATCTTGAGATTCACACTCTTTAATCTTTATCCACCTCCCACTAACGATAGCAATTTGAACCTCGGGTAATTATCGGACATAATTCGTACTGAATGGGTATTACTCGACCTGCTATAACGCGTGAGGTAAGGTAAAAGTTACTACTTCCAACTTGTCCCGTCCAACCATATCTCATCTTTTACCTGTCTTATCTTAATTTTCATCGATATCTATTTATATTTCTCATATCTTAATCATAGTTTCATTAGATGAAATTTTAAATAGCTGCAAGGCTTTATCTTTCAATTATTTGGACTCAATTACTGATAATAATATCATCACTACTTTTCATTTGTGAAGTATTTTCTTTTGTTTTATCATATAAGAAAATCTTTTTTGCATTTATTTTTTCAAATAATATGTGAGAATGAGTAGACCTGCCTGCCAGTACCTACATGATTATTATCCAACCTGGCCCGTGCTTGATGGGGAGCAGGTTTGGGTAGTGAGATGCCCGCCCCACCCGTTTTCCATCCCTACTTTCCCACCATTCCAAGGTTTGTTTGCTTGTTGGTTTTTTACGATAAAATTTGGTACCTAAATTCAGACAAATCGTTGGTTTTTCGATGGGTTCAAATTAGGAGGGATGGTGATTTTGGATGTGGCTGGTGGGATGGTCATGGCACCATATTTTCTTCATCCGTTGTTACTTGTTATAGGATCTAGTGTTGGTGGAGTTGATTCCTTTGCATGATGAATTTAGGTGGTGTAGTTAGATGGGCTCTAACACGTTCATATGTAAGGTGATGTAAAGGTCATAATAGACAAGGTCAACTAGTGAACTTTCAGAGATGTAAGGGTGATGTGATTCTAGGGGAGATTCCACGACTTTCATTTGAGGCAGTTTTATTGTTTAGTACGTGGGTATGAGAATAATAAGATAGCTCATTTGGTTATTAAGAAGACCCTCTCTTTATTTCCTACGAGTGTCACTAATCACATTTGCTTCCCCATGTATTAGTTGAGAGTTTTGTTCAGTACTATATAATCAAGCGAAAGTGTAGTTTCCTTTCGATGTGTTTATTTTTTCTTGTTCTATTTGTTTGTTAAGTTTGTTTTGCTTTCATTGAAATGTAAGGTATTGGTGTTCTTATGTAGTCCTTCATCTTTAAAACTTCTAAAAGAGGAAATGAGATTTTTACATCCATCCTATAACATATAACTCTAAATGTGTTATACTGTGTTTATTAGACCGCGATTATGACTTGAAGAACATAAACCGAGAAGATCAATGTTAATAATAAGAAAGCATTGAATCACATCGAATCAAAATAATGCATGTCGGCTAAGAGCATAAATCTAAAAGAAAGAAAGCTATATGAAACAACACAAAAATATAAAGAAAGCCATTCATCTACTTGAGCTCTATACAATTGGAAGAAAGTTCCCTGTAAATACTGCATATGATCATACGTCATCTAGCAACACCCCTTCCATAACCTCCAATATAAGAATACTACATAAGCAATCACAACCTTACACATCTGCATGGATAATAAAAGATTATGTCAGGCTAAGTGAAGAGAAAGGTTGCAAATGACCTGACAGATGTGCTCCTTCAGCAACCATAATGGCCATGCAATCTTGCAAGAGAAAAAACAATGAGATATAGTTTTAGCATCATCCGAGCACACTGGATATATATTAGAGGAACACAAGGATTTCGACTGAAGTATCACCCTAAAGGGTAAGAAGCCTTGCACAACACGCCACTAGAAGAACTTCAACTTAGGAGGTATAAGCAGATTCCATAAAGTCTTCAAAAATTTCTAGTCAAGATGTTGGAGGCAGAGTATCAAATAAAGGATTATGTGCCATTGAAAGTAATTGATACCCTACCCCAACTTCACAGTGTAATGACCGATGTTGGAAAAATGCCAAATAAGCCTATCAAGTTGTGGGGATGAAGGGGATGGATACAATCTACTTCACATTGTCACCAGTAAATGTGACTCGTAAAAAGTTTCCATTCCATGTTCTGGTAAGTGGATGGATGAGTGACGTCACAAAGGGATTAACAAGTGATATCCCCGACAGAAGCGTTAGTGAGGAAGGAGGGGAAGAGGGAAGCCAAGCGTCTGTGAAATGGATTGTTGTCCCGCAACCCTGCCACTGGAACCCCTTCTTAAGATGAATCTTGCTTTCAAGGACACCCTGACATGCCCATGAAGGTTGGCTACCCACATGAGCATTAAGGGAGTTATATCGGGGCGATACCTTTCCTTATACATATGAGCGAAGGTGGAATTATGAGACTTGTGGACCTACCAAGGTTGCTTGGCCATAACCGCCACATTGAACAAGTCAAAATCTTGGAAGCACAACCCACCCTAAAACTTATTGATACACACTGCTATACAAGAATTCAATGCATCCCATCATTATTATCCTAATTGGATCATAAAAAATAAGCACGTTGACTATTTAAACTATGACAGCTCATAGATAGTAATGTGAAGGAAAACATTGTGTACATCGGAGTGGCAAATCTAATAGTCTTAATCACCACTTCTTTGGGTGCCAATGAAAGAGCTTTCGACCTCTAGTTCCGATAACAAGTGCATCTTCTAGAAATTGAAAGAACATATACTTGGAGCACTTGACTTGAGAAGACAAACCTAAGTATTTGCCCAAGGCCCAAATTGAAGACTCCCACGAACCCCACAATGGAACATACATAAGACATGTGTAGATTGATATGTTGGCTGCTTGGCTCTTCATTTATATTCAAAAGATGAAGACGGGTGAGTGTATTTAGGAAAAAACGCACACAAGAACATATATGAATCATTAATGAAGATTGAATGCAAAGCTATCGGAGCTAACCGATGGTTCTTCAAACCATGCAATTGATACGAACCAAAAGCACTAGAGATCATTGTCTAAAAGCTTCGGTATAGATAGCAAAGAGAAGGGGAGACAACAAGCCACCATAGTCTAATCCCCCTTTTGGCTGAAAGTATTCGTGCTCCACGCCATTCAACAAAACAAAAAAGAGATCGTCGTCACACAATCCTTTAACCACTTAATCCATTGTGCACCATACATCAGAGCCTCCATTATCGCAAAGTGGACACCCCATTCTACTCGATCATATGCTTCTCCATGTCTAGCTTCAATGTCATCCATTTGTCACAACCATGAGTTTTGTTTTCAAGAATTGTATGACCACCTGAGCGATGAGAATGTTGTCCGACATATCTTTCCCTTTTACAAATCCATTTTGAGAGTCGCTGATCACCAATGGAAAATTTAGGCTCAATATGTAAGACAATACCTTTTAAATAATCTTGTAAAGCAGTTGACACAACCCAATTGGCATCTGCTTCATGAACTCGCCATGTGGAACCTTTGGAATCAAGATGAGTAAGGTATGGTTGAAGTTATGCAATAGTCAACCAGATTGGAAAAATGATAGAGCTGTCACACACACTGACTCGCCAATTACATCCCAATACTCCTGAAAGAAGGCCGCAGTGAATCCATCCAAGCACGGTGCTTGTCCAAGACCAATACTAAATGTTGCTCGTTTGATACCATCCCATGAGGCTGGGGCATATAGGTATGAATTCTACTAAGCAGAGACTTTGAGGGGAAGGCCTAAAGCATTCACCAAAAAGTGGGGCGAGTTACCATTTGAAAGAAACAGGTGTTGGAAAAAACCCCTGCAACAATACCTTTATCTAATTTGTCAAAAGGAATACCTCCATTCTCATCTCTAAGCATCTCAACAACATCTGATGGTCTGAGCCAAGATCCGATAAATGACTAACCTGCACATTAGGCCATAAATTGATAATAAGATCATTAGCTAAATTACGATCAAGTCGTTCAATAATATGTGTGTCTAGTCCTTATCAGTTAGACCGTGTGAATGGAGAACCTTTACATCCCAAGTCGAGTAACTCTGCAACATCAACAAATGATCGAAATTTGTCCAAATCCATGGTCTATAGAGTCTAGTTACCAACCCATCTCGTCAGCCTATTTCCTCCATTGGATCTTTTTGATTTGACTATAGTAATTTAAAAGAAGAGAGACAAATTAGTGAATAACTCAAACAAGCAAACAAGAAAATAAAATTTAAGAATTGGAATAAAAGCAGTTGTAATTCCCTCCTCACTCTTCCATAAATTTTGTCTCTCTCATCACACTTTCCCCCAATAAATTATCTTGGATAATTAAGCAACCAAATCTTATTAAGAAACCGTAAACCAAATCCTCCCTCCTCCTTAAAACCCACGACACCAACGGCAAAAAAAATAAAATTAAAAAGCCCATCCCCCCTTCTCCTGACCCGACCCGCTTCCTTCACTCTCTCTCTCTCTCTCTCTCTCTCTCTCACTGCGGGGCTTACGCAGAGACAGACGGTGTGTTTACAGTTTACACTACTGGCACTTTGATCTCTTCTGCCCTTCCCCTTCGATCTTCTTTTTCTTACAGCAATGGCCGCTTCTTGCTGAATTCTTTTCTTTCCGGGCAAACGAAGATTTCCGATTTTTTGCCACTTCTTTTCATCTTTCGGGGTATTGGGTTCCTTTCTTCTCCTCCAAAGATGATGGTGCCGGCAAAGCGGCGGTTGAGGGCCGTGGCGGTGATGAGGAAGATGATAACGTGCGCCATTTGCGCATTCGCGATGGTGGCCGTGCTCTCCGTACACGTGCACGTTCAGGTCTTCCCTTCCAGAGTTCCCGTATTGCCTGATCCTTACAAGCTCCCCACTACCACCACTCAGGTTCGTCGTCTATTGGCTTCCCCAACCTTTCTTCGTTTCTTGGGTTTTGCTCTTTCTGCTTTCATTTGGGTTTATTTTGTTGTTGTTGTTTTTGCTATGGACAAGCTCTGTGATCTTTTTCTCTGTTTGATGGGTTTTAATTCAGTATGGGCGATAGATTTCTGTAAGTTTAGAGCTTTCTTTTCTGGGTAATTTTAAAATGTTAACCGGAATTGGATTGATTTCTTAGATTCTCTCGTTATTTCCTGTTTCTTCCCCCTACTTGCTTTACTTTTGCGTGTAAATTCTGGCACAAGAAAGGAATAGGTAACGTTATTAGTTAGATTTGCTTTCGTTTCCGTTTAAGCAAATTTTAGCTTTTTTTGGTTTCCCAGGCTTCACCCCTTCACTTCTCGTGTTGGTGAGGTGGTTTCCATTTCATTGCTCTTTACTGTGGTAGTTGGCTGACAAATCAGTTCCATTGTTCTTTCCCTTTTCCCTTCATTAGGGTTGTTTGATGAATCATTTTCTTTTCCTTTAATACGTAACTGAATAAATTTGCAGAAGGGCAGGACTGAACAGCAACAGAGCTGGAGTAGAGAGGTTGTTCCACCCCATTCCAAGGCACCAATTGGTCCTCACCAGGTCTAATATCTAAACCTGTAATCTTGTTGTATTTGACAGGATAGGAAAGGGGGTAAAATATAAAAGAGAAATTATGAAACAAGATATAAGCTTTTGCCCGATCACTAATCATCCTGAGTTGGGATTCGGTGTTGTTGTGTTTATAGTCCGGAAAATTGGTGGGTTGGAGTAATATTAGGTGTACATTTTTATATACAAACAGTCATGCTTCTTTCATGTTTTCACTTCCATTAGATTCGACAGTTGGAAGGTATTACTGCTGTACCTGCTCTGAAGCTATGGAAGCCTCCGCCGAATCGTGATTATTCTCCCTGCGTGGAGCCTAGTTCGAACTATACAGGCAAGCATACACCTTTTTTTTGTGGTTGTTATGTGAGCTTTCTTGTTTGTCTGTCTTCTTTATCCTTTGTGCTAACTTTGCTATTGTTCCCGAATCCTCCTCAGCTCCTGGAGAGTCTAGTGGTTACCTATTAGTTCATACAAATGGCGGGCTTAACCAGATGAGAGCCGGGGTGTGTATTCAGCTTCTTAAAAAAATTCTCCTTTTGAATTTGATATCTCTGTTTGATAAATTAAGGCAGTTGTTGATGTTTCATGGTAGACTTATTGTGATGGTTGAATTATTTTTTTTCCTATCTAGACTATGCTCTCAGACCGCCATTTTGTTCTTCAGATAGGTGGTCTCTTAGAAGCCGAATCATTTGAGAGTCAATAGGTCTTATGCTTGCAGTATTATCCTATTTTGGCTGCACTCTTGCTTTGTTCAAATGCCACACCAGTTTCGACTTTGGTTTAGTTGGGTTGTCTCAATGTTAACTCTTTTATGTTCTTATCGATCATGAACACTGGCCAGGTGATTTCTGGCGTTGTCTTTATGCATGGTTGGTCTCCATAAAGTTCAGGGTCTCGAAGCATTTACATTGTTCCTCTCGATTATGCAAGTCCAATTTTTGTTGTCCGTTGCTATGATCCAGCAGAATCACATTCCATATTTAGCCTTTATTCTGTAGCTTTACAGGAGACTGATGGATTTTCGTAATTGGATTTGAGTTCACGAAAAAAGAAAGTAATTAAATTTTGTTCTGTGAGGAACCTACGATTCCTTTAGTTTCAAGTCAATCTAATGAAGGGTCATAATTTTACTGTAGATTTGTGATATGGTTGCTGTTGCTCGTATCATTAATGCCACTCTTGTGGTTCCTGAGCTAGATAAAAATTCTTTTTGGCAAGACACTAGGTAATTTTATTATTATTCATTCAAGCCTTTGCTTGTTCGGGGTTTTTTTTGTGGCTTTTTGGTAACTGCAACATCACAATTCTTTTCCCCCCCAACCTTGCAGCAACTTTTCAGATGTTTTCGATGAGGACTATTTCATCAGTTCTCTGGCTAGTGATGTTAAAATTGTGAGAAAACTTCCCAAGGACATGTTGGGCGTCACTAAAGCCGTTAAGCATTTCAGAAGCTGGTCTGGGATGGATTACTACCAGGAAGAGATCACTAGCCTTTGGGAAGATTATAAGGTTTGTCATTTTGCAAACTCTCTGGCGTACTACTCATCTTCTGGACCTGGTAAAAAAGAGCAGCACTTGCTATTATCTGATAGTTTTATCACTCAATTGTTCATAGGTTATTCGAGCTGCTAAATCAGATTCCCGCCTAGCAAATAATAATCTTCCTCCAGATATCCAGAAGCTACGTTGCCGCGCATGCTATGAAGCACTCCGGTTTTCACCTCAAATTGAAGCCATGGGAAAAGTAAGAAATGTATCCGTCAGCGATTCCTGATGTTTTTGCTATTTCTCCACCAACTGTCAATGGCATAGTTGAGAATAATACGTTAATACCCATTTATTTACATAATGTAGTTATTGGTGGATCGAATGAGAGCTTATGGTCCTTATATTGCCTTGCATTTGCGATATGAGAAAGACATGCTTGCATTCAGTGGGTGCACACATGGTTTGTCTGCTTCCGAAGCTGAGGAACTGAAGAAGATCAGGTAAGAGGTTGCAAAAGTAGTGTTGCATGTTTGTAAAATTATTTTTTTCTGCTACTAGTTCAATGAACATTTAAGTTTCAAACTTCTTTGCAGGGACGACACGTCTTACTGGAAAATCAAAGATATTGATTCTGAGGAGCAGCGATCCAAAGGCTATTGCCCCTTAACTCCAACAGAGGTTGCTATGTTTCTTACAGCTCTTGGGTACCCATCAAACACACCCATATATATTGCTGCTGGGGAAATATATGGTGGTGATGCTCATATGGGTGAACTCTTGTCCCGCTATCCTTTATTAATGAGCAAGGTACAGGACTGAATTGGTGATTTGGTAAAACTTCCAATGTCAAATACATATGGTGGTCCAGATTACACAAGTCGGCTATCCTATGGCGTACTTGTTGAATTTATTTTATAATAATATGTTGCAGGAAAAATTGGCTTCAGTTGAAGAGCTTGAACCATTTCGCAAACACGCTTCTCAAATGGCTGCTCTCGACTATATTGTGTCTGTGGCAAGTGCTGTCTTCATCCCAACATACTCTGGTAACATGGCAAGGGCAGTTGAAGGTCATCGTCGTTATCTAGGACACAGAAAAACCGTGTCACCAGACAGGTACAAGAAGAAGTTTTTGTTTTCCTTTCTCTATGTGGGTAGTTTTTATTTCCAACAGGCAACAAGCAGCATATCTGTTGAAGTTCCTGAATTTGGTTTTTGCCTTTTCCTGAACAGGAAATTGCTCGTTCGTCTTTTTGACAAAGTTGAAAGGGGGAAATTGAAAGAAGGCAAAAATCTTGCTACCCGTGTCATCGAACTGCACAAGAAACGGTACTTATGTGCCCTTTTCTTTTCGCACTAATGATGCAAATGTGCAAAGAAGAAGCCTGCTGTTGTGCCTATTATGTGGATTGTGTTTACCAAAAGTTGGCTCTATTTTTATGATGTGGTTGGACAGGCAAGGATCCCCAAGGAAGAGGAAAGGACCCATCTCAGGAACTAAAGGCATGGATAGGTTTCGTTCAGAAGAAGCGTTCTATGTAAATCCCTTACCGGATTGTTTATGTCAGAGACAACCATCATCGAGCACAGGCACCTCTTCTGCAATTAGGTAGACTGACTGACTTCCAAACCGTAGAGGACTCTTTTTGTCTTTCGAGACAGACAGCAGACATCCCTGTACAGCCAAGCCAGGATATCTCCCAAAGTTGAGGATGAGCAGCAACCAGAGGGAGGGACAGCAGAGGCTGGTTGTGGGTCCAGGGATACGGAATGTACATATGATATTTGTGAGTTGTGAAATCTGCAGAAGTTTCTGCTCTGTTTAGATTTCTTTGGAGGAGTGGGGGAGGAGAATTAGGAATATAGAGGATTTGTATCTGCAACAAGGGGAGGCCACTTTACTCTTGTTCAAACGAGAAGGTCTGATTTGAGGAAGATTGGGCAGGATCTCCCTCTTAGTTAGTGGAAGTATTAGTAGAAATCAAATTCTTTTAGTTGAGGGGGATACCTTTGTATGGTTTTGGTTTTGTTTGAAATAAAAAGAAAGTTCGTTTGTTGTTTGGTTGATCTCCATTCTCAGTGCACTGTTTTTTAGTTCTTTTTCAATGTCAATGGAATCAAGTTGGTGGCTTTTTAATCACCATTTGGACTCAACACGGTCAGAAACCCGGTTCTGTACGGGTTGTGGGCGAACCGGTCTGGTCCAGTAGCTGCTGGTTCTTCCAGCAAGGCAGGGATAGGATAACGCCAGCTCCTTTTCCAATCAAGCAGAACTAATTAAAACCATGCACTCTATACACGTAAGCAAGCAAAGGTAGCCCACTCCAAACCTTCACTATCCTTTGCCTGATACTGGGTTAGCCTTTGCCTTCTCTCTTTGTTTTCATCATCATCAAGCCACAGAGAGAAACAGGCAGCAATGGGAGTTTCTTTCTTGACAACTGTCGCGCCTTCTCTGGTCCATCTCACATCTTTAAGCTCCACCAGTAATGCTGCTTCATCTAGATCTCTTCCAGTGAGTAATAGTCTTCTCTTCTTTCTGGGTTTTGATTGGATTAATCGGTTCCCCGCTGAAAAAATTGTTGGGCTCATGTTTTGTGTTGGTTTTTCCTCGATAAAATGAGCAGGGTACTACTACTGCAGCAATTCGGTGTAGTAAAATTGAGACGGATGGAGTTGGTGGTGGAGAGGGCATTTTCCATACCCAGAGAAGAAATGTTTTAACATGCTTTGGTGCTACTATTGCCCTGGTAATACAGAATTCCACCATATTCATTTTGCGCTCTATTGTTCTGCTGCATAATGTAGCTGTTAGCTAATTAATGTATACGTCTATCTACCTAGTCTGCATATTCAAAGAGTATTATGATGATTTGGGTTGTTTAGGAACTCGTGGGAAGCTCAGGATCCCTTGTGGAAATGGCTACCGCAGCTGATCTCATCCAACGCAAACAACGATCCGAGTTCCAGTGTAAGTAACCAACTGTCCCTTGAAAACTTCCTCTAGGTTATGTATGTGAGAGCAAAGAGCCAGTTTCAAGTCAAAGCTCATGTCTTTGTTCCTTTGTTTCTCACCAGCCACTGTAAAGAGTACACTCTTCACTGCAATAAAGGTAACGGCTCTGTTTGTTTTCCCACTGGGTTTGGGTTTGCTGGTGCAAGTCTTCATGTCCTTGTTCTTTCCTTACTGAAGAGGTAATGTAATTGTGGTCATTTGTATTACCAGGCAAAGCCTGAAATCATTCCATCATTGCTGACTTTGGCCCTCAACGATGCCATGACGTATGACAAGGTCAGGCACGAAAAAGCAGAACAAATGAAAACCTTAGCAGTTCCTTTTCTTTCAGTCTCTTTGTGGTCAGTTTCAGTTTGGAAAGAAGTAGTAAAGCTAATTTTGGGGAAGACATGATTTAAGTTTGTAGGCTACCAAAACTGGAGGACCAAACGGATCAGTACGATTCAGGTAATTGATATTTAGTAAAGATAGTGTCATTTCTGTCAATGTACTCACTCACTTAATCTCGGTATGCATTCTCTGAGTTTTCCTTGTTGCCAAATGTTGCTGCGGTTCCCTGTGAAGTTCAGAGATAAACAGACCTGAAAACAAGGGACTGTCTGCAGCCTTAGACGTACTAGAAGAAGCAAAGAAGGAGATTGATTCAACCTCCAAGGGCGGACCTATCTCCTATGCAGACCTTGTCCAGTTTGCAGGTTTTGTTGTATGATATACGAGCAACTACATAAATTGGATAGCTCACAAATTTGCATTTAACCTGCAATTTTTGCATAATTCCTAAACATTCGACTAACTATGCTTCTTCGGTAGCACAAAGCGCTCTCAAGGCTACGTTCTTAGCATCAGCAATCCGCAAGTGTGGTGGAAACGAAGAGAAAGGGTCGCTGTTGTACTCTGCATATGGCTCAAATGGGCAGTGGGGGTTATTCGATAAGCAGATGGGCAGGGCAGATGCAACAGAACCCGATCCTGAAGGCAGGGTTCCTCAATGGGATAAAGCCACTGTGCAGGAGATGAAAGACAAGTTCTCAGCAGTCGGACTAGGTCCTCGCCAGGTACACTACTTTATTGCAATTTTCTCCCTACTCCTAAGAGCACCATGAATAGAATCTAGGACTGAATTATGGTTGCTGCAGCTTGCGGTCATGTCTGCATTCCTGGGGCCAGATCAAGCTGCCACTGAGGCTATGCTGGCTGCAGACCCTGATGTGGCACCGTGGGTCCAGAAGTACCAGCGCAGTCGAGAGACTGTGTCCGAGACAGATTACGAGGTAACTTGGACTTCGACATGATATTGAAATGCCTCTACTTTTCGTGTCTTGTTTGGATTTTCTGATACAATGTGAACAATGATGTGCTGTTCTAGGTGGATCTCATTACAACCCTAACCAAATTAAGCAGTCTGGGTCAAACGATCAACTACGAGGCCTACTCCTACGCTCTGCCGAGAATTGATATCACCAAACTCAAACTCTAGCTCGGGAAAACAACTTATTCCAACCAGGCAGGAACAGCATTCAACAGCAGAGAGTTAAGATTGTTGGCTAACCGTCAGTTTTGGAGCTGAGATATCATCACTTGTCAGCTCCACAAGACTTGAAGAGCTGTTATTTTCGTCTTGGATGATGGATTTGTATTGATAAATTTGGTAATTGGGATACATGACTTAATGTTGAGACGATGAATTTAAGAGACTGAAAGCCAACATGGATTATACAAAGTGTCTTGCTGAAATCCACCGTTCAATTTTACTCATTTGCAAGTGTAACCAACTTCAAACAATCCTTTCCAAAACCCAACTATTTCACAATCCATGCAATATTCTGAACAATCCCACCATCCAGTGCAAACCAACCCTAATGATCAATATAAAATTATAATGAAACCGGCAAACTTAACCATTGGCCTCGCACAGAGCAAAAACTCAGAACTGCTTAAACCAAAAGCTTCAGCCGTAGCTCCCTCCAGCAAAGCATAAAGCCCCCAGGGATCAAACTCCACGCCGGTTCACATTTCAAGCCTTGTATTCTTTCTCACCGAAATGACTCACGGAATTTCTGCGATAAGATCGTTACCCGGTCAGCTAACCAGTGTGCTTGGGCAATATAAGCTCCATACCACCCATGAATGGCCGCAGTGGCTCTGGGATAATGACACTCCCGTCCTCTTGTTGATTGTTTTCCAGTATACATATTATCATACGAGGGATGGCACAAGCAGTAGCATTCAAAGTGTGTACGAACTTTGTCGGAGCAAGGTTGCTTTTACCACCCTTCTTAGGATTTGTGGATGCTGCAAATTCTGCAGGACGGTATCGGATCCCTAGCCGGCGACTTTGGTAGTCAGTACAATTTGATGCACTTGAGATCTGTCAACAGATGTGCACAGTTAGGATCGAGGATCATAACTTATCAAGTTTTAACTTTTAAGCTACTTGTCCACTAGGTTCTGAGCATCATGGTGGGGGGTGTTTGATTCGGCTTTTGCTGAAATCTCTTCTAAGTTTTGAGTTTTAGCTTCTGTTTCACTTCTTTTAAGTTACTTATTACCCAAAACTAAAACACCCTATAAACTGATGAACGTTGAGAAAGATGTTCAACAGAGTAGAGTAAATCACGTCAAGTATAAGAAACAAGGTGCAAGTCCCAATATACCTCACCATACCGCCCTAAACCAGGCATCCATGCCTCCACATCAAATTTACGGTAAGCAGGCGCACCTAAGTCTTCAGAGGCCATGTCCAAAGTTCTATTAGCAAAAAACCAAAGGTCACTATTAGAGGAGCAAGAGATTATAGGCAAGACAGAAAAGAAAAAGCATTCAGTGGAAGAGACACACTTATAATGCAAACCCAGTGAAGAGAAGAAGTCTTCTTCAATCCTAATGAGTTCCTCATGATATGCATCACTTTCTTCAGGTCGACATAGAACAAACATCTCCACTTTGCTGAATTGGTGCACTCGGTAAAGACCCCTGCAACCAAAGGGAACGGCGCTTCAAATATTAGCATGGATACAAATTATGACATTTAATAGGCATAAAGGCATAAGGATCAATTGATCATTAACAAAATAAAGTTATGCACCTTGTTGCTAGTCCAGCGGCACCAGCCTCTGTACGGAAGCAATGGGAAAATGCAGCATACTTCAAAGGCAACACTGATTCAGCAAGTATAGAATCCATATGAATTCCTCCCACAGGAATCTCTGCCGTGCCAATGAGGCATTGATCACTACCCTCAATCGAGTATACCTGTTAAAGATCCCATACTTACATTAACAGGCATAACAATAGAATATTAAAAAATCAGGGGGGCTGCTCTCCACTTCTTGTAGCTAAAAGGAAAATATTTTCTTCCAAAGGATAAGGTGGTAACTAAAGCTAATGAAGAGAGGGGCAAAGTTTATAAAAGAGAGAGAGGAACACAGATGGAACTGAAGCCATGATGAACATAGCAAATAACACACACATAAAAAAAAACGAACCTGGGTATTGTCTCCACGAGGCTGAAAGCCACACTTTTCAACAATAGACGACCTTACAATTTCTGGGGTTATCAATGGTGTAAATCCTTTTTGCATCACTTGGGAAAGGGTCCAATTGACCAGGGCCATTTCGAGCAAAACTGCTTCATTCTTCAGATAATAGAACTTTGATCCACTAACCTGTATAACCAAATTCAAACATTAGGACTCTATCTTACTTCAGCAGGATCCTAGATCCTGAAATCTCTTGGATTAGTTAAATGTTATCCAGCATGAAATTATGGCTGACAAGTCAAGGAATTGGAGTTGCAGAAGCTCTTAGCATTGTACAATTTAGCTTAATTCTAAATAAAGTGAAAAATAGAATCATTACATGAAACCCTGTACGATGAGTCAAGAAACCTTAATGATGTGCATTAATTAATACCTTAAATCTAACAGAAAGAGTACCTCTGCTGCGGCATCAAAATCAAATAAATCAAGTTCTTTTCCAAGTTGAAGGTGGTCCTTCATCGGGAAGCTGAACTCACGTGGACTGCCAACCTAAAGAGAACCACAATATATGTTTATGAGACCACCATGAACTTAGTACCGCATAACTGTTATAAAACACCAAAATAGACACACCATACGAGAGAGAGCGACGGCAAGAGACATATATTAGAACTATACCATTTTTCTAACAGCTGAGGAATCCTCGCCTCCAATCGGAACGTCTGGATGGGTCATGTTAGGTATAGATTGCGCTTCTTGCTGAAGCTCATCGCTCAGCTTAACAAGGTCTTCTTCCAAACTAGTGAGTGCTTCCTTCAAATTCTTTCCTGGAGCAGAGTGATTTAATACTAGCAATACCCAAAATAGGGGGTGAAACATTAAGCGATCCTACAATTAAGAGAACTCTTACCTGCCTCTATGAACTTTTGACGTTCTGATGGCTCTAGCTTTCCTTTCATCTTGTTTGCGACTGCATTCCTTTCCCCGCGAAGCTTTTCAACTTCCTGCTATCTGGAAGAAGCAATTAGATAAAACTGAGAAGCAAACAAGCCTCAGTTTGACACCACATTCTTCAACATTCTACATTTGATATAAACACAAAGAACTCTGAAGAAAGAAACTCGAACAGAATCCAACATGCATTCCAGGTATAAGCAAAACAAGTATAGACTAACAAAGGGTTCAGAAGGATGCAAGTCGATAAAGCTCCGACCTTTTGAACAGCCAGCATTTTCTCGTACAGCTCGAGCACAAGCTCCAAGCTGGCTTTGGAGTTCCTCTTCCTAATGTTCTCAGCAACGGCCTCTCTGTTATCCCTTATCCACTTGAAGTCAATTGCAGCCTTCCACTGCGGCTTCGCCACTGAAGATATCATCTCAAATCAAATCAAATTCGACCAATTAAAAAAAACCCCGATTGTTTCCATCGAAGAAAATGGCTAGAGTATTCGCTCACCAGTTGCAGTTCCCATGCTTTCAGTACTTGGTGCAGTTGTTTGAACAGCCGCGGCCGTTGAAAGCGCTCGAACCAGTATTGGAAAAGGAGGTCTGGGAGAATGGCGGGGAAGTGAATCCAGCGCTACTAGGGTTCTGGAAATCGGCCTGAAGATGAAGCGAGAATACGCCGGAACTGCCGCCATCTTCAGGGTTTGTATGGTCGTCCCGCCAAAATAACTATGCAACCCCATTGCCGCTATCTCGCTTGCTCTCCTGCTCCTCTCTTCTCCGGAGTTAAAATTGGAACTTCCAAAAAAATTTGCTCCAGAGAATTTATTTTCTTCAAAAAAAATAACAAAATCCATCTTTGAAAAAGAAAATTAATAATCCTATTTGGGCCCAGCCGGCCGGCCCATTACAAACTGACTGCTTGACCCACACGAAAGCCCAAGCCACTACGTGACCGACGGAGCGGCAAAGAAAACCGCCGTCCCGTTGTGGTACAGTGAAAAAAATGTTGCAAAATTTTCAACCAATAGGAAGCGAGCTATGGGGTTTCACGATCCGAAGCAATTGCCAAGGATTAAATCTAAGCCGTTAGATGTGCGGAGAAAAAAACACAAACGAACGGGGTCGACGCCGTCCGATTCCGGCCAGGAATAGAAGCACGGTAAAAGTAAACCGTGGCCGCCCACGTTGCGTGGCCCTATAAATAGCTCGATGCAAAGCGGGGGGGAAATCAGAAACCTCCATTTGAACGAGCAAGCTAACGGATATTCGTCTCGCCTTGAAGATTCGAGTTCGCCGTCTTTCAATTCCTCTGCTCATATCTCATCGTCGAGGTTCGTCTCCGGCTCTTTCTCTCTTTCTGTTACATCCTTCGAATTCTTGTTTCGTTTACCTTGAAGTGTAGCCCTGGTTTTCTGGTAAGTCGGAGATTGATTGTTGAATGTAGCGATCTATAGGGAGTTTAGGGTTTCTCGATTGAATTCGATTCGGGCATTGAAATTAATATTCGGGTGTTCAATTGGGGAAAATTGTAGATGGCTCGTACCAAACAAACTGCTCGTAAGTCCACTGGTGGAAAGGCTCCTAGGAAGCAACTTGCTACCAAGGTATGGCGAATTTCATTTTCCGATTTCTGGCTGCTTCGTATTTCTAGGGGGGGTTTCATTAGGGTTTCTCATTGTGCTGGCTTCTTGTCCATTCAATTAGGCTGCTCGTAAGTCTGCACCAACCACTGGAGGTGTGAAGAAGCCTCACAGATACAGACCTGGAACTGTTGCTCTTCGGTAAGTCTTGTTTTGGAAATCCTCCCGCATCTGTACATTTCTCTTTTGTTGATTTGGGGGGTTTTTAAGCTTATCAACAAATGGTCATGAAAACTCATGAATTGTGAATTGCAGTGAAATCCGCAAGTACCAGAAGAGTACCGAGCTTCTCATCAGGAAGCTCCCATTCCAGAGGCTGGTTCGTGAGATTGCTCAGGATTTCAAGGTAATTCCCCTTCAATTCAGTTTGGCACGTTTGTTGTTAGCTCGTCTTTGGATTGAGAATTGTGTTGATAACCGTTCCTGGTGTTGATGCAACTTTTGTCTTTGTGGGTGGTGTTTGCAGACTGACTTGCGTTTCCAGAGTCATGCTGTGTTGGCGCTGCAAGAGGCAGCTGAAGCTTACTTGGTTGGATTGTTCGAGGACACCAATCTCTGTGCCATTCATGCAAAGCGTGTGACAATCATGCCCAAGGACATTCAGCTGGCTAGGAGGATTCGTGGGGAGAGGGCTTAGAGAGAAGGATGGATTCTGATTTGGGTGGTTGGATTTTGCTGCCTCCTCTCGAGGCTTTTGGATTCTGTGAAGGAAATATGGTGTTTGATGTTAGGCTGGATTGTTAGTTTCCCATCGTTTCATTTGAAGAATTCATGTCTATATTCCGGTTATTAGTAGAAAGAAGATACATTTGAGACTGTTTCGGTTTCTCCATCACTGTTTCGACGGTGTTATGATTTGAATGTATTTGATGTTTTTGTTTTCTGCACTCTGTTCGTTATTTTGGTTTTGGCCTTTGGGTAGTTACCAATGAAGCCTGGTTCATCGTCTATCTGTTTTAACTCGCAAAGACCAAGCCAGCAGCAAATCCCAGCAATTGTTGATGAGCTGCTCATCGCCTATTCTGGTTATTAGTAGAAAGTAGTGCTGATGGATGCAAGTCGAGTCCTTAGAAATATGAACAATCTGTTCGTATCACAGGTTTAATGTCCAGTTTATACAGAGTGTAATGGGTTTCAATGAACATGTTGGTTGGTACCGGCATGTATTTGTTGGCGAAGGAACAGTTTGTCCATCTTCCTCGCAGCCGTAAGAAAGGTTTAGAGTTTAAAGCTGGTTCCAATTCCCAGACATATATTCTAAAATTCTAAAGCTCGTTTCAAAGGTGTTTATGGCTACACCTGTGCCCCCCGTTTGTGAATTAGGATAATATATAGATCATTCTCTTCACCAGTCAGTCTGGGATTCTGCAATAGCGATCGTGGAGTCCTTTGAGGCTAGGGCTGTCAGACTTCTTCCGAGCTCCTATCATCTTCATGTTCCGTCCAAAGTTCACATTTGTATCGAAGTGCTATCAAACGATTGCCATCATAAATTGTTTTCGATTTCAATGGGCGATGCCGATACCTCAAATATAACCGTATAAACCCAACTAAGATTATGGCCGCGTTGCATTTCTGCCCCACCATTAAGACCAAGGATGAGTTCGAAAGTTGAACCATCCCAGTATCCTAGTACTGCTCCTCTGTCTGTCTTCATCCAACCAGAGCACAATTACAGATTTGGATTTAAAGCTCTAGTTCCAGACCTTAAAGCAAAGCATAGAAGAAATAAAAAAAAGATCAAGCAAGCTGAAAAATGCCGTCACAAATACATCAACACATGATAGACAGCCATTATGAATTCTCAACCCAGGTAACCAACCAAACTCCTGCCACAAGCATACTGCATTGCAAGAAACGTAGCAGTATAGTATCTTTTATTACGTAACCAAGTAATTCTGCATCACCGATTCTGCCTTTAGATTGTAACAAGTAGTTTCGGTGCCCGCTAAAACCAAGTAGCAGTTATGTACGTACATGAAAAATTTCTCACCATGTAAAGATGATGGGAGCAAGTGCACGTCTAGCCTCTTGAGCAGTGCCAAGTCCATGTTGGCACTAAAAGTTCGAATTCGACCCGCAAAAAATTCATTATTGTTGCCTCTCTCACATTCAGATTGGCACTCCCTAACAATGATTCAGAACTAAAGTCTTACTGAAATGAACAAGCACCCGATATGCCTCTTGAGGGGTTTCCATTTAAAGGGGACCAGGGAATGTACCATTCTCCCTCTGCTCATTCCATCTATCAACCTGTGAGATCCATTAAAATGTCACAGAATTAGCATCAACACCAAAGTATGCATACAAGATAATCAATGTATACCAACAAATTGCAAGATCAAAGCAGTAGTAGTAGAAGATGTTATGCCACTAAGCAGTGGTAACTAGATCAAGGTACCAACTTGGACTATAAGCTCAAATGAACGTCTGTTTCCAACTTGGTTGTTCTGCTAATTATGCCTGAACTTATTTCCTATAACCAACTCAGCCTTGCAACTGCAACAGCCTAACATTCAGTGGACTATCCCAATCAACACCAGATCTCTTTCAGTAATCACTATCCTGAGTATGTAACAGCTTCCAAATACAGATTATCTGAGTTTGCATCAAGCAGGAAACTATGTATCATATTTTTTGGGATATGAAAGTTCTCAAGAGTCACTTACCCATTCGCTGGGGCAAAGTGAACGGTAATATTTCGCATATTTCTGGCAGTCCTGAGCATCTTCTCCTTTAGCAGCCACGCATCTTAAGAATATTGCAAAAATTTCCATGACAAGACAAGCACCAGCAGCAGTTAAACACCCCATTTCACGAATTAATAGGCAACAGCTGAAGTTCAAGAACCACACATAGAATTCCCCTTACCGGTGGAATTCAATATAGCGGGTAAAGCAGTGTCTTGTTTGGTTTGTGGTGGGGAAACGGAAATCTGCTGGTGCAGTCTCAAGCTGTAAATAGGGTAACCAGACACGCAGTGACAGATAAAGATGTAAGAGAACAATCATCATGGAGTTATTTCATCGATGAAAAGAATGGTGACAGTACAGGTTATACCTTAATTTCAGGGGCCACCTCAGCAACTTCTTCTGTGGTTGGTTCAGTAGTTTCTTCAGATGCAGCAGGAGGAGCATCATCAGAACCAGTTTTAGCAGCAGCAGGAGTATCTTTAGTGGGTTCTTCAGTAGCAACAGGTGTATCTTCAGTTTTACCCTCGACAACAGCTTCAGTTATCTCTACAGCCTTCTCTGCAACAGCTTCTGTTGTTTCAACCGCTTTCTCGACGATGGCTTCACCTATCTCCGCAGCTTTCTCTGTAACAGATTCCACAGAAACAGCAGGAGCAGGAGCTGATTCTTCTTTAACGTCCACAGGCTTCACATCCACAACTGGCTTCTCCTCTTTCTCCTTCAACAAGTATTGCTGCATTTCAGTGAGCAGAGTCGAACTGATTATCAGTATGGTAAAGCAAGCACAACATCATATCCATAGCAACTAAAAACACATAAGCTGTTACAATTATTCGCACAAACGAAGGAAGGAGTTGCTGGAAAGGGATCCTCTCATGCTCCCTCTGTGACTTTGCATCAGTACAGAATTTCAACTCAAGTATTCCGTAGGCAAAAAATAGGGCAGAACATCTTGTAATCACATACCACAAACAGTGAGTATTATAGCCTAAACTAGTTCAATGAAGATTAGTGAAAACAGAGGGGGGAAAAAACAGGCAGAATCCCCTCATTAATGATGGTATAAATTCATTTCGTCACTAAGAGGAAATAAAACTTGATCAACTTCAGCAAAGAATCGGAATCCAAGCTTTCTTTTCAAGCATAAAAACTTCAGCAAAATATCAGTGCTTGCTTACATATGCTGCAACCTTTTCTTTCACTTACAAACTAATCAAACCAGGCAAATGTATTATACAATCAATCTCAGATATTCTCTAGCATATCGTGCACTCAATTCATTCATCCAAACACCAAAGTAAGGCTCAACTTGACCCGTCATTTCTACAGGACCAAAATAACAGTCCCTGGAAAATAACTTGAGAAGCAAGAGACTATACGAACAGAACTTTCAATCGGTCCATCAATACACTCAAGAAGATATAGCAAGAAACGAGTCAATTAATCAAGAAGTGAGTAGATTTTTTTTCCTAAGAACAGGACAATCATCAATCTCAATTACTCTAGCTTAAGATCGAAGCAACCATTTCCTTCATCCAGAGCTGCTGCGTTCAACTAAATCCTTCATTTCTATGCAACACAAAGACTTTTCCTTAAGAAGCGTGAGCCTATCGGAATGAATTTCACAATCAGGCGTACAATAACACCGCCAAAACCGATAAACCTCTCAAGATGCCATATAAAAAGAAACCAACCGATGTATCAAAAACTGCGATCTCCTTCACGGCTCCGACGAGCCGGTACGTTTCCGGAATGAGTGGAAACGGAAACCGGGAAACGATTTAGCCGGAAATACACGAATCGAAGATCAAAGCGCCGAGCAGACGCCAGAGCAACGATTAACCAGAGGAGAAGACGGTCGACAGATCGAAACTAGTACGGGAGGACTATTTCAATAGACAGGAAATCAGGAGCAAGAAGAAACGAGGAGAGACTGAGAAAGGGAAGCGAGAATTACCTCGGAGAGAGAGAGCGGACCGGTGGCTGCAGCTTCCGCCATTGTCACAGGAGAACGAAGAGATCTGGTTGGAGCTTTTTTGGTGTCTGTGCTTCGAAGGAAGGGCCTATCGGAAGACGCGATGGAGGAACTGGAGAACAAGAGAGTGGTTAGTGGTTACTGCTACTACAACTATGGTTGGGTTAAGACGCGGAGCTTTCAGTTTAGTTACTGACTGATTGTGGTGCTGGGTAAAAAAAAATGTCGTCGCACTGGCAGTGATATGACGTGGAGTTGCGGAACGTGGCAACTTCCCGTTGGGTGAAGGCTGAGGACGGTTCGTTGTTCGAGATGAGAAAGTATTTTCCAGAAATTTGGGCTTTTCAGAGAAGTTGGCAGCGGACCACTACACGGGCCGAGCTGGGAATCTCGAACTTATTTTCCGACCAGAATTTTTGTTCTTAGCCGTCAGTGCTTCAAATCGAGTAATCGACACTATCGTTCACTAAACTTCGCCTAGATCCATTAGTGTCGTTACACCTTACGTTGATTGTAGAGACATTATTGCTATGGTGAATTGTTTTAGTCGACCATTGTTGAATCTGTAGACTCCATGTAACATAAATGAAAACAAACTAAGAACTGAAGGTGTTTACTTTGTTCGTTTTGGTATCAGTAAGGTTGTTTATGGTATCGATTTTGGCTATAACTAGTGTGCATTTTCGGGTATGAATTCTTGTGTTTGTGATATGCATTCCTTAGTTTGGGTGTGCATTCAAGAACTAATAGTATGCATCCAAACGTATCTGGTATCTCATAAATGATGTGCATTTCCTAGTATCTGTTATGCATTCTCTACTTACTAGTATGCATTCTTCTAGTGTACATTATGAGGTTTCTGATACTCTTCTTCAAAGTTGAAGAATTACATCTAGTATGAAATTATGAATCTCTAGTTCAGCACTTGCTTGCAGTAATGATGACAATGACGAAGAAAACAATGAGACAGCAATGGCCTCGAGAGGGAGGGATAGATAGAGAAGAGAGAACGGTGCCAAACAAACAAACTCGTTATTTGGTTGAATGAAAATGGCAGTCCAACAGTTGGATCCAACTAGGGGAAACAAAAAAAATTCAAACGGAATATGCATGGCAGTAAAATTTATTGCCAAATCAACTTGCGACTTGAACATTATAGTTATTACGCAAATATTGAAAACTCATTCAACCACTTGAAAACAAACTGCACAATGATTCTCTTCATCCCCTCTACAGAGGTCCAGGAAATGTCCCGTTCTCCCTTTGCTCGTTCCATTTCTCAACCTGCCACAACAAAAGATTCACCAGACAAACAAAATCAAATGATCATGGCAGCACACACACATGAACACAATTCAAAAGTCATACATTCACTAGAAAGAAAGGAGAACCCCTGTTTATTGCAATACTAGTGTTCAGAACAAGGGACTTGGCAATTGGTCCTTGCAATTGTCAGTTTCTAGATACCCATTTTATAAGAGCCTTTTGCCAGGACACTCACACAGCTTCTACTACGAAAATATAAACTTCATCAGTGACATACCCATTCACCAGGGCAAAGAGAGCGATAGAATTTGGCGAATTTCTGACAGTCTGCAGCATCTTCCCCCTTTGCAGCAACGCACCTTATGAACATCATAACAATCATCCACAATGCAGGTTAAAGAAATGCAAAACCAGGACCACAAGACAATTTATAAGGTTGAGATACAAATCACAACAGGCAAAAATGTTCCCACTTACCGATGAAACTCAATGTATCGTGTGAAGCAGTGCCGGGTTTGGTTGGTTGTTGGGAAACGGAAATCTGCAGGTGCAGTCTTAAGCTGAAAAAGCATTGAAAGGGCAGCAGTTGTTCAGAATGAGACATGTAATAACACATATCAGAATTCGAGGGGATGGGGAACGGCCACAACACTTAAACATCTCATCACAATGCAATACTTGTCCTCCCAAAAGGAAGGGGAATAAAGTCTTTGAAATTTTGGAAGGCTATATCCATCAACTTGCATTCAACAAGCAAAAGCCAAGGCACAATTGTCAAGTTTATTCGACCTACTTTGCAGGTCGCCATTGAAAGCAAAAGAAGCTAGAAAAGCAAAGCCAATGTTTTTCTACAACAGCCACTAGAAAGTTATCATTTACGAAACATAAATCGTCTTCCGTTGCTCATGCTCAGAGAGATGGGTGTTTATTGTCCCCCGTGTTTGTACATGAATCAATGCAGCAGTTGATATCATGATGCATGCTCAATATAGTGACCACATACCAGTCGTTCACTAGTCTATAGCACACAAGCTCGGGGATAATACATGATCAGCTGATTTGGTAGAAGCGGAAACCAAGCAAAATGACAGAAAATGCAAGACAGTGTAGAGTGGCTGAGGAAGAAACACTCCAGAAGTTACACTCTTTGTTTTCTCTCCTTCTTCAACCCATGTTTTAAACTAGTGATCATATGATAGCTCAGTCCTTTGCAATTATACCTTACAACAAATATTCTATTTTCAGGTGAAGCTTTAACTAAGAGCTACAATTTGAGGCAATCATCTGATTCTGTCCTAATCTAATTGATGTGCTCACAGTAAGGAAACCTTGATAAGTACAAACAGGCAAGATCATCTAACCAATGATGATACCATCTCAGTTCGTCACTATAGTTTAGACCAATTCAATTAAACAACAGACTTCAACAAAGAAGCAAAATGGACCCTTTCTTCGTTCAAGGTTAACAACTTTGCAGTGTTCAAGATTAAGATGCTAAATTCACAGATATTGATGCCCCGACTTAACACTAGCCATTCCCACCATCCACTTACAACCTAGGAAAGAGAAGGCAGACATTTTACAAACTCCCAGGAAAGCAAATACATTTTCTCCAGGAAAACCAGAATCATCCAATGGTCACATAACCTATCTTAATCCCATTACTGGCAGCGGCATTCAACTTAATCCCCCATTTCTTGATAAGCATATGACAGCAACAAGTTCGCCAAAAATTACCTTGACAAAAATGAACCCATACGAACAGGACACTCAACCAGCCTACTATGAAATCGCCATAACCACATAAACGTCTTGTGAAATGCAACAATAGAACAGAAAATGAATGATAAATCTTAGCCGCAGACAATCTTGGATGGGCCGGTGATTTTCCATACCAAAGGAAACGGAAACACAAAAAATAAATTTAGACGAAAATTCAGGACTCAAAGATCAAAGCGCCCTCACAGAGTAATAGAAAGGCAGGAAAACAAGGTTGACGGAAGGCGAAAATAACCATAGCAAGAAGGAAACAGACGAAACAGATCGAATATGCAATTGCGATCATTTTCGAAAATTCGGAGAACAGAATCAATTGTATTGATCGTCGGATTAGGAAAAAGAAAAGAGAAGAACGCACCTCCAGAGAAGAGAGAGAGTCGACGGTGGCGAGTTCGGCCATTGCAGAAGACCGGAAGCGCGATCTGGTATTTTTTTTTTTGGGGACGGAAGTGGGATCCCTGAACAAGAAGGAGCGAGCGCACAAGACAGGAACAAAACAGCAAAGAAAAGGGGAACGGGATGGGGTTGGCTAGGTCAAAACTCAAAACGACCAGTTTGAGGCTTGAGGGCAGGGGAGTTTGTGTGAAAGCTTGGGAACTGCAGTCTCAACTAGATATCCACTCAGAGCGTGGCACGTGGAAATTCCTTTTTCGCTTTTTGGATGTAAGACCAATTCAAATGGTGAAAGTTTTTTTTCACTTGGTTGAATTACAACTTTACAAGTTTATCACTTGGTTTAGCAAAAAATTTCATATTGTTAAAAATATTTATTTTTTATTGTTCTTTTTTAAAAAATTATTTCCTAGTAAAAGTTGTAGTTCTTAAAAAGTTATGCGCAATCAAAAAACACTTTACCACGTTCGGATTGAGGAGCTACAAGTTATGTCCTTCCAGAGTTTGCCAAAATTGAAAAATTGCCCGTTCGGGGTAACCAACGACATTTTTTTAGATGAAGTCTTGTTGCAGATTGAAATATCTTGAAAAGTTATATGGAATAAATAAAAAATTCGCTACAATCGGATAACCGAGCGCAAAGTTATGTTTGTTTGAAATTTCAATGTTCAGTCAGGCATTGACCGCGGCCGTCAACCGCAGTGATGCATTCACCGCTTTGACAACAACGGTGATGGCCAAACATGTGTAGTTTGAGAATTTTTTTATAATGTGTGTATTTTGAGGATTTAAAAAAAAACATGTGTATTTTGGGAATTCATCCATTTTTTCTGATTTTTTATGGGGTACTCCTTTTTTCTTTTGGTTGTTGTTTTGTTCATTGATTGTGGCTTGTTTGTTGGAACCCATAAAAGTTTCACCATTCATCAAATACATCATCATCGTTCTTCAGTCATGATGTTTTGACGATTCCACTCGTTGCGACTCTCCGGTTCAGCTATCCTCTTCTCTCGTGGGCCTCCAGGCACAAAGGTTAAGCCACCAGGGGCTCAGGACGGTGAACTCGGGGGGTTTTTGCTCCACGGCCTGACTTGGAGGAGACGAACACCAAACCACATAGATGGAATAATGAACGCTTACAAGGTTCTATCGATAAACCTGGGATAAATAATCAAAGGGATGGTGTGCTCTTAAGAAATCACTGAAGTCTATGTCACCAAACCACATAGATGGAAATTAAATATGGAATAATGAAGTGAATGTTTAAGGTTAGAGCATCCCAACAGAGCTACTAGTTTCCAACATGCAGGCTAATCCGAGTTTTAGTAGCATTTTAATTGCATGATTTCTATTAGTAACTCTAGGTTGATGAACAAAGAACTTGCTTGTTGCGTAATAACCCTTAATGTTAACTTGATTGTATTATTACTAAGGCTGCTTGTTGTTTTGCTATGATTTGCAGAAGGAAAGCCTAGTGTGGAATCGAGGGAGAGAAACAGACCATAAGGAATTTGGAATAGAAGGTTTGGTGCTGGTTTATTTGCTGCTGCTTCATGCTACTGGAAGTTGGTTCATTAGGCTCAATTGTTACTGATTGGAGTTGTAATGATTCTTGACCTTGTGTAGTCCCTGGAAGGAAGTGTTAGAAGAAATGGCCTTGCAGTAGATAATTCTTGTTGCTGTGTTTTTCAGGTTTGTGATTGTTCATATTTTCGAGCTTTGGGTACATCAACAAGGTGCTGGTTTTCTAAAGGTTTTCTGGTAATTGGTCCAGTGGTAATACCACGGGTAAACTACTTATTGCAATGAGCTTCGCTGCAAATCACCAGTTACAGTTCCAGAATCAACAAATGGTTCTTAAAAAATGCCGCCTCCCTCCTAACTAAACTCCATGCAAAAGAAACGGGCATGACTTTGATCGCCCCTTTTGTCATAAATCACTATGCGTTACAATTTAAGGAGACGCGTAAAAACAACCAACCATTCTTGCCAAACAAATCCACAGTGGAGAAATGCATCTGATTCTCACATACCTTGCCAATCTGTGTAAAAGTTTTATCAGATGAGGAGATTAAGCCAATGCATCTCTTACTAGCTGACAAAAGGGCAAAGGATATATTGTTCATACAAGTAAAGGAATATCTTTTTTTTTTTTCCTGAGTGAAATAAAGGAAAATCAGAACCAGTATTTAGCAGCCAGGTACATGACACTGCACAACTGTTAGAACCTACCTGACGTTGCAATATATAGCTAGGATTCAAATTCTAAAGTCACAGATACTGGAATTCAAAGAAACTAAACACAACCAAATCGACGCCTATGGTGCACTCAACATGATTCGAGTCCAATGACTTGTTTCACAACATACTCAGAGATTCTAAAACTATCAGATGATTTCAACATTACCAACATAGAACAGCACCACCTAGTCAGTGGCCATCAGAGAAATTTTTCAGCATGGCCTTCTGTTCTCAAAAACCCACACTAGAGCGAAAACACAGAAGTGTCTGGACCTAACTTAACCTGAAGACTCTTAAGACCTTCCTAATTGGCTCGGGGGGGCTTCCAGTCTGTGTCTCGCTGCTTGCATCATTTACTGTAAGTGCAGGTTCTAGTACAAAAAGTAGTTCCATTGAATCAAATTTAAGCTACGCTTTCAAAATGCATGGTCCAACCAGCCAAACACAGAGTCAAAAATGCGTTGGAAGTGGACATCTACCAAACCTAACCGGGAACCAGCAATTTACAGTCTAGCAGAGAATCACTTCAGTTTCTTTTCAACTAGAAATCCTCACATTTAAACTGAAGATCGAACAACTCCTCTTCAGAACCACATTCTCAAACACAGCTTTCCAAATTCCAGTACCTTGAGATAGCACATAGCACAAGCAGAAGACACAGTAATGACACTAGAATACAAACACAAAGTACCCTTTATAGGCTCTTCAATTCACAAAAGACCACCAGAACTTGTACAGATATCATGAATATCATCACACAAGTTCCCTGAAGAACAATATAAACATCACAAAATACACATTCGAATTTCGAATTGGGTAAGAAACAGCACTGGACAAAGATTCAACTGTATTTGGTTGCATAGTTCATATGGAAAGCTTTCATTTCAAGCCGAAAAAGTGAAAAGAAAGAGAAGTCCATCATCCAACGGGGGAATTGTCCTATTTCACATGTCTTTGCACTTGGGTATTCATTTACAAGATAACAAACCAACCAACCATGTACCCTTAAACCCTTCTGTGTCGATCACCTTTTCTATCAGAATCACCAGTAATCCAATAAACCCCTCCGGTTTATGTACACATTAAAGAGAGAACCCATATGATCAGAAGTTCAGAACCCTAAAATCTAGACCTAACACTCAGCTGACAAACAAATTTCTTGTTATTTTCTGCATAAACCCCCCAAATGGAGGAAACACTTACCTGAGACAGAAAAGCAACATTCTTTTCAGAGCCCCTTCCACCTCGGGCTGGGTACAGGCACTGTCGGCGAGAGAGGGAAAGCAGTCGGTGAAAGCAGCGGGTACGAAGACCGAGGCGAATTCAAACACCCAAACGGCAGCGGCGAGAGCGGCAGCTGGAACTGTGGGTGCGAAGTCGGTGACGGAAGCACCCCTTGCTGCTGCTGCGGCGGCGGAGGCGGAGGCGGCGGCAGAGCTGAATTGCTGTTCCAGCGCGGTGAAACAAGGGGAGCCAGGGGCGAGAACCCAGAGAACTGTTTGTTATTAGGATCGAAATTAGGGACGGAGTTGTGGAGGTAGCGCATGTAAGCGGAGACTGGCGACTCCGCGGCCGCGTGGACTGCCGGAAACGGCGGTAACGGAGACATGGGAGCGGGAGGGCGGTGGAGGAACCCTTGGGCGGCGGCGGGATTGAACGGCTGGGGAGGGAGAGACGAGACGTCGGAAGGGTTGTTGATGATCGGAGGTGGGCGATTGGTGAGGTGGGCGAGCGGCGGAGGGCGAATCCGCTGCAGGCGAGAGCTCTGGGGTTTTGGTGCGTGGATGGGCGGCGGAGCAGAGAAGCGCTCGTGAGCAGGGGATCCGGTCAGCTTCTGGACGACGTCGCGGAAATCGCTCTTGTTGATGTTGTAGACCGGAGGCTGGTTCTGGCTCTGCGGCGGTTGGGAGGAGGCAGGGGGCATCGGCGGTGGAGGATTGAAGTCGTTGTTGTTATCATCATTGTTGGGTGGATGATCGAAAGGCTTTTTTGGGATAGTGGGTTTGGAGATCTTGTGGGAGAGCTTGTTGAGGCTTTTGAGGTACTGATCTCTGCTGCTGTTGCCAGCGCTGGAGTCCGCCGCCGCTGTCGCCGGAGGAGGCGGTGGTTGATGATTATCCATCTGCTTCTTTGTTTTTTTCTTTTTACTCCCTCCACCACCAGAAACCCAATTCGGTACCTGGGTTTCTTGAAGATCTAAGAACGCCGAACCCAACTGGAGGAACTGATCAACCAATCAGTGGCGATCGGCGGATTGGATTTGTAAGATACAGAAACAGGGGGCGAGAGAGGTGGGAGTGGAGAAGAGCAAACCAAAAGGATGGTCTCTCTTTTCTTTTTGGGGTTCCCGATAGGAAGGACTTCTCTTTTGTTTTTGTTTTTCCTTTTTCTGGGTTTGATGTAAGTTTTATCATCAGGAAAAGAAGGTAAAATATCAAATTATGCGAGTTGGTGTGTACAGTAGTAGTACAGTGAACACACTCCGTCACAGGATGTAACTCTACCAAATGATTTCACTTGCTTCATTTTCAGCCGTCAACGGTCAAACTTCCTGATGCTCGATTCTCAAGTACTTTTTTGTTGGGCCTGAATTTATTATGCTTAAGAAAAGTAAAACCATTAATTGCTTTTCATTCCTTTTAAACCGGCTAAATTGCACGTTTGATCACTCGAATTATGCAATTCTTTTATGTTTGTCATCTAAATTACTTTTTTTTCTTATTCGGCAGTAACTTTACGAATCGTTTCATCATTAGTCACCTACCGTTACACTCCGTTAAATTTTCTCCTACGTGACAGTCAACTATAAAATTTGACCGTTAACTAGATGATGTGGAAATTTAAAAACAATAAAAATTTAATTTATTTATCCACCTCATCATTCCACTTACTTTCGGTATATCATTTACCATACTATCTAATAAAAATTAATTAAATAACAAAATAATTAATATGATTAATTTATTCTCCACCCGTCAAGATCCGACGGACGAGAGTGTCGTGTAAGCAACCGCCGATCTCGGTCCATCTTCGGTGTCGTTCATCTTATTCTACCCTACCACCGGACCATCCAAATCACAGAAAGGCGAGGAAACAAAATCAAGAAGAGTCAGGTGGGAATTATTGAAGAACATTATTTATCCAATTAGTTTACAACAAGATTGAACAAAGCTCGCTCGATGCTTCCGAGCAATCAGCAATTGAGAAATTCCAATTTCAAAGCCAAACTAAATCTCAACGAATGGCGAAAGAGAAAAGGAAAAATGAGAACTGTAGGCGGTAGCTCGTTCGGTTTAGTCTGCCAACATTTTCATTTTCCCGGTACGGAGTCTAGATACCTTCATGTCTCGCCGGAACGGAGTCCGAGCGAGCAGAGATGGAGCTGAAGAGGGGAACAGAGCCGCCAGCGAGAAAGGGAATGAGGAAGGCCAGCGAACGAGGCTTGAAGGAGATTTGTTTATAGAGTGAGGTGACGGTTAGATTGTGAGCGTACGTACTGCCGCCGACACTTTTTTCGTCTCCCCTGACGATGGTGGCCCAGAGTTATGAAATCGAAAAAAGTGTGAGCGTCGACAATCTTGTGTAAGAGACAAGCCCCAATGGCGCCGCCGCCGCAAAGGAAGATGGTGGCCTTGAATGCAATCTGCAGTGCTGATTCAATGACCGACGGTCGGCGGATGAGGAAGGAAGGGAAGGGGAGGAACCGGTGGAGCGAGTCGAGTTGGGGTTGCTTGTTGAGAAACAGAGTCATGGACATGGACGGGTACTCGACAGGTGAAAACGGAAAACCCTCGTCGTCGCAACGGACGATGTGAAGCGAGTCAGCTGCAGATTTGGACAACCTTCCGGCCAGCATGTAAAAGCGAGTGAGAGCCTTAGGTAGTGACGATTTTAGGGTGTACAGTGTTGTGTCTCCACCTGGTTTGGATGGTCCGGTGACAGGGTAGAAGAAGATGAATGGCACCAAGGATGGACCGAGATCGGCGGCTGCGTACAACGACAATCTCGTCCGTCAGATCTTGATCGGTGGAGAATAAATTTATCATATTTTTTGCAATTTAATTAATTTTTATTAAATAATATACACAAAGTAAGTGGAATAATGAGGTGGACAAATAAATTAATTTATTAAATTTTAAAAATTTCCACGACATCTAGTTAACGGTCAAACTTTATAGTTGACTGCCACGTAGGATAAATTTAATGGAGTGTAACGGCCGGTGACTAATGGTGAAACGACTCGTAAAGTTAGTGGCGAATAAGAAAGAAAGTAATTTGGATGGCAAACGTGAAAGATTTGTATAATTCGAGTGACCCAACATGTAATTTAGCCCTTTTAAACCATTCAATGTCTCCTCTTATCTAGGGATGCCATTGAGTCGGGTATGGTCGGGTTTTGCCAAACCCAAATCCATGGGTTTATCCGTAAAAAAAAATCGCGGTAAAACTTATTTGCTTTGGAAAACTCAAACCCAATCCGCTGGGTATTCGCGGGTTCATGGGTTTTTATGGTAAAAAATTTACAATAACAAGTTCCTATCGAAATAAAATTCAAATATCAATTTACCCATACAAATTATCCATACATAAAACACCATTCTAGAAAATTTATACATATTCGTTTGGATGAGGAATTCTAATGGATCAATCTGACACAATTGTCTCGTTTTGAGTCAATTGTGCTACATTGATCCGTTTGGCAGCAGAAAATTTGGATGAAGCAATTTGGGTTGGGGAATTCTGAATTGACTCATTTTGAGCCAATTACAATTGTCTGGGGTGGGGGCAGGTAATCTGAATTGACTCGTTTTAAATGACTCGTTTTGTAAAATGAAACAATTGGTCAAATTGTCTCGTTTTACAATTGATCCATCCAAACGACATTAAAGAGGAAATTAGAATTAGAGTAGTGTTTGGGAAGAGTAAGGCGATGAAATAAATGTGGACAGTATACCCAAACTCAACCCGGTGAATAGTGTACGAGTTAAATCCAAAACTGGCCCGAAACCAATTCGGGTTTTACCCGCGTTGACCGGGTTGGGTTGGGTAGGGCACCCGCGGGTTCGGGTTTTATTGTCATCCCTACTCTTATCAAACCGATTTAAATAGTTATGCCACGTGAAGTAAGTGGTATGGTTGGATCAACATATAGTTAATTTATGTCTTTATAGTTAGGTTCTATTTAAGGAGTGGGAGATGGTCATTCCAATCACGTATAACTTATTTTGACTCTGCTTCATATCGGAGTTCTTCGAATTAGTTTAGTGCATGGTACCAGTTAAAATGGTTTGGCTTGCTACTGCATATTGCCCATTGGTACTCTTTGTATGTACTAACTTTAAATTGGCTGAGCGGAAATCCCGGCTAGTGGGGAGATGGAAGCAAGAATGTAGTTCTATGGAGGATTAAGGTTTGGAATCTGCCTATTCAACCTAACCTCAAATTCTTTGCTTAGGAAATTTTGCAGAGATTGTTGCCTAACATGGAGGTGTTGTGGGATAAGAAGGTACTGGTCTTACTCTGATGCCTGATTTGCTGGGTGGAGGAGAAGAGTACGAAGCACCTGTTCTTGCTCTGTCCTGTGGGCTGTGGCGAATATCCTGTGGGAGGAGGCGGGTATATCCGCGGAGCTACAGACCTTGTCGAGTGTGTGCTTCAATATTTTCTTTTGGAGATTCTTGGATCGGGATTCCTCCTTGCCGAGGGTGGTGATTTTCCCCCCCTGTTACGGAGAATCTGGAAGGCTAGTGTAACACTTTAGGCAAATCTCACATCGACAAAACACGGGAGAGATCTATGGTTCATAAGTAGGAAACCGGCCTTAACTGACAAGACGCGTTTTGGGGTGAAATGGAGGAGTTCTTGTGAGAGCTCTGAAGTTAAACGTGATCAGTGTGGAGTACAACAAGAATGGGTGACCTTATGGGAAGTCACCTTGAATTGCACCACAAGTCGAAAACCGTGAGGGTCGAGCCTCAAAGCGGACAATATCTTCGTCTGGAAAAGGTTTGGGATGTTATTGCTAGGATTGAGTTTTTTTTTTTCCTATTAGGAGAGGAAGAAGCAGTACCTACCTCCGACCCGACCATAGTCAATCCATTATGGAGAGCTTCTGCTCACCTGTGGTAATATATTCCTCCATCTCTCTGTCTATCTAAACATCCCCCTATTGTTTAGGAAGTTGACTCTTTTGTTATCCAAACTTATACCTTATGTTTTCGTATATGTATTTCAAGGTTTTGTTCATGTGGTTGGTTGTTCTTACTAACTTTAATTTGATATATCATGTATGTTAATGGGAAACTGCTTGTGTATGATAAGTTATGATGCTTTGCATCATTCCCATGCATAATCTATGGAAAGCTTCATTTTTTATGTAGAGGATCCTTGGGAATATGATTCGAGGCATACCTAGCATGATCTTTGACTTGTCACTACAACTGAGTCAAATTGTCTTTTAGCTTTTTAACTAAGGAGCTAGGCTTGTCTTGGTTTTTCATTGAAATAATTGTTGCTTAATTAAGCACGAGGTGTAAGTAAGCATGACATGGTAATTAAGCACGAGTTGGATTATAAAGATCTAGTCGTCATTATCTTCCACATTGTTACCATGAGATGTTACATATAGATTCATTTGAGAATGAGCTATCCCCATATTATATGATTTATAATGATGATTTTCATATGTCTAACCATGAGGTGTTGAATCAAATTTATTTGGGGATTACTCATATGTTTAAGAATGAGGTGCATACTCTTTTTGGTTCATTAGAGATGATTTCATCACTATTTCATGAACCTATAAATAGGGGTTGGAGTGAGTGACAAAAATCAACAATATAGTTCTTCAATCCTCCAAAGCTCGTGGCTAGCACCAATTGGTGGAGGTGATCTGATCAAAATCCGAACAAAGGAATTGGCTACAATTGTTGTGGATGAATTGTGAACAGGACTACTTTAAGAGACTATAGATAGAATGTACCATTTGTGCTTTAAATCTTGATTGTATTTGTGTTTTGAGTTTTAATTAGTGTATGTGTTTTGGTGATATTCAGATGAAGCTCTCCTAAACAAGTGATTTTTAATTTTGTGTTTTAAGACTTTAGATTATTGTGTTTAACTCTTAATAGTCGAGTTTTAAGTCTCCATTTTTCTACCTTTAGATTTCGTGTTTTGTCTATAGTTTTCCCCTTTTTATTGTGCTCACCCAACTCAACATTTAGAGGCACCTCAATCCCACTTGGTTATTGAAAATACAAGCATACGATTCGAAGCAGTAAAAAAATAGCGGATCCTTGGGAATATGATTCGAGACATACCTAGCATGATCTTTGACTTGTCACTACAACTGAGTCAAATTGTCTTTTAGCATTTAAACTAAGGAGCTATAATTGTCTTGGTTTTTCATTGAAATCATTGTTGCTTAATTAAGCACGAGGTGTAAGTAAGCACGACGGGTAATTAAGTACAAGGTGGATTATAAAGATCTAGTCGTCGTTATCTTCCACATTATTACCGTGAGATGTTACATATAGATTCATTTGAGAATGAGTCATCCCCATATTAGATGATTTATAATGATGATTTTCATACGTCTAACCATGAGGTGTTGAATCAAATTCATTTGGAGATTACTCATATGTTTAAGAATGAGGTGCATATTTTTTTTTGGGTTCATTTGAGATGATTCATCAATATTTCATGAACCTATAAATAAGGGGTTGGAGTGAGTGAAAAAAAATCAACACTATAGTTCTTCAATCCTCCAAAGCTCGTGGCTAGCACCAATTGGTGGAGGTGATCTGATCAAAATTCGTGTGGATACTAACAAAGGAATTGACTACAATTGTTGCGGATGACTTTTGATTTTACAACTCTTCCTTTCAAGTCATTCTAAAAGTCATAATGTTAAAATCTATTCACCTAGATCATGGAGGTTTTAATTAATGTCTGATGCGTCTTCGGACCCCCAAATCCAACACGGATAAGGACAAAATCTCTATTTACAAACTCTACAAAACTGTTGTTTGGAAGTTGGGATTTTAGATGATGTATTTAACCAATACATGTAATCAGAAGAATTCGTCGTATTTTTGTCTTATGCTGAAACATAATACTTGTATTTGAACCGCAGATGAGACCATTACAATCATTCATTATGAATGATTGTCAATCTTAGTTTTTAGCAGAGATTGTGTTTGATGGATTGTTAACTCACTTTTTCTTCCTTATTTTTTGAGAGATCACCGAAATCATTCAATCTCCAAATAATATATTTTTCAAATTCATACATTGAAACAATGCATCTAATTATAATACATACATCTAATTATAATGCATTAAAATCAAAATAGTTGAATTATGTATATTCGGGTCCAATTGTACACATTTTACCCCTCATTTCTTGATAGTTTGGCTTTGCATTTCATCGTCCCTCGACATATTTCATGCTAGGTTGTGCTTGTTTTGATACATTTCAGGTCCTAGCACGTGTGGAAGGGTCGAGGACGAGTTTCGAGATGATTGGTGGTCAAAAAGCGTAGAAACCAAAGAAAAGTCCAAAGCCGTGACAGTGAAGCGTGGGCGCCCAGGAAAGCAGGCGCAGTTCACGGTCCAAGCAATGAGTACATGGTTACCAGGACAGTGAATTGGAACCACAAACCATGAACCGTGAAGCGTCCAGAGGGGTTTCTGAGGTTACTGGCGCCAAGGCAGTTCACGGTCGCTAAGACAGTGAATTGGAACCACAAACCGTGAACCACAAAAGTGAAGCAGTGCGTAATGATTCAAGCATTGGAGTTCACGGACGCGTTCTGATGTTCACGGCCGTGAATTGGGACCGTGAACTAGGCGCGCAGCTGGGTATAAATAGAGAGCTGGAAGGAGGAAGAAGAGAGCTTTTTGGAGGGTTTTAGTTTTCAAAATAAAGAGGGTTTTCTAGTGAGAGGTTAGAGTTTCCTCTTCCCATTCAAGAGAGAGAAAGTGTTATTCAAAGGAGGAAGAAGGAGATTGGGCTCAATTCAAGCTAGAGGATTGAATATCTCTTCTTCTCAAGGGAGATTCAAGCAAGAAGGAAGGGAGACACTCATCTCTCTATGGTTCTTTCTCTCTCTTTTTTTTTCTTTTTTCTTTGCATGACTATGGATTAGCCTTCCTACTCAATTGGGTATTGTGAATCCTAGTCTAGATGTGTGTTAGGATGTAAGAGCTTGGTTCTATTGTGTTGATTGTGTGTTTTATATAATATTTGAGGTATTAATCATGAATGATTGGGTGTTGCTTGCATTGTCTCATTATTGGGTCAAATTAACCTAGAAGGTGGAAATCCCCCTTTGGCCCATAGGGAGCATGATCTCCTAGCCACTTGGGTAACCCCTTTTGGGTTAATCTAGGGCCAAAGCCTCAAGTATCAAAGTAGTACCATGATCCCATCATGGTTGGTCGCTCTCAGCCGTCCGGATTAACTTCCGAGGGTTGGGTCTTGCAACCCTTAGTTGATTAGTTAAGAGGGCTAGACCGTTAAGCTTATTGTTGTCATCCTTAGCTGAAAGGTTAAGAGAGTTAGTCTACTAACTTAATGCAACAATCCTTAATTGGTGAACTAAGAGAGTTAGGGGTTCCTTGGTTTGTTTGATTAAGATAGCCAGTCCTCCTAGCTTATTGTTGCAGTCCTTAGCCAAGTGGTTAAGAGAGCTAGGTTCGCTAGCTTATTGTAGCAATCCTTGATCGATCGACTAGGAGGGCTCATTCCTAGCTTGTTGCACCCGCCTCGCGGTATATAAACATACCCTTCACACTAGAGTTTCAGTCATTGATTCTTAGCACGAGACTAGGGGGAACAATACCCGGGTGAGGTCCTCTCATATAGATTCCCCTCGATTTTATTTACTTGGTTGTTTATTTTATAGTTTTCTTAGTTTTAAAACCAAAACTGTTTTGCTAGATAACAAACTAAGCAATTGAAGTAGGGGTACAAGGACCGGCCCGGGTTGACATTTAAACATATACTCGTCATATACTGCACCCGACTAGAGTTTCTACTTGGGCTATTGTCGGGATTTAATTCGTGGTGTATCTGTGGCGAGTCATATGCAGAAAAGTAACCCAAAATTATATATTTAAAAAAAATTAATAACATTTTGTACCCTTATACTATTGTTGGAGAGCGTATCTTACTCAACAAGGAACAGATGGAGTCGAAATGACGGGAAAGCTGGTTTCGGAACGTCACATGGAGCAGCCGGGGGAAGCTAGCCCCCTTGCTGTGTGATCAAGGGGAGAAATCGATGGCGTCGGAACATCACGGGAGATCCGGGAAGCTTGCCGTATGGTCTCGCCTATCAACCGGTTCTCTCTACTCAAGCCGTCGGTGAGGAGATGTCGGGAGCAGGCACCGCCACCGAGTCGAGGGGCTGATTGCCAGGAGAGACTTCAGGGGGGACGAACGGTCTCTGGTCGAGTGCCTCAAAATTAATTTAGGGGTTTTTTTAATTAATTGATTTGGGACATAATAAAATAGTTAAAATCAAAATTATGAGTGTTTTGGAGTAAATAAGAGGCAATTGTGTCATTTTCCACTATTATGATTGGGGCTCACTTAACATATAATTAGATGGAAGGGTACGTAATAAGTATGTTTGTAATAAGTATGTTTGTGTAAAAATTTAGTATATTCATACTATTGTTAATTTACCATAATAGAGGATAAAAATGGCTATTAACGATTTGAAAAAAATGGAAATGGCTATTAACGATTTGAAAAAAATGGATAAGTTATGTACACACAGAATCTTAAAGCATTTTAGAAAGAAAAAGAAAATTCCTCCTACTATACCGTCACAAAATCAAGAAAGACAAAACCTATATACCACTAAAAAACACGCTCCCCAATTCCTCTCTCTCTCTCTCTGTCGTCCCTTGTGCTGTGCTGTGCTGTGCTGTGTGTGAACCGTATACCGTTAACCATTTCCTCTCCCGCCGACGGACGCAGCTATCCCCTGCTTTCCGGCTTTCCCCCTCCCAACTAAACCAAATTGAGAGTCATCGGAGCAAACTCTCACCTGGGTTTCTCTCAATTTTCGCTTTGCCGTCTTCTCAAGAGAGAAAAACAGGAAAAAAAATGGACCGGCGATCCTCCGTTGACTCCTACAGCAGCAGCAGCAACAGCAACAGCGGCGGTGACGGAAGCTATCAGAATCACCACCACCACCACCACAACAACAACAACAACAACCAAAGCAGAGATCAGTACCTGAAGAATCTCAACAAGCAATCGCAGAAGATCTCCAAACCCAGTATCCCGTCTAACCCTAGAAAGCTCTCTCCTTCCCCCTTTGACCACCATCAACCCAATTTCAATTCCAATCCCCCGAATCCAATTCCTCCGCCACAGCCGCAGCCGCAGCCGACGCAGAACCAGCCCCATGTCTACAACATCAACAAGAATGATTTCCGCGACGTCGTTCAGCGCCTCACCGGATCCCCTGCCCACCACGACCGCTTCTCGTCCCCCAATCCTCCTCCTCCAGCCCCTGCTCCGGATCCGACGTCCAAGCCACCGTCTCAGGTCTCTCGATTGCAGCGGATCCGCCCTCCTCCGCTCGCCGGTCTCGCCCCCAACCGCCCGCCGCCCCAGATTCAGCACCACAATCAACACCGCCCCATGCCTCCTCCGCAGCAGCACTACCAGCCCCCGCCGATGAATACCCACATGCCTCCTCCGGGCCCGCCACCACCCAACGGCTTCTTCCCGCGTCCGCCGCCGGGTCCTTTATCTCCGGTTCCTCAATTCCCCGGCCCTGCAGTGGCGGAGTCGCCCGTTTCGGCTTACATGAGATATCTCCAGGACTCAATGGATCCCAACAAACAGCAATTTACTGGGTTCTCCCCTCTCGCCCCTTTGGTTTCCCCTCGATGGAACAACGGCAATAACAATTTGCAACAGCAGAACCAACAGCATTATGGACCACCGCCGCCTCAGCCTCAGCAGTACCACCACCAGGGGCTACTTCCGTCGCCGAATGCTGCTGCTGCTGCTGGGACAGCAATGATGCCTCCGCCACAACCATCCCCTTTCCAGCAGTTCCCGCAGTCTCCTTTGTCGTTTGGGTTCTTGAATTCTCCGCGGTCTCCTTATCCTCTGTTTTCTCCAAGCACGTTGCTTTCTCCTTCGGCTTTCCCTCTTTCCCCGACCATGCCAATGCACAGTCCAAGATGGTTGCTTTCCCCCAACCCTTTCCCTCTTTCCCCCACCATGCCCTTCCCAAGTCCCAGATGGAGAGGGATGTGATCTTGTTACTGCACTATTCAGGTAGTTCTGAGTTCTTATCCATGTTCTCTTATTAGACTGATTAGAGCATTAAGGTTTCATGTATATGTATATATATATGAATGGGGATTCATTTGATTGCCAGTGGTTCATTTTGGACGAAAGGTGCCTGGCTCTGGCCATGTAATAGATAGAATTTTTCCTTGTTGTTGTAAAAATTGATAGTCAAATTACAATTTTCAAATAGGAAAGAACCCTTGGACTTGACCTTTCGCATTCCTTTTTTTTTTTTTAAATCGTATGCTTCTGCATTTGTACTGTATTTGATACTTCAGATTGACAATTCTGTTAGAGTAAATGAAACAACATGTGGATTGCACTGTTGGTTTATTTCATTCATCTTAATGTGCTCCGGTATTGGAGATTCATTTCAAGTCTTTCTTTGGCCATTGGATTGATTTTTTCTTCAGTGAAGAGGCTTTGTTTGCTGATAATGCTAGATGAGAATATCCCTTACCAAGTTCTTGTAAGTGCTAATGAAATTGAAAAGCCTTTGTCTTGTTTTCCCAGTTGAGTAATTCGTTGGTATTGTAGTATACAGGTTTGTTTAGTTTATCATCTTTGCTGTCAGTTTTATTGCTCTGTGTGCTCTGTTTGTTATTAGGTTAGTTTCTCTTGCGATATAATAATGCTTTGACTGCTGGAGTTTGTTTAATTTTCTGCAAAGGATTGGTAATCTTGCACTTTGAGTACTTTACTTGAAGTGTTCAGTTTTGTGCACTGCTGCCTTTTGAGCTTTACTAATTGCTTTATGATGGACTTAGAAGAAATTTCCATTCTTCATATTTCTGCCATGTGATCGTTCTCCTTTAGTTGGTTGTCTAAATAAAACCATATCCTCAGTGCATCTCGTGATACGTTGGGTGAATTTCTGAGTATTTTGATTGCGGATTAGTTTTCCAAGTTCTTTTCTTATGCCTTCTTGCGCCTTCATTCAAGCTTGTAGGTATTCTTTATTGCCGAAGCCCAATAAGAAACCCGTATAAAGGAAGGTTCATGGGATCATCAGACAACACATAGATCATAAACTTGACCGTGAAGTGTCATGTTCTTCTTAGCAATATTCTTCTTGGAAACACACAAGATGGGTTGGAGAATAGAGACATTTGTTTTGTTAACTAGCTAGATAGAGTCTACAGAGGAACATAAATTATTGGAGTAATTTTCCAGGCCTTTCCGAGGAGAAAGGTAAGTCGGTTTGAGGGATGAATGTGGTGATGGAGATTTCTGTGAGAGTGTAACCAAACTGCCATTTTCACCAAGTAACTATTCTTGCCATTTGTTCAGTTCACAGCAGATTTTTTCTTTACCAGCTTTGACCTAAGGATTGAACTGTAGTTTTCTTATTTTTTCTTGGACAAAATCGAACTGTACCTAGGATGTGTTATATAACCAGCAGATGAAACAGTGGTCATACTTTTACATCATTGTAATTGTTGGGTTCTTAGTGATTATGTTCAGTGTTAGATGCCTTCTCCCCTCGAATCAATCTGTTAGAATTGTACAAGAAGTTGCTGCTATGGAAGACTTTTGACTGAGTTTGATGATTTGTTTGGCTGAGGATCAGCTTCTCTTGAATTTGTGGGGATCTTCATCTTATGCTTATCTGGTTGTGTCTATGTGTGTGCTTTTTTTCCTCTTCTTCAAGACTTTGCATTCCATTATGTATCTTGAATAGGTCAAGTTTTCCATCAACACGTATCTGTAACTCAGCTCTTGGAATGCGGTTGCTGGTAATTGAGGGTGTAAAGAACTAGTTATAATAGGATTATTATTCTAATACATGACTTTATGCTTCTTACTCTGATTGTGTTTGGATCCGGGTGGTGACCAAGTGCTGACTATTAACCAAACCAAAACTTGGGTTCACAGCTATTTTTCTGGATTATACGGCTAATGTAGACTTAGTGGTGGTAACAGTCAAATCTGTATAGCTGTATATAGTATGTATTTAATATTTATATATCGCAACTGGAGTCGAGATCGCTAGCCGCCATCGACTCTTCTTTCTCTCAGTCGGCGACGAGATCCGGAGCTCCGGTGAGTCCTCCCGGTGGTCGCCATCAAGGCCAACTCTTGGCCTTTGCATCTTCTTCCTGGATTTCCATGAGGTAGCACCTTCGGTGCGGGGTCATTGGTTGTTCCTTCCGATTGTGAATTCCTCATGCTTCTCGGAGCTCCCTCCTTTTTCCTAAATTTCCAATTCGTGGAACAAGATGTGGGCAAAAGCACTTGTTTCATTGCCACCCTGCCACCAACTTCCATAGGATAGTGATCTGCTAGAGGCTGTGGATAATATGACCAAACACTCTTCTCCTTTGACCTTTGTAATCCAAGACCTTTGAGCTTAACCTTGAAGAAGAGGACGTGAATTACCTTGTCGCCCTAAGTAATCATTGCTCATCAATTCTATCCCCATGAGTCTCCCCTCCTCCGTGACATGGTTGGAGGCATCATGCTCCTCACTCTGCCACGACACTTCGGTTGCTGTCGGCTGGGGCTTCTTCATCGAGGTCAGTAGGTTCGATCATTTCAGTTAGGAATTTAACCATAGTCGCGGATTCCTCACCCCCGACGCTCTCGATAGCTGCCTCATGCCGCTCCTGGCTTCCTTATCATCAGCCGTGCTGGGTCTCTCCATAGTCCATTGTCGCGTCGGCTGACAATTGTGCCACCCCAGCCTTGTCGTCCGTAGGCATCACCTCCTCCTCAGCTGGTGCCACGAGCTTCTCTCTGCCGCCACTGCTCGTTTGCTTTCCCAACAGCCCAACCCGCATCTCTTTGGTCTAGCGTTCAAGCCTCAGTAGAGTTCGAAGGAGTTGTTCCTCTAGTTCTGATCCTCATTTGAGAGTTGTGATGAACTAATAATCCGACGGGGCTCTGATACCACTGAAAGACCTACGGTTCTTCGCGTAGTTTGGGATTAAATATAACCAGATAGATTAGGAAGGATTTAGTGATTGAGAGAAAGAATTAGAGATTTGAGAAGAAGAATTGGGAATTGGGTTATGAGGAACAGACGAATTAGGGAATAGAAGAAGAGAGAATAAGAAAGAGATAAACCCAATAGGGTTTGATTATTGATTTCCGACTACGTAAGTCACAAAGTACATGTTTATAATAAAAGACACTCAAAACCCTAACATAATCCTAATTCTGCTAGGCCACTAGTTGACCGCCTAACCCCCTAATAATTATGTTACTAACACATAGCGAACTGCAATTCTTTATGTGAGCTAATTTCTCTTGTTGCGTGTCTTATGTGAACATGTTATAACTTATAAGGCTTTTTTTTGGTTCTTTGAGTAATTGATTCAGGCCTAAATGTACACTTTTGATCCCCATTTATCTTTGACGTTTGAGGCATTTGAACTCCGAAAGGGGTGGTTTTACGCTAGGTTTGTCGTGTTTCAATTTGTTTAAGAGTCTAACAGATGGAAACAACCCCGGGAGTCGATCCTTGGAGGAAATGGCGTGAATATCGGACAAAAGGAGGAATCAACCGTCTTTCACGGTTCAGGCAGGAAGTTCACGATCATCAAGACCGTGAACTGGAGCCATAAACCGCGAACCAGGAGGGGTCAACGACGATCCTGCAGGTTACTGGCAAATTGACAGTTCACGGTCGCTAAGACCGTGAACATCGGCCATAAACCGTGAAGACGCTAAATGAAACAACGCGAATTGGGGTGAGTTCACAGTTCAAGCCATTAGTTCACGGCCATGAAATTGGACCGTGAACTGGGCGCGATCAGTGTATAAAAGGAGAGATGAAAGAAAGAAGAAAGGGGGATCCCAAAGTGAGAGAAAACTTCTTCTTGAAAACCCTACAGAGAGAAAGTCACGAACCAAGAGGGAGAAGAGGATAGAGTTTGCTCCAAATCAAGAATTGGGAAGTTCCTCTTCAAGGGAGGATCTCTACAAGCACAGAGGAGGATTGGGGCATCATCCATGATGGTTCCCCCTCCCCCCCCCCCCCCCCCCCCCCCCCCCCCCCCCCCCCCCCCCCCCCCTCCCTTTCCTTTGTGTTCTTCCTTCTTCTAGCATGGAGTAGTCTCCTATTCACTTGGGTGTTGTAGAACCCTAACTTATACCATGTAACTACTTGTGTGGATTGAATGAGTGTGTGTGGGTAATGTTTAATTTGAGATTTGATGTATTTTTCATGATGATTGTGCATTGTGTGTGCCTTGCAATCTATTGTGTTATTCTAACCTAGCTTAGAGGGAAATCCCCTTTTCTAACTAGGTTAATGCAGGGCAAATCTCTAAACTCAAATTGAGCATTTAGGTTAATTGTGCTTTGGCCGCTCCAAACCCCGGTTTGAGGGAGAAGTTAATGCTTTCCTTGGCCTAGCAATTGAGAGGTGGTTTTCAACCACTGTTGTCTCTCCTAGCGGTTCACAATCGTCTTGTCCCACACCGATTCATTCGATCCCACGGTTCATGGTAGTTCGTTAGGGAGAAACAACTCTCGAGTGAAACTTCTCATCAAGAGTTTCAATCCTTTTTCTTTACAAGTCTTTATTTTTAACAGTAGATTGTAGAGATTTTCGCAAAACAACAATCCGCTAGATAATGTTTCAAACGGTCAAAGTAGGGTTACATGGACCGGGCCGGATCGATATTTAAACATACTTGCCCTATATTGCACCTATTTAAGGATTATACTTGCACCTTAGGTGGGGTTTTATTGTGATAGTCGGGTTGAGTCAGTAACTTAGACATTTATTAAATAAGGAACCATATGCCTTTGCGGCCAGTACATGCAGTGGCGGAACTAGAAGTTTTATATGGGGTGTCAATTTCAAAAATTAAATTAAAAATTCTGAAGTAGAAAAATATCTGATTAATACAAGTTAATACACAAGTCTACAAAATGTTATCATATTTTGAAATAAAATGATAAAATACGTTCACTGTCTGCAGTGCTCAACAAATCTCTTTCAATATATTCTACTAGACAATCATTTCCAATCTGATCGCCTATTTAATTCCGAAACTTGTTTAGATAATCTGAAGCTGAAAAAACTCTCTTAACATTTGGAGTTGCAACTCGTAAATTTAAGGAGGCAAAAGACTAATAAATAGCATAGATTCAATTTTGTCAAAATAACACATCATGTTTAACAAAATGATAATAATTCTCAAAATCCTATAGAAGAAAAGAAAAAGAAAGGTGATCGAACTTTTTACGATAAAATCGTGTGTTAGTCTAATGACAGCAAGCACTTAATATACTACACAACCAGATCCAACGCGGTGCTTACTATACTAACTAATCAATCGCCCAGCCGAACAGTTAGCCTAATGACAGCAAAACAGCGACAAAAGAAAGACAACTCCTCAACAACAAAGCTAGTTTAGCGATGACAACATAGAAACAAGGCATTTAGTTATATTAATAAAAAAAGCTTCAATATTATCAATTCGGAAAACAGAGAGGCACATTCGAGGGGTGGACAAAGTAAAGAAAGACCCAACTAAAATTTAAATAAAAATCAAAGGAGAAGGAGAAGGAAGAAAAAAAGAAAGAAAAAGAACGACTTGGTCCCTTCCACAATCCAAAGCCAAGACAGTAGGAACAATTAATTCTTTCTTGCCTAAAACCTGCATGTAACAAAGGGAGGCACGCCACACCATCTCCAAGTTAAAAACGCTTAGGGGGAGGAGGAGGAAGTTCACCCTTCATTTGCATTCTCACATCCATCTGGTATTCGCCCAGGTCCGGCGAAAGCTCTACTGCTGCTCCTCGGCACCTTTGGGCGCAGATGCTGCCTCCTTGATTTCGTCCGCCCCGTCGTCCTACAGCACACGCACAAGAGAGGCGCAGCCCCAAGTCAATTCAGTCATCGTATTGCACCAAGTTATGTGGCATGACTTTCGATACAGTTTCACAATCAATGGTTTAAACTACGACAGCACACGCACAAGAGAGACGCGCAGCCCCATGTCAATTCACTCATTGTATTACACTAAGTTATGCAGTATGACTTTCGATACAGTTTCACAAGCAATGGTTAAAACCGAGAGCTAAAATGAGTACTGGTTTTTACCTGCATATCGGAGGTCCACAAGGTGAGATTGTCACGGAGAAGTTGCATGATCAAGGTGCTATCCTTGTAGGATTCCTCGCCCAAGGTATCCAACTCTGCGATTGCTTCATCAAATGCCTGCAACCAAAGGAGATAGGTTTCAGAACAACAGCCAACCAGGAAAGACAAATAGCATCCGCGGTTGCAGCGATTTTGGAAACAACTCCAGCAGAGATTGTAAAAGGCATGAGGCTAATCAGCTGGTCAAAGTCCATGGCAAATAGCACAAGCGTTCTCTAATCTAAACAAACAAGATGGTGACTCAACCTGTTTGGCGAGGTTGCAGGCGCGATCAGGAGAATTGAGGATCTCATAGTAGAAGACTGAGAAGTTGAGAGCCAATCCTAGTCGGATCGGGTGGGTCGGAGCCAATTCAGCATTTGCAATATCCTTCAAACACACACACACACACAAACAAAAGAAAATGCAGGTTAGACGGACGAACAATCTGTTGTGCCAAAGTAACAAGGATGATTGAACAAGGAATCGAAACCGTAGTAGATCTGGGGCTATGGAGGCGAGATCTGAAGACTGACGTTAACTAGAACGAAATCAAATGAAATGAAAGAAGGGGAGAGAAAATGATACCTGAGCAGCTTTGTAAGCAGTGAGAGTGCTTTCGGCGGCCTCCTTCCTCTCGGCGCCGGTCTTGAACTCGGCGAGGTACCTGTGGTAATCGCCCTTCATCTTGAGGTAGAAGACCTTGGAGTCGCCGGAGGCGGCGGAAGGGATGAGCCTGGTGTCGAGCAGCTTCAAGATCCCGTCGCAGATGTTGGAGAGCTCGGTCTCGATCTTGGTCCTGTAGTCGCGGATCATGTTGACGTGGTCCTCGTTGCCGCGGCTCTCCTCCTTCTGCTCGATGGAGGAGATGATGCGCCAGGAGGCGCGGCGGGCGCCGATCACGTTCTTGTAGGCGACGGAGAGGAGGTTGCGCTCCTCGACGGTGAGCTCCTCGCCGTCGATGGAGGCGGAGACCTTCTCCATGAACTCGACCATCTCCTCGTAGCGCTCGGCCTGCTCGGCGAGCTTGGCCATGTAGACGTTCTCTTCGCGAGCGGATGTTGCCATCGGGGGGAAGAAGGAGATTGATTTGACTGTAGATCTGGATTTTCGATTCCTGGTTGGGGGTGTTTTTTTCTTGGGAATGGAATCGCGAGGAAGGGGAAGACTGTGGCGTTAAGAGGAAGGAGAGGAGTGGCTAATTTTGGGGGAAGAAAAGGGGAAAAGGGAAAAGGAAGGGAGGGCGATGATTGCGTTGGGGAAGGGAAGGGGTAGGGTGTGCTTCTGGAGGGGATGAAATCTGGACCGTTGGATGTGTCTGAACAAAAAGATGGTAAGCGTAGACCGGCTGTGGCCTTGTGGGGTGGAAAAATGGCAGCTGGCAGACACGGGTTCTTGATTTGAATTTTGAAAAATAAAAAACCTACAGCAGCAAAAGAAGAGAAAAGAGAACGGTCTCTGTCCTTATCTTATTATTATTTCTTTGGCAGAACGGTCTCCGGGCAATTGATAAGGACCATTTGAAAGTATTTATCCCAAGACTCAAACCAGCTATTGCCTATTAGCTATTACTATTAGAATAGACTTGACAATCGGGTCAGTAGGCTACTTCGGAGGAAGAATTTTACTATGATATATTACATGTTTTTATTTTTATGATACAATTTGAAGTTATATTTTTAACGTTATAGTATAACTTCAGAATGTACAATTTCTTTTATAATACAATTATAAATTGTACGTTTATGTGATGGTACAATTTTAAAACGTAAGAGTACAAATTTCTTTATGGTATAACTGAGCTTTTACATTTAACGTTATGGTTCAATTTTGGATTGGTGATCTCGAGTCACGGGTCGTAATAGGTCAAGGTCTAAGGGTTTGGTTGGTTTCGAGTCAAATATTGATACAACCCAGATTGTTTGGTATGGATTTAAGTTCATTTCGAGTTAGGAGTGTTCTAAGAAACACGAACGTACATGCTTCATTTTTTTAAAGGCCACACTTTTCATATATGTATGACAATAGTTTATCTAACACATGTCAATATATATTCCGAAATCCTCATATGTTAATTAATAGAAAAACAAATTAAATAAATTGTCAAAGAAACATCAAGAGAGTAATAATACTACAAGAAACACATGATATTTAATTAAATCTACTGTGGCAATCGTCCCTCGAAATAGGGGGCCGATCGCGCATGCTTGGAGTTGTCATCGATGTTAATAGAAGTGGATTGAACGCTTTTCACCTGGTTTAAATTTTGAATTAAAAAAAACCGAGAGCTGGTCTGCGATTTAAAGTTTTGAATTCGGGAGTACGGTTACGTGTGTGAAAGTGTATTTACATCCCACAATGCCCAAAAATTGGTATTACTTAAATCGATAACTTTTAAGGGGTTGTGTATTTCATTCATATTGGCATACAATTTTATTTCTACAGTGAAAGGTGGAGTGCCTAGTAAGCGGCGTCGGTGGCCGACATGGCTTCCTCTCGCGTTCTACTTTGGATTTCAACGTTTTTGCGTTAGAACACTTATCTCGATAGTTTTTGTACTATTTTCTAGTCTTAAAATTCTCCATTATGGTCATAAGATTGAAATTTTTCTCCAAATGTAACACCTATCCAATTGATACAATGTTTTCTTCCAATGAGTTACTCAAAACTTCAAGCAAAAACAAAATTTGAAATGAAAAATTAAACTAAGAAAGATAAATCATGGCTACCTCCATGGTAGCACTTTTATTTAACCTCATTAATTTTGACACAGACATGGGTTGCATCCCATGGAGCGCTCTCTTTTATGTCTATGAGCTAGGCTCAGCTAGGTTCCCTTTTAGTTGATATTTCGATCAGGTATCACTTCCTCTTCATCTCCCCATCTCGTTGCAAGGATATGATCGTAATGGAATCCATTGGGTTGATGTTGATTGATGAACTCCTAATACTCCTTTGTTGCCTCAAACTCCAGTTCCTCAATCATTTCAAGCATCATCTTTTCCTTTGTACAGGCTATCCTTAGTGCCATACTGCCATTGGAGCTTCTTTGAGATTGGGAATTGGTGGAACCTCATTCAACTCTCCTTCATACTTTGGGTCTAGATCATGGTGATGAACTATTATGTTTTATAGATTCTTAAAATGGGAGCCAAATCGAGATTTGATCTCATTGTCCGAATCCATCCAAGGATACTCCTCATGTTCATCAGCCCTCTTGATCGACTTTTCTACTTTGAATAGAAGCTTCCCCACATGTAAAGTTACTTCTTCATTGACAACATCAATTCTTGCTCTAGTAGTGGCAAGGAATGGTCTTCCATATAGGTTGCATACTCCTTACTTATGTACATTTTAATCACGAGGTAGTCGGGGAAGAAGATGAACAAACCAACTTGGGTGCTTAGGCCACGAACAACCCCAAGAGCTTTGTATGGGGTGTTGTTACCTAGCATGATCTCTACCTTGGTGTACTGTATGCTGGTTAGTCTCATCTCTTCATATTTGTGCAATGGTAGAATGTTGACGCTTGAGCTTGGTCAACTAGACCTTTTCCCCACGTTATGGTAATCATGATACATGTCATGATGATATGCTCATGATCTTCCTTTACTTTATTGACTATGAAAAATTGTGCAAAGCCTCAAGGGGGTTTCTTAATTGTGGTCTCTTTCTCTTCGACCCTGTCATCTTCTTCCATGAAAATCTCCAACTCCTCCTTAAGATTTTTGTGGAATTTATCTTCTCTAATATTGGCACTGCCATTTCTACTCATCCAGAAGCTTTTATCATATTTTTGAAGAGGGATGGGTACTCAGCTTCCTTCTTATCTTTTTTTTTTCATGCATGGGAAACTTTTAGCTACTCTCATCCTAGTTGAGATGACTTAAACTTCCTCCTCCTTCGGATTTTTGTTGTTGCTCGAGAGGTTGCTTTAAGGATTTTGAGGTTGGCCATTGATTAGGAGTGCAAGTTGTCTTTCAATATTTTGTAGCTCGTTTGAAGTCCTATTATTGTTGCCTCTAGCTTCTCGAATCTAGTGGGTTGCAAATTGGAGACAACTTTCTCCATGCTCCTTGTATTGAGGTGGATTTTCAAATTCAGGTGGACTTGGTTTCTTTTGCCATTGTGCTTCATGAACATAGGGTGCATTGGTAGAGGTGCTATTGGGATAATCCTTGGGCTTATTCCCTCATGGAGCAGGGCATTGACCGTATGGTATGCGAGGTTGGTTGAATCTTTGATAAGGAGCGTAACTACCTTGTTGAGGTCTCGATTGATAGCCTTGATCCATATAGTTGACATCAGCATGTCCTTTGCCTTTATGGCTACAACATTTGAATCCTTCATGACCTTCTTCTCCACATGCTTCAGAAACAAACAAGGATGACACTGGTCCATTCTTGGTATCCATTGAGGGTGGTGACATCATCCTCCCTTCCTTGTACAGCTTTCAATAGTTTAACTGTTGATAAATGCTTGCAAATGTTCTTTGAATTCCTCACTAGTGTGGCATAATGCTCCTTGCACTATACTCCCTTCATTGTTGTGAAATCTACATCGAACCACTGGTTTACCATCATCTTGGTGTCTCGATCAAGGACTTTGATGAAGTACTTTACAATCTGCACTGTTGTGAATCCATGATGGAGGCATACTTTGATATACTCCTGCAATCTCCTCCAAGCATCATAGAAAGCCTTTTAAACCTTATGTTGAAATCGAGTTATCTTGTCTTTAAGCTCTTCTATCCTCCATGGTGGAAAGTACTCCTCAATGAATTATTATGAAATGTCTCCCATGTGGTAAAGGTTTCTGGTGGATGGTAGTCGAGTCACTACTTTGCTCCTCCTCCAAGTGAGAATGGGAAAAGTTGTAGACGAATTCCATCTTTCGTAGCATAATCTCCTGGTATGGAAATGACGGTCTCTAAGAAGTACTTCAAATGTTGCACCGGATCATCATCATTCTTGCCTCCAAACTTACCAGCTTGTTGCACCATCTGGATGAGTTGAGTTATGATCTATATGGTTGTTGGTGGCGCAATAATGGTTTAATGTGATGTTGGATGCTCTTGGCCTTGAGTACACGTAAAAAGTTGATGGAATGACCACTTGTCTTTGTCATTCTTTTCCAACCATTGTTGGGGTTGAACAAGTTGAAGATGTTCCTTCTTGCTCCGAATTGAAGTTGTCTTTGTATATGATGTCATCCTCTTCCAAGGGTTGCTTGAAATTGGTGGGGCATGAGGGCTCTTATTCTCCTGAGCTAGATGCTCCTTCCTTCGTCTTCAATATGGGTGAACTAGATGCACCTCCTTCTCGAAGTATCTCTTCCACGATCTTTAGATTTTTAGTTTTTCTTCTTGTAGTTACTGGACTCATGCGAAAACCTAACAAAAAATAGCTTAAAAATAAACATAAGATGGTTAGATGCTTTTATACATGATTAGAAATCATCGGAAACAGCGTCGAAAACTTGATGCAGGTACATGCAATTGATAAATCTTAGGATGTCCTAGGGACTAGGATCATATTCCTCTAGGTCTTCTAATGTACAACTACTTATACCAACCATCATGACATACACGAGTAACATAAAGACATTTAGGGGTTTTCATTGGACAAACAAAGCAAGAAGAGTGAAGTTGTTTAGGAGTTTTCGATTTGTAGATGCGTAAAAGTAAGATAGGTTATTGTAAGAGGTAGCGAACTCGATAACTATTGTAACACTCTATCCCTTCCTCTAAGGCCACTCTCCACCCGTGCATGCGCCTCTTGCGATAGAGATTTAACTTGCTAATGTGTGTTTTCGCTTCATGCAATTACCTAATTAATGAAGAATAAGAAAGTTAGGATAGCATATAGTTAATTATGGGCTTCTACGAACCATAAGTATAGTCAATAACATCAATGATCTAACAATCAAACATTGATACCACTCGAAGAATAGATGGTTGATCATTCCGTCTCTACTCGTATAACATCAGTGGGGTATCCCTAGATGGTAATTTCCTGACAACCTAGGAAATACTAAGCATAATGAATGTAGTAGCATACAATAGAAGCATTAAGCATAGATGGTATAAGAGGATTCATACTATAGAAACATCAATGACCATCATAAGCATGGAATACAAGAAGCATCCATACATTATCATAGGCATCGAAAATCCCATAGATAAATAGAGACATCAGATGAAGTCATAGCATTCATTCACAAACAATAGTCAATATCACACCCTAATACAATCAATTTCGACTATCTACATATAGGAGAAGGAAGGTACCATCATTGGTGATGACAACATCACCTTAGTTGGAGACCCCTCTACTTCGACTAGGCTATCACTCAAGTAGAGTGTTACAGAGAATTTGTGCGTATGTGCAGCCTTACTAAGGAAATGATTCATGCCCTTTTTTTTTAGGGGGAGATGTCGACCTAAAACAATCGAAACTGACTACGAAAGAGTCTCCTACTCCTTGTAGGCTAAGGAAACTTCTTCAACAAGGCAACAGAGAGGTGGTGGTGCTGCGGTTGCTGGACTCGTTGCTATTTTTCTTCATGGGTTGGGCTTCCTGGTCCTTGGACTTCTTCTCCTGATGATATGGTGGCAACTTATGATGATTCACGTAGTGGCGGTTGAAATCGTTTCCTGGGCTACCAATTGTTCTTTTGTCCAAATGTGCCGACTCTTCTTCTTATGAGCTCGTCTTGTGATAATTTAGCAACTTGTAGTTGACTTCCCCGTCATTGGACATCTTCTTTCTCATGTAAGCTCCTAAATCTTCTCCTTATAACTCATTTGGTCCACCTATCCTTATGTTGTTTTGTACCTTCAAAACCATTAATATATATATATATATCAAGAATGCATCAAATAGTATAAGAACATATCCTAGGTCTATTAAAAGTTCATTGATCAAATAGTTGTGATTTAGACAAAAAAATAACATTGAAATGACTAACGATGCATTGATAGAAGGGAAAATGTATCAAGAATGAAAGTGACAAACACTGTAAATAAAGTGTCATCATCTACCTTGTGTTTTATTTACATGTGTCCTTTATTCTTTGTCATTCCTCAATTGAAATTCATGCTATGGATTTCTCACGACTTTGTCCTTCTCGATATGGATATGGATAGAGATTATTATATCCTATGATGGAGTTCATTCATTGTATCAGTCAGAGCATTAATCATACTTACACGAAGTATTACTATGAGAACCATTAATTTGGAGTATGCAATAACATATTTAGTCTGGTTAACAATGTCCTTTGGTATGTCAGACTCCTGTCTTGAAGGATTTAAAATAGACTCCTTTGGCTCCCCAATTCGTGATTAATTTTAAAACCCCAATTCCTGGTTATTGGGAAGTTCTTGATACAAATCTTCCTTTAGATAAGAAAAAAGAATTGGGACTTTCTAATTTGAATCCAAATCATAAGAAAGTATTCCCATAATTAGGCAAGCAAAAACGATCGCATAATATATAAGATGATGAAGACATGGTACCACTATCGACGATGAAAGTGTTTCCTTAACTTCTTTTTTTTTCGTAAAGTCAGAAGATTAATCGAGAGTCACAAACGGGTAGAAAGAAAAGCGCGGGAATCGACCAATAGTCGAACTCTCGATGAGAGGGCCTTTTGTGCCACATGATGGGCAGCCCTATTGAGTTGGCGAGAAACAAAACAGTAAGAAACACTGCTGAAAGAAGACGCCAAGCTCCTAGCATCCTCCAAAATAGCGCCACCCCGAACATGATGCAAATCACCTGTTGCATGAAAACCGACACGTGAATGCTACTTCACCCTCATTTTTTCCACCAAGAAGGAGAAAAGCAAATATTGGTGGCTTGTTCGCTGTCGTGCTCTATGTTTTCTTCATCATCATCGCACACTTGGGGATAATGACCTGTGAGTGGCGAGAAAGACATCCCAATGTCCCATCCCAGAGACGAAGATGAATGCAATGGCACAATTCAGATCTGACCGCAATGACAAATTAAACGAACTCACAGCTTGAGTTTTCTATTGTTGATGTTTAGTTTTTATAATACAAAGGAATCTGTTTGTGCAACGGAAATCAAGTAACAGAAAGAGCAAAGAGAGGAGTTCAACAACGGTCCACTACTGGCCACTATCAAAAGTCTTAACAATATTGGAGAGACTTGTGGAACAATCTGCTCATTATCATGCCCCCGCAAGTTGAGGCTCGGTGAGTCAAAACTTGGAGCAGAAACGGTTGAAGGACACACGTGGCAGAGGCTTCGTAAGAACATCCGCGAGTTGATCAGTTGCTGGAAGATAGTGAACACACAGCTGACCTTTGCTTACTTGATCACGTACAAAGTGGAACTCAATCTTCATATGTTTAGACCGATTGTGGAAGACTGGATTGTGAGCAAGAAATGTGGCCCTGAGATTATCACACCATAGAGTTGGAGGAGATGGGATAGATTGATCGAGCTCATGCAGTAATGTGCGAAGCCAAAGAACTTCGGAAGCTAGTGTGGCTAGTGCCGATACTCGCACTCAGTGGAGGATCGGGCCACGATTTTTTGCTTGCGAGTAGATCATGACACCAAGTTCGATCCGTAGAAGACAATAAAACCTGTAATTTATTTGCGATCTTTCGGGCAGGAGGCCCAAGAAGCATCTGAATAACCATGAATGTGAAGAAAAGATGATCGAGAGAATTCCATACCGCGAGTGATGGTGCCCTTGAGGTATCAAAGAATTCTCTTCATAACAGCCCAGTGTGCGTCGGTAGGAGCATTTTGGTACTAGGAGATATGGTAGACAACAAAAGAGATATCTGGCCGAGTGAAACTGAGATATTGGAGACTACCAACCAGACTTCGATAGAGAGAGGGATCTGGAAAAAGAGGTGAGGTATCTTGCGCAGCTTGTTGAATAATGTCAAGGGTGTAGGGGGTGGAGATGGCATTGGCGGCTAGGGCTGTTAATGAACCAAGCCGCTCATGAACGGCTCGGCGTCCGACTCGAGAAAAACTCATTCGAAACTCGATTCGTCTTAATCAAGCCGGCTCGCGAACAAGCTCGTTAACTAAACGAGACGAACTCGAGCCATACCATGTTCAGGTCAAAAGCTCGCGAACAAGCTCATTTAACATTTTGGCATAAGAAGTTATTAGAATTCATGGATTTTATGTATTGAAATTGGGATAAATATTGTGTTTTATTTTGCTAGACTTTCCTACAGGTTTGAATGTAAGTTTGTGCCCACTTCTAGGTCAATCTTGAGTTATTATGAACATTTTATGAGCTTAACTCAATTTGGGCCCGTTAACCTATTTAACGAGCCGAGCTCAAACCGAGCTCGAGCTTTCATTTTCATAAACGAGTCGAGCTTGAGCTTGCATATTAAAGCTCGTGACAAACACGAGCCGAGCTCGAGCTTGGAAATATATTAACGAGCCGAGACCAAACTATGGCAAAGCTCGGCTCGGCTCATTAACAGCCCTATTGGCGGCAGACATCTTCGCACGATCGAGCAAATCAAGAATAAATTTGTGTTGGCTGAAAACAATGCCGGTGGAAGTCTGATGAACTTCAATGCCCAGAAAATATGATAGATGCCCATCTCAAGGAGTACAAAGTTGTCTCGAAGGAAAATCATTAGCCGCTGAATAGTAGCATCGTTATTCCCAGTGATGACGATGTCATCGACATAGACTAGCATATAGAAACGAACCGTGGAGGACTTGAAGATAAACAGAGATGGATTAGTTCGTGAAGTCAAGAAGCCAAACCTGCTGAGAGCTGCCGCAAGACATTGAAACCAAGTCCGGGGCGCCTGGCGCAAACCATAGATGGACTTGCGCAGGCGACAAACATAATCAGGTTTGTCGAGGTCGACAAAACCAGGGGGTTGCGCATATACACAGTTTCCTGTAGCTGACCATGAAGAAAAACATTAGATATGTCAATTTGGTGGAGAGGCCACCCCTGTGTAACCGCAATACTGAGATTGAGTCTGAGAGTGGTCAGCTTAAGAACCAGACTGTATGTCTGATGGAAGTCCAATCCTGGGATTTGCTCGAACCCACGAGCAACCAGCCGAGCACGATGACGGTCGAGAGAGACATCGATGTTGGAGAAGAACGCGGTCGGAGCTGGAGACTCCACACTAGAAAAGTATCGTTGAATCTGGAGTTCTTCACTTAGCAGGAAGGAATGAAGGTCTTCGAAACTATTGGGCTCCAGACGCTCCTCGATGTGCCTCACGAAAGGCCTGTAGTCTTCACCCAATCCATCAAGGATCTAGCCGGTGAGGTCGTCGTTGGGAATCGGAGAACCCAGAGCCGCCAATTGATCAACGGTGGCCTTGGCATCCTAAAGATAGTCATGAATAGTAGCGGTGCCACGACGAAGATGTTGCAGGGATTTGGTGAGGTGTCGAATTTGGATTTTGGATCTAGAGGCGTAGATGCGAGCCAGCGCCGTCCACGCATCAAAGGCTATTGCCCTGTTGATAACATTTGGCAACACTGCTTTAGAGAGGGAGAGATTAATCCAAGTAAGAGCATATTGATCACGATCATACCATTGCCAGTAGGTAGGATTGTGTTTGCCATCGACGAGCTCTGGGGGAGCAGGGAGAGAGCCGTCAACGTCTCCCATCATGCGATGGCACCGAAAGAGAGGAGTAATCTGAGCATGCCACAGAAGATAGTTGGTCGGGGTGAGCTTGACGGACATCAGAGGATTGGCGGAAGAGACAGGGAAGACACCGACAGGGAATTGGAATCAGTAGAGGCAGAGGTAGATGAAACAAAGGATGAATCGGTAGCCATTATGCAGAAGAAGGAAAGAATACGAGACAAAAGAAAAAAGGTAGAAGAGGATAATAGAATTGACTCGTTAGAGTACTTTGACGCTCTGATACCATAAACGAACTCACAGCTTAAGTTTTCTATTATTGATGTTTAGTTTTTATAATACAAAGGAATCTGTTTGTGCAACGGAAATCAAGTAACAGAAAGAGCAAAGAGAGGAGTTCATCAACGGTCCACTACTGACCACTATCAATTGTCTTAACAATATTGGAGAGACTTGTGGAACAATCTGCTCATTATCACAAATGTGGTGGTGCGATCTGGTTACAATGATGATTTACGACGGTGGTTCTAGCTAAAAAAGGGTTTTGTCATACACCAAGATTCGCCCGCCAGTATTGAATTTGTTGGTGTTGAACGACGATGAACAATCGATTGGCGTGACTTCGACCAATCTATTGCAGATGATGTATAGACGAGGTAAGCATGGCAAGGAGTTAGGTTTCAACCACAGTAGCAACGATGAGATACCTGTCCCGTCTGAAATGGGAACCCAACCCCATTGTAGAGTAAACTTCATCTCATGTCCGAAACCTATATGGGTTAATGGGGACCCGTTATTTGTACGGGACTAATAATGGGTACCCAAACTACTCGTATATACCCATCCAACTAGTGGTAGAACCTGAGAACCCGGGCCTTGAACATGGATTGGAGCCGACGATTCGAGCGGGTGATTTGTCGGACGGGGCCGTCGATAATGGAAATGCAACAGGGGCGGCAGTTGGGAGAATAAAGGTGAAGAGTGAGAAGAGGGGCGTTGGATAGGATCAGGGGAAGCGGGGTGGGAGAATGATAGTGAGTCAGAAGAAGAAGAGAAAGTGCGCAGGTTAGGAGGAGAGAACACGAGAGGTGCACAGGAGGCAACAAGAACGAACAATAGTGAAGAGTAGAGGAGGAACAACTGTTGTTGGTGGACTGGCCAAGCTGTTACGGAAGAGAGGTTTTACTTATTCTTGGTATCTTCTTGTTTTCTTATGTAGTAGTAGAAGTTGCAGTCTTGCTAGGTCGGACTCAGAGATGAGCTAGGCTAGGAAGCCACCCCTCCCTACTGCCGACCACCGACTGTGGGAGACGTCACGGCTAGCCGACCAGTCGGTCATTGGTTTTTGGTTCGGTTATCCGTGGTAACCGGAATTATGCCTGGAGGTTCGGAATTGGGGAGGGAGACAGTCGATGGATGCCAAAGTGGAAGAGGGAGGTCGCCGGCAAGGTCGCCGAGCGTTGGTCGAGGTTGCGGAAGCATCGCGCGGGGCCGGCGAACTCGCGGTCAAGGCAGCGGGCATCGCACGGGGTGGGGGAAGTGAGGGCAGATGAGCACAAGCGTGGCTAGAGGTGTGCAGTGTGACGGCGGAGGTAGACAGGGACGGGCCAACGACGATCTGGTGGTATGGGATGAGGGGCGACGCAGGAGAGGAGGATGGTTAATTGGGGAAGGAAGGGAATGTTAATTGGGGAAGGAAGGTTAATTGTGGTGCAGGAGTGGAGCAGGGTTAATTGGGGAAGGAAGAGAAGGTTAATTGGAGAAGGAAGGGAAGATGAATTGGGGAAGGAAGGTGAATTGCAGAGGCGCGGAGAGAGGAGGGGGTTAATTGGTTTTGGCAATTAGGTTTGATTTAGCCAGACGGGGAAGGAAGGGAAGGTTAATTGGGGTTCGGTTGGAGGTCGGTTAGTCGGATAACCACGGTTAACCACCTTCGGTCACTCGGCTAACCGTTCTCCCCTCCCCCCCCTCCTTACCCCAGCCGAACACCGATCGCTACAAATGGGCAACAATTTTCGGTACCGACTGGTTTCGGTTAAAATCGATGGTTAGCCGGTAACCAGAACCGTTTGGCCAGCCCTATAGGTAGAGGTGGGACTGGAGTTGGGCTCGGGTTGGGCTGGGCTTTGGGTTGGTTATATATTGTCTATTGTATAGTGAATTTTTGCTAATGGGCATCACGGGTACTCGTAATACCCAAAAAAATATTGACGGGTAACTCGTGGGTACCCAATGTAGAATCATTGATCCCACGTCTCATACCGTAAAAAAAATATGGGTATTTGGGTGCCCGTAACCCTAAGAAAACGGGACTTGGTATGGGTATATTGTATTCATGCTCATTAAGTCCTAATATTTACATATACCCAAATACTCGTTGCCCACCCCTATCAACCGAGGAATTTTCTGGCGGAATCGTCTACATCGGGGCAATGTAAGTAAATGGCGACCCGTTCTTCTGCGAGCACGAAAGCAATCCCAACCCCATGAAATCTAGCTCCATAGCTCGACGACCGTTAGAATTAGATTTCATCCCTGGAAGTTTCACTTGCGGTGAGCGGCAAAGGCTTTGGTGATGAGGGGGAAGGATTTGGAATCCGCTTCCACTTCAATTGGACAATGGTTAGTTTCGGGGAAGGGTTAGATTTTAATTTTGAATTATAATTAATCTTTCTAAGTATTTATTTTAATTTATTTTATAATGAGTAGGAAATTATAAAAAATGTAGTGTTTTATTTTTTAATTGTCACATCATTCATTTAACGGTCAACTATCAGAATTGACTGTCACATAAAAAAAATTAACGGAGATTAACAGTGACCAAATTTGAACAATTTAACTATTTAGCGTGGCAGCTTGGTTCTCGGTTCCTTATTCTGGAAACTGACTCTAAGCTGGCCATCGACCTCATCAACTCGCGAGCAGACCCAGTGCATCCGCACTCCACGATTTTGACGGCGATCCGTAGATTGATGACACAGGATTGGGTGGTCCGGATAGTTCATACGTACAGAGAGGGGAATAGAGCCGCAGACTGGCTCTCGAAGCACAGTATCGTCTATCCCTTCGGTACGCATGAGCTAGCTGAACCACCAAGGGACCTCGAGAAGATTCTGCAGGAAGACATGGTGGGCGTGAGCTTCCCTCGCATGATTATTCAGAATGGAGATTAGTGTCTCTAGTTTTGCTGGTTGGTTTGTGGATCTGTCCTTTTTGAGGGTTTTTTTTGCAGCTGTTTGTGCCATCTTTTGTTTAAACTGGACTTAGTTCTGCTGAGTCCAGCGACCCCCTGTATTGCAGATAGCTTTGCTGGCCTCGCCCTCCCTTATTAAAAAAAAAAACTATTTAGTGACCAGAATAGATTAGTAATCCCAAATTCCCAATCCCTCTTTGCAATTTACCCAATAAAAAATTAAAAGGATATTTGCCCACGGTGATTGTAGCACGACGGCATCAGAGTCGGATTCACCGAGTTCAATAGAACACGGTCCACGCGGGGGGAAACCGGTTTCGTACTTCTTAAGCGAACTTCGTTTCTTCTTCTATTCTGATTCCCGCGGTATAGTTTATCCAACAAGCTAAAGGGGCGTTGTCTTCAAGCTCCTGAATCGCCGAAGCATTTGATTTCTTGAGTTATTCTGCTCTCCCCCCCGCCGATGGATAATTCTGAGGCTCCTCCACCTTCCGCCATGCGAGATCGAAGATCCGACGCTCTGGGCAGCCTTCGAGTCCTTCCAGACGAAATAATCTCTGCTATTCTGGAAAACCTCACTACCAGAGACGTTGCTCGTCTCGCTTGTGTCAGCAGGTTCGTTGTTTCTTCCTGCTACCTGCTATCCCTAGCATTTGTTATCTTCTGTTCGTATCCGTAGTTTCAGTTATCCGGCCAGTTAATTGAATTCCTGGTGGATGTTCATTTTAGGTTGCCTAACATTTGGTTCAGTTGGGCATCTGTAATTCTGCATTGTGCGTCCCTATTATGTATTTCCTTCTCTGTTATCACAATGGCTTTTGTTGATTGATGGAACAGTGTGATGTACATATTCTGTAATGAAGAACCACTATGGATGGATCTGTGCCTAAGAATCTGCAGAGGTCCGCTACAATACAAAGGTTCCTGGAAGAAGACCACTTTGCATTTGTACGTACCGATCACTCAGTGCTTCACCTTTTTCTGAATTATTGTCGCTGGTGCAGCGCGAATGAAGTTTGACTTGTGATTTTTTGGTGTAACCAGAGAGAATGTACCAGATAAATATATAGAAAACAGTGGCAGGCCAATGTCTTTTGACGGTAAAGTACTTTTGGGCTCTTGTTTAAGCGTACTTTCTTGTGGTTATTGAATGTTGGGTCCTTAGAAGTTTGTGCGACTTGCTTCTTGTGTTGTGCAATTAGCTCCTGGATGTTTGCTTAGCTTGAGCTGATTTTTATACACATGCAGGGTTCAACTCATTGTTTTTGTATAGAAGATTATACAGATGCTATACAACATTGGATGGGTTTAATTTTGATGGGGGAAATGTGGAAAGAAAGATGGACATTTCACTGGGAGAGTTTCGTCATCAGTATGACGGGAAGAAACCGGTATGGTCAACAGAATTTTTCCTCAAATTCCGTTAGCCATGTTATGATCTAGTTTTGCGTTGAAGTTTACTTGTTGCATCTCAGTTGTTCTTCCTGCTCTAGTTCAAATTTTCTTCTACTTGGTATGTCTCATGGTGTAATCTGTATGTCTAGGTTTTGCTGTTAGGATTAACTGATAGTTGGCCAGCAAGGAGTTCATGGACAATTGATCAGTTAACGGCGAAATATGGGGATAAATCTTTTAGGATATCCCAGAGGAGCACTCGCAAAATCTCAATGGAATTCAAGGATTATGTGTCTTACATGAATCTTCAACACGATGAGGATCCCTTGTATATTTTTGATGATAAGGTACTTTGCAATTGTGTTTTATCTTCGATTTATTTCCTTGGACAGCATTTTTGGCTTTCTGTGGATATGTTCAATTACTTTGTATCCTCTTCATGCAGTTTGGTGAAACAGTCCCCAGCTTGTTGAAGGATTACAGTGTGCCTCAGCTTTTCAACGAAGACTATTTTGAAGTCTTAGATCGAGAGCAGAGACCTCCATTTAGATGGTTTATTGTAGGCCCAGAGAGGTCCGGTGCGTCTTGGCATATTGACCCCGCACTTACAAGTGCCTGGAATACTCTTCTATGTGGCCAGAAGAGGTAATCTTTATCTCAGATGGTGTGTGTATGCAGATACATTCGTGATTTTCTGATGTATGGGCTACATGCTTAGAATGATGTCCTTCTGTTTAATCTCATCCCAGAAAATTTATTTACTCTTAACATATTACACAAGACAACATTGCTTCATGTTTGCTGAGTTGTGGTTGTTATGTGATCCGTTGGATGAGCTTGGTATGTGTTGAAGTAGGGAATTGATATCTTCCTCTACATATGTATGTGGTTAGATATTCTTTTTATAGCTATGCCTCTTAAACAGGCTTTACTGGCTTATGCTTGCTCTGGCACACAGCACTAGGCTTATTGTTTGCTCATTCAGCCCTGGTTTATGGTGTTCTGTTTCGGATTGCTGTTGAAAATAGGTAGAATGAATCACGAAACTAGAGTTTCTTCTGCAGGGAATTGTTAGTTGGGAACGTTACAATTATGATTTCAGTAGCAAGATGGAAGAACCATCAGAGCAGGCGGCAATAAGGCCCTTCTATTGATGATTGCTCTAGCTAAACATTGGAGAAGTTCTCATAGAAAATTTTCTCCGGATATGATTGCAGCCTTTTTTTATAGAAAATGATTACAGCCACAAAATGAATTCCGCTCCGACATAGTAAGAAATTCTAGTTAGAACACTTCAATGTAACATTTCTTAACTACATAAGGAAAGTAATATTTCTAGAAAAATATTCCCTTCTCCAACTGCGAAAGGATTTTTGTACGGGACCATTTTTTAGTTTTCCGCACCTTATGATTAGCTATTTAGCTTCTTTGTGGTGTTCTCCACGATCTAGCAATTTTCCCAGTCACCGTATGCACGAGGTGCTGTGACTGGTTGTCCATTATTGCTACTATGGTTTTCATGCTTTCTGGCAACCTGTTGACATCCTTTCCATTTCGATGGTTTCTATGTTTAGAAGTTGACCCGGAAGCCTTTAGCAGCTAGGAAGATTGGACCCTTTTCTCAGATCAGAAGGTGTTGTTTAGGTTGGCAATTGAGGTATCAGCGTTGTGGCCTGAGTTTTCATGGGGGTAGCATTGATTGACTCAGGATTTAGGAAAGACTACTTGTTTGCATTTTATATGACTTTGTATATATATTACTGCGTTTAGTCAGTTTTAGTTAGTTGATTCTGATAATATTCTAGAGCCAAAATAAAGGTACATTCAGCTCGCCACACATCCTGAGCCTATTCTTCCTCTTGTTTTATAATAATTTTATTGATATTGATATAGCTATCTGTGCTCTGGATCCATCTCTCAAGTTATTTTGGCAATTCATATCAAGCTCCATAAGCTTGTCGCTTAGGATGCTGCTTAAACACCAAAGCGGTTCAAAATTCTTCAGATGATGTATGGGGACTGGGATCACAGTTTGCTGTATTTGTCCATCTAGTTCAACATGCTGGTGTCATGGTTCAATCTTGTATGTGCAGGTGGGCTTTGTATCCTCCTGGAAGGGTCCCTCTAGGTGTCACAGTTCATGTAAATGAAGAGGATGGTGATGTTAATATCGACACGCCATCATCACTGCAGGTATCTCTAAAAGAGTCTTGGTGTGTTGTAATCTTTTCATGCAGTTGTTCTCACTAGTCCTTTCATGTTTTCACAGTGGTGGCTGGATTTCTATCCACTTCTTGCCGATGAAGACAAACCGATTGAGTGCACCCAGTTACCAGGGGAGACAATCTTCGTTCCAAGTGGATGGTGGCATTGTGTTCTAAATCTTGAAACAACAATTGCTGTCACTCAAAATTTTGTGAATTCTGTAAACTTTGAGTATGTATGCCTTGACCTGACGCCTGGTTATCACCACAAAGGAGTATGCCGTGCTGGATTCCTGGCAATTGATAAAACCAGTCTTGATGGAGCCCAAACAAGTTGTGTCAGTGATGAAGCTGAACAAAGTTACCCAGATCTGACTAGAAAAGAAAAGAGGCTCAAGATTAAAGAACACAAAGAAGAGTCAGAGTGTGATAAAACTACAAATGGGGACTCTGGAAGTCATGATCTTTGGAGACAAGAATTCTCATATGATATAGAATTCTTGGTCAGTTTTTTGGATAAAGATAGAGACCACTACAATTCTCCATGGAGCCTTGGCAATTGCATTGGACAACGAGAAATGCGTGAATGGTTATATAAACTTTGGATTGGAAAACCAGGGGCAAGGGACCTCATATGGAAGGTAGTTTGTCAAAATCAACTCACTAATGGTCTTTTTTCTCTATGTTTATAGCATTTGTTTGACATATAGTCTGCCAGTAAGCCAATAGAATATAAAGTGTTCTTAGGGTGTTTGAATGTATATTTCAGTCTCAGGGGCATGCCATTTTGTACTCCTTTTTGTTTCCCACTAGGGGCATCATTATTGTTTATAGTAATCTGATTTCCTCCTAGCTTTGTATCAGCTTCAGAAGGTGAGTACTTGAACACCTTCGCAGTTAATTGATAGCTTAAGAAATTTATCCTATCATCTTTATGGTATCTGACAACCGTAGTTAAACCTGCTATTTATTAATGGAAACGTGAATACTTGTTTATGAGGAATTTGTAAGGAAATTTTTCTCTTGCTGGTTGGCCTTTTCTTTTGTCATCTAATTTTTCTTTCTTGAAATAATATTAGGGGGCATGTCTTGCGCTGAATGCAGAGAAATGGTTCCATTGCCTTGTAGCAGTTTGCAATTTCCTGAACTTGACTTCTCCAACAGCTGATGAGAGACTTCCTGTGGGAACTGGAAGTAATCCAGTAAGTTCATGCCTAAATTTTTTTGATGGTACAAGAGTTGCCACAACATCCAGCCTAACTCCCTGTTTCTAGCATCTTGTAGCTTCCTCTGAGACTGGTTTTCCGACTCGGAGATGCTCTTCCTTGCACTTATCATGCGTGTTTTCTTTCTTTGGAAGTGTATGTAGAATAAATAATCTTTGAGCAATTAATGCAAGTTTAATGGTGCAGTTGATGAAGGATAACTTGATCATCTTCAGAAAAATGAACTATCTTGGATAGTTTAACTAAGAAATCTGTATCAGGGCTTCTGCTGGAAATTCAAATTTAAAGAAAAAATGTCTTGATAATTTGAGCGGAAGGTGCAAAAATAAATGTTTTCGTGATGATGCAACTTTGGAACTTGTGATAAATTTTGGGGTGGCATCAATAACTGGGTCTTACTCCATGTCCTTGTAATTTATAGTCGAATCTCTTAAGTTTTGATGTGAGAACACACAAGTTATCTTTATTTGTCATTTTAAATATCTTGACTGAGCCTTTGTTTATTTTATGATAGGTATATCTCCTCCCTGACTGTGTAGTTAAAATATTTGTCGAAGGAGGACTGGAAACTTCAATGTATGGGTTGGGAACTGAGGTATGCTTTTCCCCATCCATGTTTGTGCTGCTCGGTTCCTTCTACATGCATCAGTTCTTAGTTACTTTTCTTGTTTGTTTACAGCTTCAGTTTTACAGTTTGCTGCATAAAGTAAGCTCACCTCTTGAGCGTTTTGTACCTGAAGTTTTGGCGAGTGGAATTGTTTATTTTGAGAAGGGAAGTCATAAAATTTTGCCCTGGAATGGTAAAGGAGTTCCAAAGATTGACAACATGTCCACACTGATGTCAGCTGTGCGTGAAGAAGATGAGTTCCCTTTTGGTGTGTGGAGTAAGAATATGTTTGAATTGAGTAGGGCCAATAAGCTAAGCAATGAATCAGCGAATGCAATAACTGGATCCACAAAGATATGGCCCTTCATAGTAACTAAGAGATGCAAAGGGAAGATATTTGCTGAACTGTAAGTTTTCCTACTTGTCATAAACGTTATGGTCTCTTAACCCCAGTAATTTGATGATACCCGAATCAAGATCAGAGATGTAATCTCAATTGATGAATTATTGTTTTTTTTTTCTTTTGGCAGAAGAGACACATTGTCTTGGGAAGAGGCTCTAAACCTTGCATCCTTCTTGGGAGAGCAGCTACAGAACCTTCACCTCCTTCCTTGCCCTCCTATTAACAAATGTACTTTGCCAGAAACTCATCACTCGACAGAAGGGGCCTTAGCAAATTGGGACGGGGTTGATACTTCTGTAAAGCTAGATTATTCTGCAGAGACAGAGATCTTAACAAAGACACTATCTGTGAAGAAGAAGAATGTCAAAGCTAGCTTAACAACTTGGTAGACTGCTTTCTATCACTTTCAGTTTGGGGTTTTTGCAGTTCAAAGTTTGTGCATAAAGACAACTTAATCAAGGAGCAAGTTTCCATCATGCCTGTGTATGAGACCTTGTTTAAGAGTCCACTGGAAGTTCTACCCATATGCTCTGATATGTTCACTTACCACTCTTGCAGGGGAGATCCAATTCCTAGTTCACTGATAGAAAAAGTAGATGACTATTTGCCACAAGATTTTTCCAATTTTTTCCTCACATGCCAGGTTTCTCTTTCTTAACAGTTTCAGTACAATTTATTTTTTCATGTTATTCCCAAATCACACTAGTGCTGCCTTTTTCTGCCAATTTGCAATAGCTTGAGGTTCTTCTTGACACATTCTCTCTGTTTCAATCCAGGATGAAACTGGATGGGATGGAGTTTGTAAACCTTTCTCCTGGATACATGCAGACATTATGGATGACAATGTTCATATGGAATCAACTACAGCTGGCCTCGATGGAAATTCTGCAGATAGTTCACAAGAAAACTCCAGCTCTGTGAACGGCTGTAAGGATGGAGGATTTCGGACCTGCTGGCATCCTGGCCACATTCTGGATTTTAGTAATCTTAAATGTGGTTAGATTCTTATTTAACTTTTACTCCATTATCCTACTGCAATAGAGTATTGGTCATTCTTGCACTTTCTAAACTTTGCATAGCTTGTCGTTGATCTTGTAGCTGGGCAAAATCAAAGTTTGTGCAATAGTTCTGATTACTATTAGAAATTTGATCATAGCTGGTGAAAATTGAAGTTTGCATCTGTATTTTTTTGCTCAACATCAAGATGAGAAGTTTCTCAAATCCTCGAGATAATCGTCGACTACTCTAAAACATTGGCTACGAGTTGATATGCCTAGGACTCAACTTCTAGAGATGAAATGATCTTTATCCATATAAGTGAAAAAGGATTAAGCTAAAGATGTGGCTGGAAGTTGTCTTTTCACCATAACCAATGAGATCGATCATGGTACTCATCTGAGAGTCTTAAGATATGAAGCTTCATCACTTCTTACTGAATCTACACCTGTTGACAGGCGAGCGCATCTTGGATATCATACCAATCTACTTGGATATCTTTAGAGGTGATTCAAGTCTCCTTAAGGTACTATTGGATCACTACAAGCTACCTTTGCAGATGAAACGGAGCAGTGTAACTATCGAGGAGAAGTTTGGACGACTTTCTTACCGTGCTATGTAAGTGAAACTAGAGGCACAAGAAATGCATGCTGTTTTATGTGTTTGTCTAGAAAAATGGTCATATTTCTGCAATTTCAGCCATTCAAATGTGTATGTAGTGATGTCTTGAAGAGCATACAAGCATATTTATTTCCTTGGTCCAAAATTGATTGGTGTATGTTCACTCAAGCGGAACAAATATGTGATTGATTAACTCATCCAGTTGCACTTTTAGGAAGCATTAGCTATTTCAAGCCAAAGGTGAACATTCTAGCGTCACTAGGTACCTTGCATTTTGTGTAACAAGGCATTGTATGATAACTAGTACGTAGACGAGGCATCTGACTGAATGGAAGTCCTCTCGTGACCATTTGAGGCATCTCTGATCTTGTTTATTGTACTTATTATAACAGGTGTTACTGTATATTGAACGAAGAAAATATACTGGGGGCAATTTTCAGCATGTGGAAGGAACTCAGAGCAGCAAAATCCTGGGAAGAAGTTGAGTTGGCAGTCTGGGGAGTGCTGAATGACAACGAGGCTGTTTCGTAAATGACCATGTCGCTGGAACTGCTTTTGCAGCCATCTCCGATATATTTCCTACTCATCCCTCTTGAAAATGAGACCTGGCTGTGTTTTTCAGATGACCAGGTGGATGTATTTGATGATGATGTTTTTATAGAACGAGTAATGAAGACGTGAGGAGTTTACACAAGTAGAGAGTCCACAGTATAGGAGGTCATTGAAGGAAGGGACTAGACCTCAAGCTGGAAGAGGAGATATTTCTTAAGAACCAAATGGCGCTAATGATTAGCATGTTTATTAACTGTTGTAATGTGCGATTAGCATCATGAACATGTGATTTGCATCCTATATGAGAGGTTATATTTACATTTGGATTTTGTAATCAAGTCCTGGTTTAAGACGCTATAGGTTCTTCCTTGGAAAACTAAGGTACTGTTTTTTTTTTTTTTTTTTTTTTTAATGATGATCAATTTGTTAGTAGAATCCAAACTTCAGTGACCATTGTAATAGCAAAACTCTAGTGACCGTTTTGCTGGTTAAGTTTGTTTGGCATGTCCGGGTAAATGTTACATTTGGTCACTGGGATTATTGAGATTACTTAATCGTGTTTCACTGGAAAAAATTTATATAAATTTTGGTCACTCGAATTACTAACAGGAGAGTGACTATATGTGAGACCAAAATTTATATTAATTTTTTAAAGTGACTAAAAGTGACATGATTTAGTAATCTTAGTGACCAAATGTGAGTAATCTTAGTGACCAAATGTGAGTGACATTTATCATGATGACATTTATTTTATAGAAAAACATCTAATAAATTATAAATGTAAATGCAATCATAAGCTAGCAAAGTGATTGATCAAACACAAGCGAGCAATTTTGCTATTAACCCCAGTTTTGGGAAGGACATACTCCATTGAGTTTCTCATTAACATTTTTCCAGAAAATAAGAGCAGGTCAATAAATACCATTGACAACAAACTAACATACTACCACTTGAGACACCTATTTACTTTCATTTCTGTTTTCTGTTTTTGAGAAAACAGATAATGAAAACAGGTGAAAACAACATTTTGTCGTTTCCGAAAACAGCAGGGAGTTGCCACTTTCTGTTTTCATAGTTGGAAACGAATAGAAAACAGAATGAAAAGTAAACAAGTTTTCTCGTTTCGGTTGCCAAATTTATGACATGAAAACAGAAAACAGGAAACGAAAATAAAAGTGAACAGGGCCTTATATTGCTAGTATCCATGGGTTTATGACGCAAGAACTTCTACAAGGGACATTATGCCATTTTCTAGGTTTCCACAGATAGCACAGATTATAAAGTTTACACAAAACATAGCACAATTGACCTAGCAAGCAAAGCTATAATCAATCACATACTGCTAAGGGGATGGAGGCCAACCATACAATCCAGCATCCTGAATCCCTTCATAGAACCTGACCTCCAACTCCTCCAGCCTGCCTTCATCATCATCCCACATTTCATCATAACTCTCATAATCATAACCCCCCATCTCACCGTGTACGAATGCCCACGCCAGGTCCTCCTCCGAAGAATCCGAGAACTCTAAGCACTCGTCCTCCTCCGAGTTATTCATCTGGTAATAGTCCATCACGAGCGGACCCAACACCTTCAGTTTCGGGAATTTCTCAAGCAGGAACTTGTCGTCGAGCTCCACGTCCCAACACCCTCTCAAATCAATGTGCACCAGACTGGTGCAGGTTGATAAGATCCTCAGAATGTTCTCGGTGCTGACCTGGTGGTACGCCATCTCCAAGTGCTTTAGGTTGGGCATCGTGGTGGCGATCGCATGGGCCTCGTCTTCTTGCGCCTCCTTATCAGCTTTGTCCAGTGGATGCATGTTCCGGAAAAGTACCTCGAGGTGTTTACACTTGTTTCCAACGAGCTCGAGGGCACGAGCATCAATTTTGCTGCAGTAGCTCAAGTCCAGGAAAGTGAGATTTGAGAGCTTTCCAGACATCTGTTCAATTATGGAGCCGCTAATCGCGCTTCTTGGCAGCTTAAGTGTCTGAAGGGAACCGGCACTAGCAGCAGAAAACAATGAGACAAGGGGTAAATAAAAGCCTATTATATGAAAGTATGGGCAGGAAGGACTAGAATGCATACAGAAACTGATAGATGAACTATACTATCAAAATTGAGGACTTACTGATCAGCGAGAAAAGGGAACATCTCGTCGTTGCGTAGTCTGGTGACAGAGAGCTTGCGGAGGGAACCAGAGCTCCGAGTGATCAGCATTTGGAGCATACGATCGAGTTGTTCCGGCAAGCATACTTCACTCCATTCTTCAATGTCGACCTCCTGCCAACAATAGGGACCTAAAACTGCCCTGCTCCATGATTTGCATACCATGGGGACTACTGTCAATATATCACGTAAACACAACTTGCTGAAGATGAGACCAAGGGCATCTGGTATCAGCTCGTCCCACGGCCTGTAATCACTTCCTTCCTCCATGGACAAACAAATACGCTCTACATTCCAAAGAAACCCCACAAAAGAATTCAGCTTTAGGGGAAATGTTCAGAAGAAACGCAACAACTCGAATGGTAAAGAAAAGTGGGAAATCTACAGCGCAGATCCTATAACTCCACTCAGAATCAAACCGCATTTCCCTTCTGATGCAGAAAATGAAAACAAAGAGAATGAACGATCAACAAACAGATGTGGATTCAGAAGGGAAAAGAAGTTACCGAAAGGTGGATGCGGTGGTGGGGAGAGACGGATGGCGAGAGAGAAGGGGGAAGGAAGTAGTAAGGAGCGAGAGACGGAGAAATATCAAATTGGTGGGGGGAGAAAGAGCAGAAGGAATTGAGACTTAAAAGGAGAGCAAAAAATTCAAATCTCCATAGTGGAGAAAGGAATTTCAATTGAGGCAAATACCCATTTCGATGATAACAAAGTTCTCGATGAAGTCGGCAGCCACAGCAAGAACCCACCAAAAGAAGAATAGAGTGCGGGAAGGGGGAACCAACGAAAATACGAAACAAGACTGAATCTGCCAAAATTTACAGCAGCCCAACAACTAGTAAAGGAAATGGAGGAACATTCCTCCCTCAGTCGCTGAACCCACAACTGCAATCGTTATACCCAATTACCAGGAAAGTGGAAGGGAACGATCTCTCCTTCTTAGATTCAAAGGGAAGAAAAAAATCAAGGAAGCCCACAAATTAGAACACTATAGAGCAGATTACGAAACCATATGTTATCCCTGCTGCTGCGCAAGGAGAAATTGCGAAATGGGTTTGAGCTTAGAGAGATACAGATACAATATCCTTGTCAAAAAAATGAATAAATAAAGAGAAATTGCCAAAATGAGGAACAGATTTAGACAACCTAGGAACAGCTATCAACCACATCCAACGCAAATACAGTCATCAGGAGATACAGAATATAAAATATTAAAGAAAAAGACTCTACTTTTGTGGTCTTCCGCAGCTCAAGTTTTTCTAAATGGACAAGAGAGATTAGAAGAAGAACAAAAAACTGTACTTTTGTGGTGTTCCTGAGCATAAATCTGGAAGGTGAATGAAGGAAGAAAGATATAGTTCATGTCTCTTACTCAAGAAAAGAAAAGTTGTCTCTGCTTCTCTCTTCCTTAGCCTTGGCTTCCTTTGGTGCTGGGATTTGAGGTTCTGCAAATCAGGGGGGCAAAAAGGCAAGCAGAAAAGGCAGGCAAAAGGTGAGGATTAGAGAGACAGAGAGAGGTAAACTTGAAAATGGTGAAAAGGGAAGAGATAAGCTGCAGGACCAGCAACTCACCTACCTACCAAGCTTTTTTAACCACAAGAGAGAGTGAGTTAGTGAGTTAGCCAAGCAAATACCATGATAGAGCAAGAACCCCCTTGAGCCTCTCTAATAAGTGCGAGAAAGAAAGGCAGGAACAAAATGGATTCTTTGGGTAAGATGTGAACAAGAAGCAAGAAGATGAGAAATTGAATGACTGGATAGAAAGGAAAAACAAAAAGGACAAAATGAAGGAGGGAGGGACTAGGGAGGGTGCTCTTTCTGTTTGGTCTCTCTCCCTCTTTCTTTCTATTTCCCCCAAAAAAGGCAGAAGCTTTGTGGTAAGAAGTTAGAACTTAGAACTTAGATTGGTAAGAGAAGTCAAATCCACAAACTGGAACTGTGTATGAAATTATTATGGACACCATCACAGTCACAGTTTCACACCACACAGTCTCTGATACAGAAATTTTATTTTAATGTTTCTTGAAAAGAAGGCTTTGAATGAGATGGGAATTTAATTCACTGCTGGTTTCAGGCGGATGCAGATACAGAGGCGACCCTCCCTTCCTCACTGTGCTTAACCAGTAAAAAAAGAAAAAAGAGTGTAGAGAGCAAAATATTCTTTGTCTTTAATCACTGATAACATTGTAAGACAACGATGGTTTCAAAAAAAATGATTAATTCAATCTCTGTTAAAGGAGGGCAAAAATATGTTTCTTCAGTGACTGGCTTTATTAGGTATGAATTGATAAGGTTAGGAAAGTGATGTTCTTCTAAATTGTAAAAATCAATTCAATTTGAAATGGCATGTAATCAGAAACATAATAAAAACAAATCTGTCATCATATAGTAAAATCACAACTACGAGGGAAGGATTCACACTTTCACAGAAGATTAGAAGAGAGACGAGTTTCATTTGTGTAGTGATGTACAAGTTTCTATTCATGCTTTTTGTTTCTTCTCATACGTTTTCAATGTGGCTACATGTCGTGGGGATCATTGTTTAATTCCGCTAATTGTCAATGGTGACTAGACAAGTGTGAGTCATGTTTTACGATTTATGTTCATTTGAATCAATACAAAAAGAGAGCGAGGATTTCGAATTAACTGAACTTTCTCTTTCTCAAATCCTTGCAAATTTCAAGGTAATAGAGCAAAGCAGCAACTGCGGTAGGATTCTTATACAAGCATATGCAAGTCTGGAACTCAAACCCACCTTCTCGTGGAGGCGTGTGTGGTTTTGTGGGATCTGGCTTAACTGGGTCTATTGTTGGACCGAACGGGTGGCGATACAAATGGCATTCGTTTTGCACCATTCAAGATCTCACTGCTCTCATTCGCCCATCACTTTGGAAGTGTCTCATTTCAGTTGCACACAACTTGTGAAGGGAATAAGGTCAATGACGATGATATGCTCATCTTCCACGCCATAGTAATCTCCATGAGGCACTATGTCCCAGAGCACTGATGGGCTGCAAACCTCGACACCAGCTGGGCCTAGACGTTCGGGTCGCCTTCGCCAGCCCAACACTCGCTTCTTGGATGCTTAATCGGAGAAGCACGTTTCCAGTAGCTTGCCATGGATTTCGTTTATTGTTAATTGAACTGGTCTTAGTAGCTGTTAGATGAATAAGCACAATCCCACCTTAAGTGGACGTGCAGTTAGTAGCTCAGCAGTCAGCACTTGTAGGCTTTTGTTATTTCTGTTATTGTTCTTATAAGCGTTGGATTTGGAATGAAAGAGGCAAGCATTATTTCAGCAAAGAAACATCTGGTTCTTCTCACCAAGAAACGAGAAAACACTGGCTCAATCCCGCCAAGAAAAGGGATCCCTACATTCGTACAACTTTGATCCGTACCATTTGGTATCAGAGCCCGGCATGGGCACTCACGCCAACCGTATCGAAGCCCTCGAAACTGCCACTCAGGAGAATCAAACAAGCCTCCAAGCGATTCTCGATCAATTGACTGCTGTCCAGCTCGCAGTAACCCAGATCGCTCAAGAGCGATCAACCAAGTCTGACGATGGTGATAAATCCGTCAACGACAGGACACGACGCACTCACCATGATGACTATGATGACCGTGAGCGAAAACCTTTCTTTGGAGCAAAGATCGCTCGCCTGGAGTTTCCTACATTCGCAGGAGACGATCCGACAGTTTGGTTCTCAAGAGTCGAACAATTTTTTGAGTTCCAAGAAATTCCCGAGGAACAGAAGGTAACTCTCGCATCGTACCATCTCGAAGGTGACGCTAATCAATGGTGGCAGTGGCTCCGGCGCACCTACCAGACGGAGGGTCTCCGCATCACCTGGGACACGTTTTCCTCCGAGCTCTGGGCTCGTTTTGGTCAGACTGCCGGGACCGGCTTTGATGAAGCCCTTTCTCGCATACGACAAACAGGAACATTAAAAGATTACCTGACTGAGTTTGAGCGATTGGGCAATCGCGTTCACGGGTGGACACAACAAGCCTTGGTGGGAACCTTTCTCGGCGGACTCAAACCCATCATCACAGACGGAATTCGGATTTTTAATCCGAAGACTCTGAAGGACGCCGTTAACCTTACTCGCGCGCGTGAAGAGCAGATTGAGCGCAACCATAGTCCACCCCGGCAACCATTCCGGTCGGCAATGGATTACGCAACCCCGCCACGGCCCAAGCCGCGGGCAACGTTCGACGCGTCGTTCGCCAACAGGAACAGAGCTCCACCGCCGAACACTACACCCATCGCACCACCGCCTCCCGGATCCACCAACCCACGACAACGGCCACCGGGATCGAAACGCATCAGCTATGAGGAGATGCACCGACGCCGTCAGCTGGGTTTCTGTTTCAATTGCGACTCTCCCTATTCGGCTACCCACCGTTGCAATGGCGGAAAGTTATGGATGATGTGCGGAGACGAACAAGAAGAGGATGATTTTGACGGGTTTGACGAGGCTGAGGTATCACTCCACGCGATGGCGGGTTGGGCTAACGGGAAGACGTTGCGATTATGGGCCACAGTGGGCCAGACGCGGCTGATGGTTCTAATTGACAGTGGGTCGACCCACAACTTCATCAGCAATCAGGCGGCCGAACTTCTCCACCTTCCTATCTCGCCAATTTCAGCTCTGCAGGTCAAAATTGCAGATGGAAGTCCCTTGGAATGCCTGGGAATGATCAAGCAAGTCCCGCTGGTTATACAAGACGGCCTTTTTCCGGTAAACCTCCATGCCATTAATTTGTCCGGCTTTGATATCGTGTTGGGTGTGAAATGGTTGGCTACCTTGGGAACAATTCAAAGCAACTGGCGCTCGTTAGAAATGGAATTCTTTTGGAGAGGGAAACTGCACAAGTTTCGTGGCATTAATTCAAATGCTCCCACTGAAGCGACCCTCAAATGCATTACTGAGGATGACACACAACTAATAGCCATATGCATTCCCAAAGTAATAGACGACCCTCTACGGCAAGTTCCGCCGGAACTACATGCTCTCATCCGCGAATTCGGCGATTTATTCGTAGAGCCAGATCAACTACCACCACAACGTGCGATCGCACACAAGATAGAATTGAAAGCAGGCGCCGAGGCTGTCAATGTGCGACCGTATCGCTACGCACATTTCCAGAAGGCCGAAATAGAAGCTCAGGTAAACAAAATGCTCGCCGCCGGGTTAATTCAATCTAGCACCAGCCCTTTTTCCTCACCGGTACTCCTCGTGAAAAAGAAAGATGGCACATGGCGTTTTTGCACCGACTACAGGGCATTGAACCTTGTTACTGTCAAGGATCGGTTTCCCATTCCAACAGTCGACGATATGTTAGACGAACTCCACGGCGCAGCGTACTTCACCAGGCTCGACCTCCGGGCAGGCTATCACCAAGTCCGTATGCATCCCGCCGACGTGGCCAAAACAGCTTTCCGGACTCATAACGGCCATTACGAGTACCTCGTAATGCCCTTCGGCCTTTGTAACGCACCGTCCACTTTCCAGGCCATCATGAATGACATCTTTCGGCCATTGCTTCGCAAGTTCGTGCTGGTATTCTTCGACGACATATTAATTTACAGTCCAGACAAGGGGCTGCATCTCAAACACGTGAGGCAGGTTTTTCAAATCTTGCGCCATCATCAATTCTTTGTCAAGTTCAGTAAGTGTGCTTTTGGCATGAAGGAAATAGAATATTTGGGTCACTTCATTTCGGCTGCCGGCGTTCACGTCGATCCTCGCAAGATCGCCGCTATGATCGAGTGGCCAACCCCGGCATCCATCACCGAACTACGTGGATTCTTAGGACTCACGGGGTACTACCGCAAGTTTGTTCGCGACTATGGAATCATTGCCCGGCCGCTGACCAATCTACTGAAAAAAGGGCAATTCAGCTGGACGACCGATGCCGACTCAGCATTCCATGCTTTGAAAACGGCTATGACGACAACTCCAGTCCTAGCTCTTCCGGATTTCACACAACCCTTTGTCGTTGAGACTGACGCTTCCGGGTCAGGCATCGGCGCGGTGCTTATGCAGAATGATAGACCGATCTCGTTTCTTAGCCGCGCTCTCGGGAAATCCAGGGAGGGCCTCTCAACCTATGCAAAAGAGATGCTTGCCGTGGTTACAGCTGTTCAGAATTGGCGTCCCTATCTCTTGGGTCGCAAGTTCATAATTCGCACGGATCAGAGAAGCTTGAAGCATCTTTTGGGCCAGCGAATTACTACACCTGAACAACAGCAGTGGCTCTCTAAGTTAATGGGCTATGATTATGACATTATTTACAAGCCTGGCCCACAAAACCAAGCTGCTGATGCTCTCAGCCGTCGGCCACACACGGCTACCGCGTTGGCGCTTTCTATACCCTACACGACACTTTGGGACTCCATCAAAGAGACGTCTTCTTCCCATCCATATATGTTGAAGATGCGGCGCAAGGCTTCCTCTTCCTCCCCACGTACCTTCACTCTTCGGGACGACATGTTGTATCGGCGCGGCAGGATCGTCATTCCACCTAACTCTCCTCATGTGGGTCAGCTCCTCCATGAGTTTCACGCCACTCCATTAGGCGGGCACTCAGGAATCGAACGCACATATCGGCGTTTGGCAACTCACTTCTACTGGCCGGCCATGCTCGAAGATGTCAAGCGGTTCGTTCACGCTTGTGATGTGTGCCAACGCGCCAAGGCACAGTCTCTTTCACTGGCTGGCCTTCTTCAGCCTCTTCCCATTCCGACCCAGGTATGGCAGGACATTTCAATGGATTTTGTCGATGGCCTTCCCTCTTCCGGCGGCAAGACTGTGCTCCTCGTCGTCGTTGATCGCTTAACCAAATCGGCGCACTTCCTGCCTCTGTCTCATCCATATACGGCGAGGTCGGTGGCTGATACGTTCTTGGCAGGAGTGATCAAGCTCCATGGTTTGCCGCGTTCCATCGTTAGTGACCGCGATCGTGCTTTCACCAGCAAGTTTTGGCGTGAACTGTTCCGGCTATCGGGAACACAGCTCCAACTGTCGTCCTCTTACCATCCTCAAACTGACGGTCAGACGGAGGTAGTAAATAGATGTGTTGAACAATATCTCCGATGCTTTGCCAGCCAGAACCCACGCCGCTGGCTCTCGTACCTTCCTTGGGCGGAATTCTGGTATAATTCCACGTTTCATAGCTCGGCAGGTATGACACCCTTCCAAGCTCTATATGGTCGAATTCCCCCTTCCATTCCTTTCTACAGGCCAGGTTCAACTTCCGTCCATGAGGTGGACAGAGCACTTTTGGACCGCAACGCGATCATGACCGAGCTCCAGTCCAACTTATCGGCTGCTCAAAATAGGATGAAACAACACGCTGATACTGGTCGCCGTGATCTGGTCTTCCAGGTCGGGGATCCGGTCTACTTAAAGCTCCATCCATACCGGCAGCATTCGGTCTTCCGTCGAGCTTCACAAAAGCTGGCTTGTCGCTACTACGGGCCTTACCTCGTCACCGAGCGTATTGGCCCCGTGGCCTACCGCCTTGATCTTCCGCCGGGCAGTCGAGTTCACCCCGTGTTTCATGTTTCTCTGCTCCGGCCCTGCCACTCCCCTGCCCCAGCCATCTCCACTGCCATACCACCAATCGGCGATGATGGGGTGCTCTCCTTGGTTCCTCAGGCCATATTGGAGACTCGATGAACTCGCTGTGGCAATCGCCTAGTTGAAGAACTCCTTGTTAAATGGCAGCAGCTCCCTGAAGACGAGGAAACATGGGAGTTAGCATCGGTCTTCAATGATCGCTATGTCCAACTCGACCTCGAGGACGATGCCGCTGCTCAACGGGAGGGTAATGATGGGCTGCAAACCTCGACACCAGCTGGGCCTAGACGTTCGGGTCGCCTTCGCCAGCCCAACACTCGCTTCTTGGATGCTTAATCGGAGAAGCACGTTTCCAGTAGCTTGCCATGGATTTCGTTTATTGTTAATTGAACTGGTCTTAGTAGCTGTTAGATGAATAAGCACAATCCCACCTTAAGTGGACGTGCAGTTAGTAGCTCAGCAGTCAGCACTTGTAGGCTTTTGTTATTTCTGTTATTGTTCTTATAAGCGTTGGATTTGGAATGAAAGAGGCAAGCATTATTTCAGCAAAGAAACATCTGGTTCTTCTCACCAAGAAACGAGAAAACACTGGCTCAATCCCGCCAAGAAAAGGGATCCCTACATTCGTACAACTTCGATCCGTACCAAGCACACGATGCATCTTGGGACTTCAGGACTCATAAAGTTGTGGAAGACGTCAACCAGAGCCACTATCATCTCCTTCTGGATAGTCGTGATGAGATGAACGGTCTTCGCATTTGAGATGTCGGTCAAGGTATGAAGCGAATCCTCTCTGTCTGGTGGTTTAGGCGGCTTGTCAAAATCTGTGGAAGCCCTTACATCGTTCGCTGCTCGCGAGCCTCTTTCCCAACATTGTTGGTTAAACGCCACTGATGAGTGCCCTGAGAGCGATTTCGAGCTAGGTTCCGTCGAACCAGACTCTGCATACCAATTGATGCACTAACGATTCAGTGCATCGATAAAACGATATTCTACTTTACTATCACTCCTAAAATGAATATAAATTCTATTAAAATACTCGGATTCCTTGTTCAATGAATAAAACTGAGAGCAATGTACTTATATATAGGACTAATCCCACAAACTCTTTCCCCCGTAGACAAGGTAAACCAATCACAAAACAATAAGGTAAAGAATAACTTCCTAGACAAGACACCGATTAATAATACTAGTCCTATACATAAACTAATAAGAAACTAAAATAACCAAATACCCTAACTTTAATTAATACGAAAGACCTAATAATACCCCAAAATGACCACATGGACCCTTCAATGCTAGAATGCATGAAGAGACTTAGCTTCCCTAGGGGAAACTTCCTCCCACCTGAAAAAGAAAACACACCTTCTTGGATACTTGGATAGATCAAAGAACCTTGAACCCCTTTTCTGCGAAGTACAAGTATAAGAAGTGGACTTCAAAGAATACTTGAAAGTCAAAGAATGGATTGATCCTGGATAAAAGAGATGGAACATTAACCTCATTCGGGAGCCACGTTTCTAATTCATAATTAGAAGCCATCCTAGGGATTTCTATTGGGGAAGGATGCAGAGGATTTCTGGGTGTGTAAACTCACGAGTGCAGTCAATTTTACAGTTAAAAAACCTACTATGTTATCTATAAGGCCAACACTAACTCCCAACCGATGGGAAACGCGGATAAGTGGAAATGAGTTTGGGGAATGGGGATTACACCTCTCACCGAAACTAAAATTCTTCATTTTGAGGTGCTCTATAGGAATGGGCTAGCAACTTAGGAAATGTTTCTTCATCAAAAGTGCTCCCCAAACTCGGCATGCCCTCTGTGCTAAAATTCTAATGAATGTATCTTCCACAGCCTCTTTGCATGCACCCATGTGGTTAGCTTTTGGCACAACATTTCCCCCTCTCCTCCCAATCCACATCTTTCTTCCACTGGAACTTCTCCATAGAGGAAGTTATCCATCCGAGAAGCCTAATTCATGTTGTCTTCCTCTTCTGGAATATATGGAAGGCGAGGAAAGAGTAGGTTTTTAAGAAAATAGTGCTCCGCAATATCTATTTACATTCCCCAATAAAGGATTTCATTGATTGGACTTCTTGTCCGAGGATCCCCCTCAAACAACCCTCCTCTAATCAGCTTAAGCAAACCCAATCTCATACTTCTTCATCACCAAGCAATCACCAAACGATGATTTACTGTGATGGGTCGTTTCTAAACGACTCCCAATCAGTGGTTATGTTGTGCTTATTAGCTAACATGGACAAGTGTGTGATGGCAAGTTGATACTCGCCTTAGTTCTACCTTAACTAAAGCTAAAACGAACCCCCTTTTGAAAGGTCTCAAATTAGCACAATATGATTGTATTGTCTAATCAAATTGCAAGCATTAGTTCAAACTTTTAACTCAAAACCCTTTGAGAGGACCATGGAGCAGCCCAGATAGTATCAATGGTCCAGTCCCAACCATAGATCGAACCCTTAAATTAAGGTTAAACTCGTTTCTAGGAAGCTTAATACTCGAGTGATGAGTGATCATTTTCTTGAGAGAAATCTCCTCCAAATAACTTATTAATATTCTATATCTAATTTCTTATCTTCTCTGATCTTCTCTAAAATTGTAACTGTTGTTTCTTTCATGGGTGGAATACAAAGATCATCCTACAGTTAAGAGAGAGAGAGGAAGTAGAGAACAAAAGATGAAAGAAAGAAAGCAAGGCCAGCAAACTGCAAAGTACCACTTGTTTTATCCTCTCAAGAGAAAGGAACCTCGTCAGATCGTCCATCTCCTATTCTCCTTTACTCAAATATTACACCAAGCATTTAGGCAATGTTCTCTTCCTAACGCTGGTAGAGTCATACAACCAAGTCAAAAACACAATAGACACAGAAGTGAAAGTGAGCCAATGGTAATATGGGAAAGCACTTTCACCATCTTGCATCCACTCAAACATGGCGAGGAATGAAGAACGTGGTCCATCCTTCGGTGCAAGAGAATTAGATTACTCCCTGCAGACATGAAAGTTGAAAACCATGACCAGTCAGAAACACAGTAAGCTTATGGGTGGATAATAAGTCAAAGCAGCAATCAAGGTTTTCACTGAATGACACCATCAACTAATTCCTACCCCTTCGATTGAAATGCCCAAAAGCAAAAACAAGAAACAATAAGCAACGACATTGACCAATCAGTTGGTACTGAAAGCAACGACATATAACCCAATAGAGGCACCTGACATTGAATTGATTAATCCAATCGATCTGTAATAATCTCAGTTTTTGCAAACATGATGAAGATCCAAATACCAACGCAACCGATTCATTTTTCCGAAGTCCAACTCAACACGCCATGGTAAATATAAAACATAGCAAGATCAAACATAGTGTACTCGTCACATTTTCATCAAACTTGCACTTGAAAGGATGGAGCAGCAGGATCGAGTAAGGGTAAATGAGACCTTCAATTTGTCATGTCAACAGCATCAGCAAACAACCGTTGCTACACAGGACAGTTTTAGCAACATTTTGGCAAGAAACTGGATCATGACATGACAATGATATACTTGTTCGCATCCTTCATGGACATGCAATGACCAAAAGAATACAAACCAGCTGAAACAATTGCTCACCTTAGGATCATACCCATGAGTATGATCCTCTGATTGATTAATTGACGGAATGCAATTAAAAAAGGAACCCACAGGCCTGAATCTTCTCCGACTCTCAAGCAATCATATGGAAATGCGGTTTAGTATTTCTCACCCCCACAGAAATTGTTTAGTAAACAATTCATACATGGAAATATGGATTTTTGGAGATAGCCACATCATACTCGTCACCTCTTCCAGGTCACTTCTACTCACTTTAGAAGTCTGACTCAAAGGAGAAGCACCTTACACGAAGGCTGATCTGGACATTTGAGACAGATACTGACCTTCACAAGTTGAACAGGAAGAAAAGGAAAGGACAGGGTAACATTTCTGCATACATTTTCAAGCCTAAGCAATTAACATCTCTATTGTGAGAAGCAAATAATTACTGATTGACCACTTGCCAGGGACACCATTAGAAAATCTCACGCTGATTAAAAGCTTATTGAATCCAGTATCAATGCTTGTCGCAACAAAAGCTTCATAGTGAATCTTTCAGTAAAATTGGACACTACTAAGCAGACCACAACAAGAGAACAGGCATTAAGGAACAGCTTGCAATTCAAGCACAGCCATGCACATACAGTCAAATCTAGCATAGCCAACAGATCTGCAATATTACCAATTTTCCAAGGATGAAAACAGGTTGGAAGTTCAATTAGCAAACCTCTAAAAATGGGATAACTTAATCTTAGAGCAGTAACACTTTAAAACAAGTTTTCTTGCATTTCAGGTTTGGTTTTAGATGTGCACAGATGATACAGAATGATGAAACTTTATCAAAGTTTTGAACGTAACGCTCTTAGTTCAAGTCCATAACAAAATTGAGGACTCTAAGATCCAGGATTATATCAAAGCCCTGAAACAGGACCAACGTCATCTCTTAGTACATGTACTAATAAAATTTAATAATCACCTGATCAGCGAACCAGCATTTAGCCAGACTATGGGTAGGCCCAAGCTTCGTGCGGAACACATTATTCGTGAGTTTCTAACTTTCTACCATGCCTAACCCAATTAATATTAGCCAAAAATGTTCAAGTATCATCTCCCCAGTTCACCAAGATTAATCAATCGTAAAAATCGGAAGTAAGAATTTCATAGAGGAGAGGGGATCCTGTACCATTTAATCAGCCACCCGAACAGGAAATGCTGCATGATCGGCACTTTCTCCAGAACCTCGGCCTTGTACATCTTCAGCATGCCACTATTCACCTTGTTCCAGTTAGGCACCCCACTGATATCATCCAACATAGGCGAGTGCTCGGAAAACGGCCCTTTCTTCACCTTCTTGATAAAGGCAATGCAAGAAAGATACATGAATTCTCGGGAGAAGTTCTCCAAAATGTCGTCATTGTGAATGGATTTCGGCTTCATATACTTATGATCAATCAACTGGGAAGATCCAAAAATAAACGGCAGGAAATGATAATCGTCAAGCCCCCAGACGCCATGAGAACCAGCAGGCTCAAGACAGTAAACCAGCTGAAGCTTCCTCATAAGCTCGAGATACTTGACGAAGACCCTAGCCACCACAGCTTGATAATCCTCTTCCTTAAGAATCCCCATTCTCGCCAAGCAGTACAGCCAGGCAGCGAAATTGGTTTCGTGCCCGGTTCCATAATCAATACGACTGGAATTCCCGAAGCTATCCATGAAGTAAGGAACGATCTCGACCATCGCCGATGTGAGCTCCTCGGGCAAAAACCGCAGCATCAAGGATTCACAGGTTTCTTCCAAACGGCCGTGCCATGTCCGATAAGAGACGTTACCGTATCGAGCCGCCTGTTGAAGAGGAGGTATTTCCTCAATCCACTGAATTAGGGTTTCGAGCGTCGAGACAATCGAACTCACAGTATCGGAGACATGACACGGATCGGAAAGTTTGCGACTGCGGATGGCTTCAGAGAGAGCAACGACGAAACCGATGAAGTTCTTCCCCGATTCAGAGTCATGGAAGCGCCGGATGTCGTCCGGGGACTGGATTTTCTTCGAAGGGGGCTGGAATTCGTAAGGAGGGGAAACGACGGGGACGCTTCGGCGTTGAGGAACGGGAGCGAGCATTATAGCTTGGGACTGGTTCGCCGGAGGAAGGTTGATCGCCGGAGCGCGAATCGGGCGGTAGACTGGCGGAGGGGACACTTCGGACCAGGACCCTTGAGGCGGCGGAGGGAAACTAGTCGGACCGCCGCACTTGGCGCAGGTGGTGGATGTGCACTGAGATTGGGAATGTGATGTGGGGGACGTTGGAGGCTCCGGTTGGCTGTGGCCTTGAGGATCTTCCATTTCTGGGGATGGCTCCGATTCAGTGAAGAGGCCGGTGTGAGAAGAGAACTGCGAAGAAAACGAAGGTCGAGGAGGAAGAAGGCCACGGGCGAATGCGGTTTGTAGTCAGTAGTTTTGGTAAAGGCCTAAAGGTCTGGACCCGCGGGTAGGAGGACGCGAGGATGGTGGATTGACCGGCCCAATATTATTGGGCCACAGGCGTTGTGGATTGCGTAAAGCCGCCAGGTTGGATAAACCATTAAACCAGATCAAATGGACCAAGCCTCTAAGTTATGCCGAGATGCTCGCTAAGATCGGAGAAAATGAATCCTCCATTAATATATGGTAGAGTTTTGTGTACTTTTCTCCATTTCAAATTTCCTGCAACGAGAGTGAAAATAGGAAGGTCATTATTGTCTTTACACATTTATTATTTATTTCATATAAAAATAGCAATATCAAGGTTTGAACCCGGGTCTCTTCAAACAAAGATAACAATCACAACCAGTTACACTAAACAAATTTATTGCATTCTTTTTGATAAAAAAAATAGACAAAGTTAATCTCTGAAAATCAGAGGACTTTTTATCATAATTAGCAAGCTCACTAAGTCTACCGTATTTATTTTTATCGAGCTTGATACTTCTATTTTCATAGTAGAGTTTCATGTAATTTTCTCAATTTTAAATTCTCGCTCTCTCCTTAATTTTTGCTAAAGGTAAATGGGTAATTGGCCAACATGGAAGAAACTAATTATGTAACTACTGTTGTATCCTTGCATTTTTCAATTTAAATTTTGTGTTTTTTTATCTTTGTTTTTTTCTCTTTATAACTTCCTCCGAAATTTCATCCATCGTGCAATAGTTTGCGCCTTTCACTTCCCAGTACAAGACTGTCATTGAAAATCAATCTTCAGGTATCTCTTGGCACTACGATTTTATTGTTGGGGATTTTAAGCTGGGCGAGTAGAAGATTTCAACTCCGATATCAATTCATGGCGAATAGAATGGACTTCATCAATAACTGAAGTTGTAGAAGGAAGATTAGAAATGAACTTTTGGTTGAATATATGCCTCTTGAGATAGAAATTTGGTTGTACAACGGAGAGTGGTGGCTATTGGATCTTTATGTTTATGGTTTTTGCAACTGTCATAACCTTTATCTACCTTAAAACGTGGAATCATTGATTGATTGTTTGAAATAGGTCGCTTCTTTATTCAACCTACTGGAACTAATAGATAAGGAGTGTCTAATTTTGCGCCTTATTACTTTGATCGAGTCTATTCGTATATTGGAGATAACCCTGATTTTTTCGTTTGCTCTCAAGTTGTGATGGTCCCCTCTTAGCTGAGTTTTTACTATATAGATGACTTGAATCAACAACTCTCCATTTCTTTTTGATTAGTGACATATTGTTTCTAAAAGGAGAGCATTGAACCCTTTATATAGGATTGTGAGGTTTAAGATTTAGTTTCAAACTATCTATGGGTTGTGTGAGAATTTCAGTGAGCTTTTATAGTTTATACTCTATATTTCTTGACTGTAAAAGAAAACTAACCAATAGCATTTTAACAGGGACTTAATTAGCATTATGAAAATGGGGTCAATGATACATTTTTTATATTTTATATTCTTAAATGATTATGATATTTCTCCGAATCTTCGACCTATATATTATTTCTTTATGTATCATCTCGATCGAATGATTATCAATAAGATTAAACGGGTTAATAGACTTAAAAGTAACATAAAAATACAAATAATCAAATATGAGCATTCCGGCCAAAGGGCCGGGTTATAAGCTAGTATTGAATAGGATGGCAATTTTGTCCAAATTCATGAGTATTTTACATTTTAACTTAATTGGGTCGATTATGAAATTCAAATTTACTGTGAATAAAAATAATTTCATAAGTTTATATTTATATTTATTTATTTGGATTGGGTTGGATTTTTAATTCATGTATTTGAGTTTGAAGTTTGAACACATACATATATGTAAATTACGGCTTGATATCTTAGCTTAACAGATCTTTAGATTTAGTAATTCGATTTAAATTTTTTTTACATATAAGTGCTCAAAATATCAATGGAAAAACACTTTAGTACCTACCAAATTTGTGTATTGCATTATGATACCTAGAGGTTTTAAGTTTTGCAAATAGGTCCAATTTATGTATGTGTAGTTATAAAATCTCAAGTAAATGTGTATTCATATCCAACTCATGCTCATTTAGTGTATAGAAGCAATATCCATGCCCCATCCAAACTCATCTACAAATCTCCAAACTCATATATACTTCACACGCCCATAATCTATGATATTGTTTGTGTTTTGGTAAAATTACCCCATTTATTAGGAGCTTACATTAGTTCATAACTCCTTGTCCCCATCTCCTCCTCTTTTATGGTCTAATATCATTAGACCTTTGTACTTGTAGTAAGGTTGAGTCCAATGGGCACCCCATTTATGGGGGAATATGCAAAAATGAAGGATGAGATGGTCCAATAGGGAGATATGGGGCGCCAAAAATGGAGGATCCTGCAAATGGAACCCCAATTTTGGGGAGGGAAATGGGGGATCCCCTAAATATAGAGACTCACCAAATTCCGCCACGTGGCTTTTCTTTTTCTTTTTAAGATTTTAGGGGTTAATTGGGGGTTTAATTAGGGGATTAGTTAGGGATTTAATTAGATCAATCATTTTCAAGTGTTGTGTGTAAACCCAAATTAGGTACATAAATTTTTGCCAAAAAAATTCGGACTCGGAATTTAACAAAATTCTATTGAAAATTTTGAATTTGAAAAAGATGACGAACTATACAAAAATTAACATGAACAAATTATATTAAGGCTACGATAAGTACATTTTTAAGTAAATGGAAAAACTAGAAAAATGAAAATCCCCAAATATGGAGATTGAAGCATTGGAGCAAAAGAAAGGAAAAATAGGGATCAATCCCCAAATTTGAGGATGAAGGCCCCAAAATTTGAGGTTTTGCATTGTACTTGGCCTAAGAATCTCTAACCACATTTAGTGAATTTGTTTTGAGTTGATTAACCTAGCTAGGAGTGCAAGTGGACTCATGACCATTGACTCACTTGTTATTATGGTAATTCATGCATTTTATATAAGTGGGGATGATAAAGGAAGTTCTTTGTTGCCAATTAACATGATTGAAGTTAGGGGAACTTTAGGTAGTGTGGTTCTCTTGTTTGATTAGAGTTAAATAACATTAATCATTCGACTATATAAGGACTAAATTCTTAGACAAGAATGTGACCTTGAGAAGGTCCCCACTATACTACATCCCCAATTAGGGTATATTTGATGTAAGTGGGTGTGTTAGTGTTTGTGAATCTACGACTCATAAGATTTTCATATTTTGGAAGGATTGTAAAATACATTCTTTGTTTATATTGCGAATCAAACCTTCTTTTATGTGTACAACTATACAAACATTTTTAAACTTTTCACTTGACCGATTCCGAAAATTGTTCTTGAATAACTACAGGCAAAAAATGTCATTTCACAACATACAGTTGCAATGGTTCAAAAAATCACGCTTAATCTTACGCTTAAACACGCCTAGGCGCAAGGCAATGGCAAAACGCCTCGCTTAGGGGTTTCGCTCCTAATTGGATACAGGAACACGTCAATGGAATAAGGCGACATATAAGTCTCTCCTAAATATTACTTGATGGAGATAGGAAGTCAATATTAAAGGAGAAAATTTATGTCAACTACAAAATCAATTTTCTATATCAATATTTTCAATAGCTCAAGAAATTTGTGAGCGATTGAGTTATGATTCTATGAATCCGTGAGCTATGTTCTTGTCATTAAGTGTTGAGTAAGTTATTAATCATTTTAATTGAAGAGAGGAAGTGTAGTAGATTATTATTTCATTCATCATGTAGTGCGGATAACAATTTTTCTTCTAACGCCTAGGCACGCTTAGTCTACGTCTATGCGAGCTAGGCGCTAGGCAAAGCATCAACGTCCGCCTAACGCCTAGCGGCTTTTTGAACTAATTATAGTATGATCGGCACTAACTTCTTACTGGAAAACTGAAAAGAGGAAGCTTGAAGGGTGGACTGGGTGGCACGTAGGGCTACAAATAGGGTTGTTAATGAGTCGAGCTATTCGTGAGCGGCTTGGTCTCGAACTCGATAAAAGCTCGTTCGATTAAAAAAATAGCTCGACTCCGAGCCGAGCTTGAGCTCTACCTTGTTCGGCTCGTGAAGCTCGTGAACTAGCTCGATTAGGTGGCTCGTTGAATACAACTCATGAACTGTCTCGTTTTGAGCTTATGAGATGTCCCAACATTGTGACTAGAGAGCTAACTCGACTACAGTTTATGAGAAAATCAATCTATATTTTATGAGTTGGTTTGTTAATGATGCATCTAATTATTAAATTGTATATATCACCTCATATGGTGTTTAATACATTGAGTATATGTAAGCAAATACGTCTCATATATGACATAACATTAGGTAATCACTTGTATCATATATGACATATAAATATTAAGGTATTTATATGATAAATTATCTTAGAGTTGAGCTCGAGCCGAACTTTCGATCTTAACGATGTGTCAAGATTTAATAAATGAGCTGGCTCGTGTTCGACTCGACTCTGCTCGTTAATAAACGAATCGGGCTCGAGCTCGGCTCGTTTATAAACGAGCCGAACATGAACAAGTCAAAGCTCGACTCGGCTCAACTCATTAACAGCACTAGCTACAAATGAGCCGAGTCGAGTCGAGTTTTGACCTACCTTGGGCTCAGCTCGTTAATAAACGAGTCGCGCTTGAGCTCGACTTGTTTACTGAAACATTGGCTTGTATTTGGCCGAAGCTCGACTCGAGCTCAGCTCATTACTCAAGCTCGGCTAATCAATTATCTTGCGAGATCGGATCGAGCTATGGTATCATATCATTTAGTTCATAATTCTTAATTATTTATATCATGATATTTAATATTAATTATTATTTAAACAATCTATGATACATAGTTTCTATTTAGAATAATAAATGAAATATATTTGATCAAGCACTCGATGTTTTATAAATATCATATATGATGATATATTACCTAAGAACTAATAACAAACTATTAATAGAACCTCATTATCAATTAGCATGGATCCCTTTTTTTTATATTTTCATCCGCTTTGTGTCATTCTGAAAGCTTCATGAGTCACTGACTCACTGGTTTGATCATGATCTCCATTTTTCTTTTGTTCTTAACTTTTGCTGCAAAAATCTATGTTAATTGACTTTTTAATTCATTTGCACTTGCTTTTAGTACTTGGTACTTTATGTTTTCTAGAGGTGGAACTGTGAGTTAAATAGGAAAATTGAGCTACTAAGTCCCCAACTCTTTATTCTCACTTTCGGTATTGCTCCAGTATGATAACATATTTGGTAGGTAGCCGTATTTAAACACAATATTATGATATAACGATTGAACAACAATTATACTACAAAATGCTCTATCATAAACTTATCGCTACAGTCTCCAGTACGATTTGTCCGGACTTTTCTATTTAGATAGACGATCATTATGTTTTGTGGAGCCTAGCGTTTGTTAATTTTTGTTATTAGTTCTCAAGAAATTAGGACCACAATTGTCCAATTATTTTATGGGGTATGGAGTATTGACTATTTGAGCATGGGGCGCGACATATAACTTCTCGACTCGTCCTTTCACTCTCACGCATTGGTTACTCAGTCTGATCCAAAATGAATCCCATTGGCCCAAATGCTACGCTCCCATCAAAATTCCAAGACAAAAGCCATGAATTCTCCAACACGACAATTTTACAGAAAATTTGCAAATTTCCCATTCATTGAAAATCTTTTACAAAAAAAAAAAAAACGAAAATAAAACCCCCCTTGTTTCCCTTTTCTTCCTTATTTCCACATGTACATTCATGGATAGTACCACCACATAATCAAATATTTAATCACACGCGCGAAAAAAAAAAGAAAAAAAAAACTACTACTTCGCTTTCTCACATTCTCGATCACACCAAGGTCTTACACGTGGAAGTAGTCGGGTCCCACATCGCGGGTAGCAAATACTTGCGCCCGGCCACACCAATCGCATTGTAGCTCGCCCCACTCGCTTTCTCCACCAGGACCGCCCCAGGATACCCCGGGTACGCGCCCTTCCCGAATATCCCGGTACACGCGCTCACCGCCTCCAGCGGCGCCTCCGGCGGGCCCTGGAAGTAGCCGTTGTTGAACGGGTTCGTCACCGTCCCGGCCAGGACCGTCGCCAGATTGATGATCATCCCGTCCACGCCGACGTCGCCGTTCGGCGCGACAAGCGGAGGCCCCTGGGGACCGTAAATCGGCTGGTGGAACGGCCACGCGCACTGTCCGGGGCACTGGCTCACCGCGTTCCCAACCCACGCGTACGCGAACTTTCCGGCGCTACCCGTGCTGCCCGAGCCGTGGGTCCCGCAGCGGCTGCAGAACCCGTCGACCGCCACGTCGGCGGAGGTGAGGACCACGTTGATTGCGTTCTTCCCGTGTCCCGCTCGCGACGCGAGGGCCGCGAGCTGGGCGTTGGAGAGGCGCTTCCCGAGGGAGCACTTGTCGTCGACGAGCTGGCGGCCGACGAGGAGGTTGCAGGGGCCGCCGCGGTACCTGGCGGTGGTGAGCCACCAGGAGGCGACGGAAGGGGAGGAGGACGGGGAGTGGGTTAGGGAGCGGAGGAAGTCGAGGACGACGGCGTGCTGGGAGGCGGAGAAGGCGCCGTACCAGATGAGATTGACGGTGGTGTTGCCCTTGAGGAGGGGGCCGTTGTGGTATTTGAGGAGGAGGGGCTGCTCCTGGACCAAGGCGGTGAGCTTTCTGGTGGTGGCGAGGGAAGGTTGGAGTGTGGAGAGGAGGAGGAGGAGGAGGAGGGGGGAGGAGAGGATTGTGAGGTGGCGTGAGGGAGAAACAGCAGTGGCAGCCATGGTTTGTTTTTGGGAGAGAGAGAGAGGGAGATGGATTGAGGAGTGGGAACAGGGGAGGGGGAGTATTTATATTATTGGGGAAGGAATAAGATTTGAAGTAATTTTTTTTTTAATAGGGATTTTTAGATAAGGGTTGGGGGAAGGGGAATAGTGAGTACAGCTGGCAGGAGGGGTAAAAGGGTCAAATTAAGGGGAAAGGATTTTGGTTTGACTTGGTTTGGTTGGTGTCAAAGAAAGGAAGAAAGCGCGCGGGGGTGGGGGGGCCAAAGGAGAGGAGGGAGGGACTAAGGTAGGCATTATTATGAGTTTGGGGTAGGGGGTCCTAGGGTAGGGTAGGGTAGGGTAGACGTGGCAGGTGGCGTCCGGGTTAAGGAAATCTGCTGCTTTGGTTTATGCATGCAGCTTTGGTTTGTAGGACACGCTAGCACCTAAATGCATCCGGTTGATGTACATGAGTGGTTTGATACTTTTTTCGATGGAAGAAAATGAGATATTATAACACCGTGTGTATTAACGGTTTAAATGTATGTGTGAATTTTGAGAATTTGTTTTTGGAAAATATAAATTAATGCATGATTGTTGTAAATTTCACAAAGAATGTGAGATTAAGATAACGTCTCATTGTGAAATATGAATGATGAATTTGTCATTCAAATCTTAAGCGAAATGGAGTTGCCACAAATTCACTGCTAGCTGAGTGACCCAAATTCGTGGGGCCGGCCCACAGATTGTAAATATTTTAAATCTAAATTCCAAACTAATAAATGTTATTTTATGTATCTACCAGCTTATATTAAACATTTAAACTTACTAGCAACGCAGCAGTAAGTAATAGCTGGGCCTTGTGGACCCCGTAGCCTTAGCCAATCGTATTCGTAGCTCAAAATTGTAGTTAATTACTGATTGCGAGGAGTCTGCAAGGGGGGAAACTTCCCAGTTTAGGGTGCAATGATGTAGTGCAATTGGTCACATAGCCTATGCCGTCCTCGATTTTCTCTGCCGAATAAAGTGAAGTTTCCCACTTGTGGCACCTGACAATGGCCGGGAACAATTTTTTTTACATGTTTTTATTGTTCGTCGTGTGTGTCTCATCTCATATTTACTTCATTTAAAATAATCACCCCGGTCCCCTTCTCCATTTCTTGAAACATCTTTCATAACATTTGTAACTTTAGATCGTTCCTAAAATTTAGGAGATTTTTCCCAAACTCTTAACAAGATTTAATATGAAAGTGTTGTCAAGTTTAAAGAGGTTTACGAGCATTCTTAGGGGTCGTTTGCTTCAAGGATTTGGTACATGGATTTGGTACCAAAAAACTAACTATCAAGGATTTAAGTACAATCCGTTGTTTGCTTGCACCTTTTTTGGAGACCAAATCCGTGGGGCCCACGGATTTTAATGGTCCAAATCCGTGGACCCCACGGACTTATAAATCCCACATGTTGATGTGGGATTTGGAATATGACATAAATCCTTGATGAGATTTTACCCATATACCCTCATGCACTTTTAATATTCCAAGGTTGCCCTCAAATTTAACTATTATACATTATAATTAACAATAAATGAATAATATAAACGTTCAATTAATGTGCAAACATGAGTTAGATTTTTTATATCATTTCTTGTGTTCTAGTTTTCTTTGACCTTTTCATGGAACGTGTAATTCTTTATTCTCCCGATTCTAATATATGTTGTTATATGTCACTTTTGAAAAGGATGACAAAGAATTGATAATTGATTATGTTACGTTAAAAGTTAAAACGGAATTTTCTCGTTTATTATTATTGTCCATGTGGCAACATTATGCTTATTAGTATGTATTGTCCTTGTTTTGTGTACATATCATAAACATGTCAAACATATAGAAAATGATTGTAAGGTAATTTTGAAGTTTTGTCCTTGTTTTGTGTACATATCATAAACATGTCAAAAGTATAGAAAAGGGCAATAATGTAATTTTTGAATTCAAGTAGTAAATCCCACACCTTTAAACCCATGATAAAAACATCCCAACAAACAAAGGATTTTTACAAATCCATGATGCCTCAAATCCATGATAAATCCTTGGATTTTTAAATTACAAAACCCTCATTTTTAAATACATGAAGCAAACGACCCCTTAAGGATGACAATCACCTATTCATGTGTAAATTTTTTTATCATGCGAAATTTAATGAGTTTAGGAATTAATCTATACCTAAAAATGTAAGGTACTATACTGTATTTTCCTTTATTATTTGCAACAAAATTAATTGTAGATGTTAAATGGTAAAAACTATTAAATTTAGATAACAAATAGTAATTTTCAAATGAATACGAACGGAAATCCACAAATTTAAATCAAACACTAACTAAATGGGCATGAATATTCACTTCAAATTTGGATATTATGATGGGATTTTGTAATCAACTCAATTAGATCATGGGTGCAAGTTTAGTCACCGACCGAGATTACTAAATTGTATCACATTTATCACTGAAAATATTTTATTTAATTCATGGTTAGTTAAATTAGTTCAACAATCCAACTTTGATCGTTTGCCGTTACCTTTCGCCCGTCTCCGTTAAGGGAGTTAGCTTTTTTGCTAACATGAGTGCCTTATCAGCCAATTTTAACTCAAAAATTAAAACACCACTCACATCATTAGATCCTACATCATAAGATATCCCAACCCAATTCATGACCGAACCATTCCTCTTCTTCCTCTATTTGACCCGACTAGAAAAAAAAAACTTTCTCGATGGGCACTCATGTGACACGAGGAAGAAAATGTCAATAAGAGAAAGAGTCGGATTTTTAATTTATTTATTGTGAAGCTCCAAAATATTAATGAGGTGGACGGTCTCTGATATCTTTCGCCCTGCTTGCTATCTGATTTGGGATTTGGGAGGTAGGGTTTCTTTTCTCCATTGTATCAAATAGAGGAAGAAGAGGAGGGGTCGGTCATGGGTTGGGGTATCTTATGTGGCGGGTCGAGTATTATTTTTTGGGGATTAAAATTGGCGGATTAGACACTTTTATTAGCCACCTGAGCAAAAAAACTGATGCTATTAACGAAGATCAACGAAAAGTTGCTACTCAATGATCAAACTTGCAGTTTACCCTAATGTATCAAAACTTTATGAGTTTGGATAATATTATCATCCCTAAACTATGTTAGAAGGTTTTTAGTCCTAATTCGTGGACTGGAACTTAACGGGAATGATATTAAAACTTCTAAATTGATTATGGTGTCAAACAAAGGGGGAGAAGAAAACCGACTTTGAATATATTAACGTCACTTTTTTCTCTCTTGTAACTTGCATACACTTAAATTAATAGGCTCGCACAAGTTGAATCAAATGATGCACTACAGCTCACCACGAACGAGTAAAAGAGCGTAAGAGAAACAAAATTGTTAGATTTGCCGTAATAATTAATTAGGCCAGCAGTATTCTTTGGCAAAACTTGAAAGCTCTTTTCTCAGTCGGCCAAAAACCAATGGCCTACAGTGACGACTCAAGCGTGGATGGTGTTAAAGCTGTGTTAGCTGGCAATTATTGTAACTTGAAGATTTGAAAAGTATAATTAAGTGACGTTTTTGTCCAGTTGGGATTTGTCGTTTCCCTCTCTGGTGAAGGGAGCTGCAAAAGCCCCCTTTCCTTGGATACAAATCTGATGTTTTGGCTAGAATTATTTTGGGTTAATTGCATAAATGGTCTCTTACTTTTGCACTTTTTTAAAACTGTATTTTTTTTTAAATTTGTTTACATTTATTTTTCTTTCTACTATATTCATACTGTTCGAAACATGTCCTTCAATTACATTTGTGTTCTAACATGTCTTTTTACCTGGTAACCTGTTGATCCTAACTCGACTGTCCTGTAACCTAAACAACACATAGTCTATTGACTTGCCACTTGATGAACCCGTATATCTAATAACTCACAATCCGATAAACCCAAACCCAAACCCGACTAATTCACAACCCAATTGAACCAACCCCAGTTGACACGATTAGTACCAACACATGAAAACTAGTAAAATATACGAAAATTACTAGTACCAGAACACGAAATCATTAGCAATACACGAGAGCCACTACCAATAACATATCATTGCCATCACTAGTACCACTACAAAAATTAAACAAAAAATAAAACCATTACCAATTGATAAAAAGTACTACTATGAAAATCAGTAACAGAACTAAAAGGCAATACCAATATCCCAAAACCCATATCTAAAAAACAAAAACCACTGTAAAATTAATACCATAATAAAAAAGCTAGATTTCTGTTTCGGAGTGAGAGATATAACCAATACAAGAAACAAAATCAATACTAATAAACCAATTACAACAGCAGTAAGTTCATTTGATTGGAAGGTTAGAATGAATCCAACAATTTTTAACATTGTAAATGAAACCATATGAATCAACCTGGTTTAACTGGCCGCTGGTTTACAATTTTAACCACACAAAATTAAGGGGGGAAAATGCTTTAACATAAACTAAGTTCATCCAGCCTCAATCATTAACTATATTTATGCTTTAATTTTTACTATTTTCCAGTCTCATTGTGAGTTTTATGTGGTCCACTACGGATTGTCACCCTTATTACTGAATTGAATTCTATTAAAAAAAATCGTGGACGGTTTGTAGGCTCGTGAATGAATGGTGAATAGGCTAATTATCATGTTGTAAACCCAATGGTGAATAGGCTAATTATCATGTTGTAACCCAAAGTAGATTGCAACATATGTTACTATAATCCCTATTATGGGCATCAATAATAATTGAGTCAAATCCCCCCATCGTTCAAAATCTCAAGCCCTCAATCCTATTTTGTTTTGAAGTAAGCTTGTAACACCTTAGAAAAAATCTCACATCGATAAAGCACGTAAGAGATCCATGGTTTATAAGTAGAAAATCGGCCTTAACTAACAAGGCTTGTTTTGAGGTGAAATGTAAGAGTTCTTATGAGAACTCCAAAGTTAAACCTACTCAATATGGAGTACAACGAGGATGAGTAACTTTACTGGAAGCCACCTTGAATT